ATGCATCGAAAGTTTATATCACTGGGCAGTTGTGCAGCAGAATGCTTTCAGAATTGCTTCGCAATTTGCTTGTTAATATGAAATGCACAAAGGCTTGGATTTTCCAAAGTGTGACATCTGATAGACGGGGAGCAGTACGACTGACGCAATAAAAGTATAAGCTCTCTGAAAATTTTAAGATTGTGGTTAAAGAAACCTGATCGCTGTTTTGTGCGAGACAACTTGTTTCAAACAAAACCGCGATCAGGTTTCCTTGCATTAATATTCCATTAATGTTCTACGTCTCTCGTGCAACCACAGCAGCGTGTGGGGGGATACTGGAGAAGCTGCTGACCGGAAGCGCAAGCAAGGTGTGTGAACGCAAATGCGTTGGCCACCTCTGATCGCTCCAGCCGCACAAGCAATCCCTTTATTTTGGTTGTGTACAAGCAAAATAAACAGACAGAAGCAAACAGGTGCGCGGCGGGCGGGAGAACAAAAACAGCGACGTTCTGAGCAAGAACTGAGCGATACATAAATGAAAACTCCTGACGCTAGCGCGCGAGCAGAGGCGACAAGAACAGCTCGAAGCGAACGTGTGCAAAACGCAACAGCCATAAAGCGGGCGGCCGCCGCAGAGCCATCAAAGCGTCCGAAAGGCGTCCCGTCTGAATGGTGGGCCAGCGGGGAAGGCGAGCACCGCCGACGTAACATTAACCTCAATTAACGCGTTAATTGGCCGTTAACTGCATTAATATTCCTTGCATTAATATTGCGTTGTTAGCGACATACGCAGTTTTTCCAGGTAGGCATTTAAGTACCTTCCAGCCAGAAAGTACTCGTAGTAATAGACGTAGCGATAATGCTTTCTAGTTGCACAGTATTGCGGTAATCATACAATGCGATTCTCCTTTGGTCTTCACAGGTCGTCTGGTCCCATGTCATTCTGTTTTCTCAGTTATTTAACCTGCTTTCTAGGTCTTCCCAAATTTTTCCAATTCTTTGACGTTCTGTTTTTTTTGTACCTAAAAATATAAATGGCTAACAGGATAACCTTCTTACTCAACATTCTAAAAGTACACAGCACCGTTTGGTTATGCTTTTTGCATGCCTGCGGTTACTTTTGCTACCCAGTCAGAGACTTCCTGAAACCTCCAATACTGCGTCACTTCGTGAAGCGTACAATGGGTTGTTGTGTTGTGTTTCGATTTGCCGTTAATTTAATTTACGATGTCGCTTTATTTCACGAAATGAACACGTCAGAAACTAGCATGTTGGCTATACTGCTATTGCTACCGAATCTGCTGCTTTTCCCACTCACAAGATTAGGTTATACTGTACAGATATGGCGTACTGCCGGTTTTCTACAAAATAATGTCGCTTCCATTAATCCTTTCATCCAGCTCTATCATGTGATCAAAACATTGGTATTATCAATTAACCTTTTTGTACTTTTTCCTGGAGAAAATTTGGTCATGAATTTGCTCCATCTGCCGAACATGACGATTTCTTAGGCCGAGCTTAAATTTCATGTTCTCGGTGAATATGGCAAGCCGATTGTTTTGGCCATCAATGTTTTGCTCAGTCTATCGAATACTGGTTACAAAACCGTAATGTGTTTCTTGGTCGTATTTCGCTTTATGGAGGGACTGCAGTTAAGAGACACCTGTCGCTGCATTCATTCTTTGTTGTTCGACAAAAAAGATTTCACCGTGACCTTGAGAAACTTCATAGAATCCCATATGTCAACCTCTCGACGGTTGTGTGAATACAATAAACGTTTTTCCTGGCTGAATATGATGACCTTCATCGAACTCTGTTAAGCGGCATGGCTCAATTGCATACCGTTCTCAACCAGCTTGTAGAACGTAAAACACAAACTTTGGGGACTGGGTTTTCTTTACCTCAAGTTTCATTATGGTTACAGCACAATTGACGGCTGTCGTGTATGTCAACGAAAGAGTAAGGAAAACCTTAGGTACATGTTGAATTAAGCCATGCACAGCAAAGCTGCTCCAATCCAAAATTGCACAGTCGCTGGCTTATGGTTTCGTACATTTTCAATGCTTAAAAGCTAAAGCTTTCATCTGTTTTCCATCTCTTTATCTAGGATACAGTTTTCCTCATATTTATCCAGGGTATTCCGTTTTGTGGATTGTTGAAGTCGTGACTGCTTAGCCCTACATGCAAGTACTGTATTTCACCGGCTACCGACCGATGTTGCTGTAGCTATCGAAACACATCTTCAATGTACTGCTATGATGTAGGAGGAAATCACGTTCGCCAGCATATTCATGGATAGTCTGCGAGCTGGAACTGTAAAGGTTTGCGTACTGAGTTATCTGCCAACAACAATTCATAATCTGGTTTACGCTATAATTCTAATGCAGGTCAGCTGAATGAGTCTTGTATACCGAGAAAATGTCTGGAATAACGTCCAAGCATCAATATGGGGGATGTTTTTGTAGATCATGTGCAGTGTCGTCAGTTACGCATTCTTGTCGGCTCAACTCAGTGACAAACACTGATGATATCATGCGCCGTTATAGAATTAAGTTCGCATTCAGGGATCGGTTGGCTTTCCGCCAGTATTCTGCCGCTTCTGTGGTCATCGAGAAACTGAAGACATAGACGCTTTATTACTCTTTAGTTATACGACGCCTTTTTTACGCATTTTTGCTTGATATCTTGCACTCTGAAATTGTGGAATCTTTTATGCAAGGTTTTTAGAGTTTTTGACAGACGTCTGGAACGTTCAACGATAAACAAAAATGTGAAGCTGCTTTATTATTTTTCGTCGCCTGCGAGCCACCTAATGCGGAAGTATTGCAGTGCTGACAAGATCAGTTTGACGTAATTTAAGGAAAAGTAAATCGATCACCTGAAAATTGTCATAACGCTGCTAAAGTTACCCGCTCAGTTTTCGTCCCGACTACCTCATGGCTCATGCTACCCGTTGCATGCTGCGAAATTTTACTCGTATTACGTACGCCAACCGAACAAACAATGCAGTATTTCATTATCTTATTCCTATTAGACTCTCTTCGAATTTGCACCCGTTGGTACAATTTCATCTAATGCGATTCTGGCTTCTCAGTTGATTTGGTTTATTTGTAAATTATTTCATATTGGTAGGTTTGTACCTCCTTTGTTCTTCGAATGTTTCCCAACTATAAATGGCCAATAAATCTTCTTTCTTATAAATGGCCAATAAATCTTCTTTCTTAATCGGTATACTGAAACTGCACAACACCGTTTGGTTGTGCTTTTTACATGTATGCGGTTACTTTTGCTATCCAATCAACACATGTGTCCATTCTAGGGCGCTGCTTCTCATCGTGCACTGTGCAATGGGCCTCTGTGTACTGCTGCAGTTTGGCGCCAATTTAATTTACGATGCCTCTTTCTTCCACGGAACGGAGAATATGATCAGGAGCATGACGAGGGCGCTAATTTCGCTACCGACTGCGTTGATTTTTCCTTTAACTCGGTTAGGTTATGCTGTACAGATATGGCGGATTGCTGGCTTTCTACCACACAACGCTCGTGCAATTATCGATTCATTCACTCCCTTCATACAGTTTCACCACGTGATCAAAATATTATCAGTATCACTCTGCCTTTTTTCGTTTTCCCCTGGGATAAATTTGGTCATCAGTTTACCCCGCATGCAAAGCGATACGGCTCTCTGGGCCGCGGAATACCACAGCGTTTTCGGCGAATATGGCCAGCCGATTATTATGTGCATTAAGTTGGTGCTTCTTCCATCGATAGTTGGTTGTGAAATTGTAATGTCTCTGCTAATATTATTTCCTTTCATGGAAGGACTGCAGTTGGCAGAGATTGGTCGAAGGGTCCGTTCTTTGTCGTTCGAAACAGATTATTATTCCGCGAGCTTGAGAAACTTTCTAGAACTACACCTGTCAATCTGCCGACGGCTTATCGAGTACAATAAACATCTTTCTTGGCTGAATGGGATGGCCTTCATTGAAATGTTGCTAATAGGGATGGGCTACTTGCAACTTGTTCTGCGTGAGCTTGTAGAATGGAAGAGCGCAAACTTGGAGAACTGGCTTTACTTTTCCTCGTGTATCATTCGAGTAGGAGGACTACTGGGGGCAGCTGTGTACAACAACGAAAAAGTAGGTAAGAGTTTAACATAAACTGGAGGATGCCGGTAAATTATTCTTCGTAGAGCGTTGGAGCTTTAAATGCTTGGCGTCATGTGCTGGCGTTTCACCTGCCGCCACTCGATGTATCTTCCGCTATCGAAAACCATCTTGACTGCATAGCTCTTATGCAGCCGGAAATCACCTTCGCCGGCATATGCATGGATCGTAAGCGAGCTACGGCTGTAAGTTTTTGCTTACTGACTGCTAATGCTATAGGTATCCATACTAACGGGCAGAATATAATAATAAAAGGAAGTGGAATAAACTAAATTAAGGTAAACGGGGTAACGCTATGAGCATATTGTGCACAATCCCATCTCATGTTAACTGGGACAAGTTCTTCATTTGATTGCATTATACTGAGGGGTGCTCGTTGTTGTACATATGGAACTATTAAAACAAAACAGGCAAACGGGTTAAAACTATTAAAACAAAACAGATAGTATTTCGCGAATGCCCTTTTTGTTATATTGATGGCTTTTGCCCAATAAAGATTATCTCCAAACAGATAAACGGGTTAGTAGGCAAATCGGGCGTATAAGTGTGTCGTTTTTGCAGATGGCTTGCAGCATCATGGGATTCGTACTGCTGGTAGCGGAACTCAGTGACAAGCATCGCTATTAACCTTATTCTACCTGTAAAAGCATGTACGGCTTTGCTGGTCCTAACGGTGTACTGCCGCTGTGTAGTTAACTTTGAGGCTTATTTACTTTGCATTATGTTGTCTTGCACCTCTGCTTTGCATACCGTATAATTTGATATTCATTTGATACCGAGCAATTCATTTCGATTGTTAAATTATTTAAAATATTCTTGTTGTTTTATTTCACGATTATCATGGCTACAACTAATAATAGTGCTTAAATGTTAAATTAAGAAGTAAACCAATCAACCAATACCGTCTTGTAAGAGCGCATAGATAATTCAATACCTGCAGTTCATTAAATATGTATAATCTTTGAGATTTACCATAAAACTTAAAAAGCAACTTAAGAGTAAAACTTAAAAATGTTTGTTCTTGCGTACATCACTGAGATAACATTTCCGCCACTGCTACGGCAATTATTGCAAGCGCAGATTTTTATATCGCTTCTCAACAGAAGGAAACAGCCACTTCCTTGGTAGTATTGTATTATTCAGCAAACTGGATGACTTGCAACCATCCGCACACGGCGTGATATCCCAAATTCGGATAGGGCCACAAAGGGCGACCACGTTGCACTGCCTTCAGCCAGTTCAAATTACGTTCCGGCGGCTCCACATGCAACCTAATCAGCTGACATTAAGGTCTCTTACTACACATGTCGACGAAATATGCCTCCTTACTTTTGCAAGCACTGGGCCAATAGATCGAAATGCCCGTCGGATACAAAACCCAAAATATCCACCACCTCCATCCGTTTGTCCAGCGCTTCTCTGTCTGCCTCGTTTGGTGGACACAACGTATCGAGTTTCTCGAAGAAATCCAGGGTCCACTGCAGAGGATCCGCATTTCGACTCTGCAGTCGAAGTTCATCTGTCTGACAGTTGAATAACGTGCAGACATATCCACACGGCAACGTCCCCGTTTTGCCATCGTGGAGTAACATACAACGCTCAATGAGAATCTGACAGCGGTGCAAAATTATCACGCCACATGTATCCCGCACTTCCGGGCGGAGAACGTAGGTGCGGTAGCAGTCGACGAAATCATCCGGAGCGACGTACTCGTTATCAGCTATTATCAAATGATTGAGGAAGATGCTCTTATGCTGTAAAATGCGTGTCAGTGCGACAACGCATCGGTGATAGTTTCCGATTAGGTAGATGCAACGCGTGGCCCGGGTAGCAGTTTTGTGAATAGCCAGCGCTAGATCGTAGGAGTTGTTGATGCAGCTGCTGGCCCGCACGATGAGTTGTTTGTCCAGAGACTGCCATGATAAAACACTATGCCAAAATACCGACACTCTAACAAAAAAGAAGGTACAGTTACTAGTTTGTCTAATGTATTAATCTCAAACTAGCACTCTCTCAAAATTATTCTCATTCGAAGAAGTGAAACCGGAATCCGCCAGAAGAATCGCTTACTTTTTAATGATCTGTCGTTCGTAAATGTCGAAATACGAACATAATTCCATCAGAATATCCTCGGTTATATCTTCGAAATTACTCGTATAGTCAGCACAAACATCGGCTGCGGATGAAACGTAAACATCACGCTCCATTGCAGTTTTATCAATAGCAAGGGCATAAGCCAGCAGCTCTTGTGGAATGTCTTCACAACCTTCCGACCAAACCGACTCGAGCATATCGCGCCGGCACAGCACTACAGCAACGTCGTTTTGAATGCCCATTAACACCGTCCCGGTATGGTTCATCCAGCGGTATCGAAACTCAGAGTTGTTGCAGTGCCGAAGAGCTTCAATGGATGCGGGTGAGAGATTGACGGTTACCTTCTGGACCGTCTCCGCGGTCGCCGCATTACGGGGTACACGCTGTCGCAAACGTCGACGCTGCCAGAACGGTCCGTCGTTAACCACCAGTGAATTATCGAAAGCGTTACTGGTCACGGTCGCCAACTGCCACCCGTTGCCGGTTGGTCGACCATCCCATTCCGGGTAGACCCAGCCCGTCTGCGATTGGAGGGATAGAACTTTACATGGGTACCATCTGCAGAAATTAATTCGCAACGTTGCAAGTTGACATCCAAAATGAATTTAGGTAGTAATATTTTCCCGTTTCCGGAAGAAATATGACTAAAATATAACGTAAACGTGCTAAGGTTTTGGCGAAATAAGAAGCGTAATTGTAGGCACTAAAGTTTGAACATGTATGTATATCGAAATGTACCGTTCGGGTTGGTCTTCCGCTAACCGCAGTAACACTTCCATGTTCTCTGCAATGTCGCTCGTGTCAGTAATCTGTTCATCTAAATCGTCGTCCATTATAAAACATTTGTCGAATGCTACTGTTTCTTGTTGCCGCTTGGAGCAGTTGAAATCCACCAGGAGACCATCTTCCGAGCGATCCACCACAAAGCCGCGCGTGAAATTTCCATCGGCGTCCAGCACATCCACAGCCAGCTCTTGGCGGACACAGGATAATCGTTTGCACTGCTGGAATGTCCATGGAAATCAGCGTTCAGTTGCAAATCGCGTGGTTGCTTTTATAAAAAAAGAACCAGAACATGGTAGGCTGGCAAGACTAGATGCTAGGGTAAGCGAAAGGATGCAATATTCTCAGTCGTTTCAAGTTAGCACCAAGCGTAGCGACAGAAACAGTGCCAGGAAGGGAGAGGAAAAATCAATACAACCGCCGACATGTTATCACGCCGCTGTACTGATTATCTGGTGTGAAGGCCACATCAAAGTCGTATGTATGCGCGAGCTATGCCAGTAAGGCGGTTAATAAAAAGATAAATCCTTTGCGACCATTTTGGCAAACTCATGTTCGTCTTTTTTTAGTAAAACTTATTGTTTCGCCATAATTATGCTATAAGCTAATCCAGAATACAAGACCTGAACGTATGACACAGCTAAGTTCTGTTGCAGTTTTCAAATACCATTTGCCGGTACAAGGACAGTATAAAATCGTATACTGCAGCACAACATCATTACTGTATAATAATGTATAATACTAATATTACAAGCGAAACCTTTTCCCTTCTTTGTAAGACTTTTATATTGATTGTGTAATTCAGCGTCCGATTAACGGCGCAAAGTAATATGATCATACGAACAGTTATACAGTAGTTAACTGCATTAAGTGCGTGAGTAAAGCGTGAACGAGATTCTTGTCGTAAAGTAAATTATATTTCGTAATTGCGCTTAAACAGTTTTGACAATTTGATCATCCTTTTTTAAATTTCGGTGGGTTAAAATGTATAATTAGGTTAAAATGTGAAAATTGCTTTTTTTCTTAAGTTCTTTATTTTATATGGCAAAAACCGTGTTTTATAAATTAATAAGTTCAGCAAGTGGCCCAGCACAACAAGCAAGCGGTAACAGATACACAAAGCACGACTCTTGAAGAACCTACAGTACCTATGTACAACACAAACGTGTGCTCTTAGTGTACTGCATGATGGCTTGGTTTTACGCTTTGCCTGGATAAACCTTGACCTTATACCGCGCTATCTGAAACCTATCAATCTGTCAATCTAAGCCATTTTTTGGCTGTACCTACCTGACTTAGCACCCACCGCTTTTAAAATGTAACAATTGCAGTACTCTTTTTCTGATTTTTTAAGTACCTTTTCATTTTAAACATACAGTAAGCGTAACTTGTTAAAAATGACCTGGGCGAGAGCATTTCCATATAGAACATGCATTATCACCAGTAAGTACAAAAGTGACGACAAATTTTTGCGCACGGTTTTCGGAAACTGTAAACGTTTTACGCATTTTACGCTAAATTTGTTAGCGTCATCGGAATATGTTATCTTCCATGTGTTTTAAGGTGTCACTGTATATATTACAGTTATTAATGATTTGCAAAATCATTAATAACTTTGATATCCGAATGAACCCATCCAGTTCTTTCGGATATCCAAATAAAGCAATGACAAAGTACTGCTTTTTTCCTTATGCGTATCGAGCTGTAACAGTGCAATCTGCAAAAGTCACATAGGTATACCGTTAATTTACAGTTAACCATTTATATAAGCAAATTACTCTCTGAGATGCGGGGTGTATCGCACCATACGCACATACGTCACCATATTTGCGCTTTTTGTCGTCGCTTTATTTTGTGCTCCTTGATTTGCTTGTGCTGGATCCCGCGCACGTTGGAATTAAGCTATGACAGAGTATATACTCGCGGAATCCATCTTTATGGCGGCCATTGGCACGCACATGTTAAGAGCGTGTCCACTCAGGCACCACCTCGTGTGGTCGACCTGGACTGACCTTTTTGTTTGCTTTGCAGTCGTAATGCTGGGAGTGCAGTCGTTGAAACCCCTTCTGCGGGAAAGCTCCGATTGGTGCGCGAACAGTATGTTACACTTTCGTAAAATACCTCAACTGCAGTAGTTACTGATTCACAAAAATCCCCAGCTACTGTATATAGGGAGAATTCAACTGCTGAGGCAGCACTCCCTGTAATTGCTGCCGTCGCCCGGCTGGAGTTTTACGTTGTGGCTAAACATGGTGCTTAATGCTTATGTACTGCCGTAACGTCACACTCCAGCCGGGTGACGGCGGAAAGTACAGGGAATGCCTGCGCCTCTGAAAGCCCCTTATATGCATGTATGCATATTGCATACTCTTCGATCGTGTTATAGGCAATGTGACGTCCAGTATGCCGGCACCGTCATTTGCACCCACTTCCGTTCACAAAGAGCCCTTTCCCAACTTTGACTGCCAGCCGATGAAGCAGGATGAATGTGATAATATGACCTTACTCATGTGCGTACATTATTATATTGTCTTACAGTAACAACTCAGGTAACACTCATACACTCCATAGAATACTGTGCTCATAATACAGTAAGTACTTGTACCTTGAAAAGCATTTCACTTCACCTATAGCGGTTGTAATGATTGTCAGTGCATGATTTGAACCACAAAATTCCAATATTGTCTATCACACATATCAAACCACGAGCGTGCCGCTGTCTGAAGTTTGACAATCGCCATACCGTGCAGGATCATAGGTCGGAAAAATCAAACACTCAAAACTCTCTGTAGCATGTGCGACCGTTAGTATGAGGGTTTATTTAGTCAAAGCTATAAAAACATTTACCAGAAGGCCAGCATCAGCTTTTGACCGTGTCTTCTTTTGGCTGTGACTGTAGGATCCCGGATTGCGTGGGTTGGTCCGTGGTGGACATCAATCTCAAGCACCCAAACCGAAGTCAAAGCCCGCGAATTTTCCGCAACATCAGCCTGGGCATAGCCACAGTCCGGGAGAATCGCGCTGTCCGGTTGGGTCTGTACGACACCTACCTAACCATGACAAAGATGGCCCTGGCGGTAGACTTCCGCTACCTCCCTGAAGGAATGTTCATCCACCAGGCGATAGATCCCATCCGACGCAATGTTATCGAATTCACTTTGTACAACTGTCATCACCGCTGCACCGGCAAAATGCCAACCTTGAACTTTACCAGTCTCCTGAACTTCACCATCAATAAATGCGACTACAGTTACCGGAAACCGTTATCGGTGCGCCGCGATGATTTTGTCCAGAACCCACATTTGCGTTCCATCATATTCAGTGATTGCGTCACCATGGAGCTGGAGCCGTATACCTTCACACATATTCCAGATCTGCGTTTGCTGGCACTGGAGAATGACTTCTTCCACTCCTTCTGGATGGAGGAAGAGGGTGCTCGGGATAAACAACTGCGTCTGCGCCACTGTGATTGTGAATACGCCTGGTTGCGGGATTTTCTCCGGGTCAATCCCGAGTTAATTGCACCGAAGACCGCCGGCCAGCTGTATGAAGTCTGTCAGGCTGTTAGTCCGGTGGTTATAAAAGAAGACATTTTCGTGCCCATTGACTGCAGGAAGCCGGAACTTCCTCAAAAGAAGAATGGAGTTGATTGGAATGAAACTCGCTTTGCCTTTAACAGTGATCCCCAATAATTTTTTACTCATTACACTGAATAACAGCAATAAATATTTCTACTGAGAAAGTACACTCGCTTTTGCTGGCTGCATGACCCAGGCGTATAACTTTTAATGGTTTGTTTGCTCATCTTTCGCAATAACTGCTTAGTTTTTAAAGGCACAAAGGTGAATACGGATAAGTTCTGCCTCTGACTTTTAACGCCGGTAAATTATTCGCAGTAAGATTATAATAATAAGATGAAGAAAACCTATTATCCGCCATTTGATGAGATTTAAAAAGTCGAACTTACTGTTGGCCATTGTCTGTTGATCAGCAAGCAGCGGAAGGCTCGAAGGGGATGACTGGCGGATAGACACCATAATTTTCGAAACCGCAGAGCATTTAAAAGACCTTGGCTAAACTTTGTTCGACAATGTTTTTTGTAGTGCTACAGGGCTTTCCAGTTACAGATTTCGCTAAGATTTACTTTTTAGCTGTAGAACCTCATAAAGGGCGAAAAATAATAAGTCAAAGTAACGACGAATGTTGGACTCGAGGTGTTGGTGGTACTACTACCAGCGATACAGTAAATTCCCAAGATCCAGCTGAGACAGCGAGCGAATTCTCAAAACGTTTTCATAACAGGCACGTTAGCGGTTAAATGATAGAATCCATATTAATTACACCATGCTGGTAGCTCGAACCACTTGAACAGCTGCACAAACAAATGCACGCACTTTGTATGAGACTTGTTGTGATAATGGCTAGGATCGGGCGCGTTCCAAACGTCAGGCGTGAGTGTTAGCAGTCGGGAAAAGCAAGCTGCTTCCCTATTATCTGCTGCAACCGCTCACCGAATTGCAGTCATTGTTACTAAGATGGCGGTTAAACCAGCCGTTATCCGAAAAATCCTTACGATCCATAACACTTGCTGGTTGTGTCTGATGTTCGCATGCGGTTACTTTTGCTATCCTGTCAGCGTAATCGCAAAAAATCGTTTAGTTCGATATATTTTGGCTTTTACACTGGGCCTGCGTGTTCTGCTGCAGTTTGGAGCTAACCTTGTGCCGCAGGCTCACGCACTTCATGGCGAAGGCGCCTGGACACAGAAGAATATATCGCGTACGCTACTGTTATTACCAGGTTTGTTGATATTTCCGTACACACGATTTGGTTGTGCTGTGCACATCTGGCGTCATGCCGGTTTTTTATCGTGTAATGCGCGTGGACTGGCCAAATCATTGTCCAGTTTTATTCAGGTCACTGACTTGGTTAAGGTTTTATCACTGTCTGTCTGTCTGTTGGGGCTGTTTCCAGGGACAAATTTTATCACTAACTTTTCCAATCTGACCCGTGATGTGACAGACGAGGCAGCCAAATACCATGACATTTTTGGGACATATAGCACAGGGTTTGTCGTGCTCTTGGACGCGCTGTTTATCCTGTCCGTTGTTGGTTACGAAACGGTTTTGTGCACGCTAATCTTATTTCCCGTTATGGAGGGACTGCATCTGTCGGCGCTATGCCGCACCATCCGCTCCCTGTTCTTCAACGCTCCACACGACGCCGCGGCCGTGCAAGGGATTTTGGATATACATATGGCTGATGTACAGCGCCTGTCCACATATAATCAGCATTCGTCGTGGTTGAATTTTTTTACCTTTACGGAGACACTGCTGAGTGCGCTGTCATATCTGCAAGTCGTTCTCGACGACGCTATGGCACAACGTTCCATACCGATGGGATTAATGCGCATGTTTTTTGTAATGGATTGCCTCATGATATCAACACAACTGACGGCACTGGTGTATGTTAATGAAAAGGTGACAAAATGTTGCCGTATACCAGGAGGCCCCTTTTGCGGCTGAACCAGTGTTGCAGAAATGCGTTTTCCTAACTTCGGTATCTTACTCATTCTTTCTTTAGGCAGAGCGCGTTATCGATACTCTGCGCGAAATATTAGCGTTCCAGCAACCACATTCGGATACTGCGACGACGGTGAAGCAACATATACTGCGCGTCGTAGCTGTGGAACCACAAATAACGCTTGCTGGAGTTCGAGTGGATCGCGAACTCGCCACCGCGGTAACCTCAAAAAAATTCTGCACGTTAAACCGTCTTTGCCTCTTAATCGCCCACATCATTGCTGCAAAGCGGATTTCTGATAATGGTCGCTACGGGACTTTTACTGCTCGAAAACTTACTACTTTATTTTAAATAACGCTATAGTGAGTTATTTAAAATCGCCATGCATTAGGCCATTATCGCAGAATCGAGGCCATTATCGAACCATATTTTAACCGCTTACACGGAAATGCTTGACATGACGGTATCGTATCACAACATTAATATGGCTCCTTGCAGATTGCATGCAGTGTCTGTGGATACGCTTTGTTGATAGCGGAATTGAGCGATAAGAGCCGGTAAACCTGGCGCAGATTTGGGAAAATGTAGTGGACAGCAAAGCGCCTCCCCATATGACTCCTGCCGTTATCGCGTTTAGATCCAGCTAAAGTCCAAGAGGGACACACCTCGTTGTCGGCACTTGTCGCAGCTCACAATCGGTCCGCTCACCGTTGGGGAAGTCCACCTAGTCCCACCGTGAAAGGTGACGTCTTGTAAAAGATTCGTTGTGTTGCTACGTAAAAAGAACATAGAGTAGTAATTCCTTACATACGACTGATACGAGGAACACAACACCAGCCTTGGTATGCTACAGAAAAGCGCAAAAAGTAATTAATGTTAACTGTATGTGCAACTTCCAAATAAATCAGACAGATATGTATTCTGGTACACCTCTTGATTCTTGTAATGTTTATCGTTCTTGACAACGGCGTGCAGGTATGCTTATCAAAAATCTAACAAATACGGAATCAGAATATGAGTGCCAAGGGAAAGAATTTTAACAAAGTACAGTATCCAACGGCGAAAAAAACAAAGCCTGAAAAGCATCCATGAGTGTACGGAGGATGTATGCGACAAGAGCGTCTTTTTGCATGTTGTCTCCAGCTTTCCCGCCAATATAATTTTGATATAATTAATATATGTACCAATACAACTCACAATCACTTCATCGGCTCATCCAACAGAACAGCGCAACTTCTTTTCGCAGTCATGGAGAATTCATCAAGCCTGAATTACAGTAGTACGAGTTCAATCAGTGCTATGTGCTAAGACCCTTTTGGCATTTCTAAGTTTTGTTGGTTTGTTTATTTTTTCGAGATTTTGGTTTTAAAGATAAAAATCTGTCTATGAACAAGTTCTACAACTGCCAGATGTCAAAACTGCTCTAGTTCTGAAACACTTTCCTTTTATTTTTTTTCTGTTCAGTGACCACAGTATGATACAGCTAGCTGAACTGGGAAGAGCGAAGAGCGATATGCCGTGCTTGAGGTAAGAGAAGTGCCATCGTACGAGTAACTCACAATGTCGGCTACCGAGCCGCTGAACCAGCGATCAAATTCGCAAAATGTTTTGTACAACAAGCACATTAGCAGCTAAATACTAACATACAGATGAAGAAACTCTAGAACCGGCGAGGCAACTGCACAAACACATGCTGAACGGTCATACAAAACCAACTTTATTAAATTCTGACGGTTAGAGCTGGTACTCGAAAACGGTAAACGTCAGGCGCCGATGAGCGTTCGAGTTTAGTAAAAACACAATGCATTTTCTATCACTGTTCAAAGAATTTACCAAGTTGCATTAACTCTTCTGTTACTCGAATTCTTAATGGCATGGCTGTAACATCGGCTGTAAAACGAAGGATCCTAACGGTACACAATACGTGCTGGTTAGGCCTGATGTTCGCCTGCGGCTACTTTTGCTTTCCCATCAGAACAATCGCTAAAACTCGTGTATTTCGTTACATTGCGACGTTTACGCTGGGTGTGTGTGTTCTTCTGCAGTTTGGCGCCAACCTCTTGCACGTAACTCGCTTAATCCATGCTGGTAGTATTATACAAAAGAGTCTGTCGAGTACGCTGTTGATAATACCTGGTCTGTTGATTTTTCCGCTGACGAGGTTTTCCTACGCTATATATATCTGGCTTCATGCCGGGTTTTTACCGCGTAATGCACAGGCACTATCTGAATCACTGTCCATTCTTCTCCAGGTTACGGACGTAGCTAAAATCTTATCACTGTCCATCTGTCTGCTGGCACTTTTTCCTGGGACAAATTTCATTACCAACTTCTCTAATCTGCCAAGTCTGACGGCGAATCTGGCCGCCAGGTATCATTATATTTTTGGCGCATTTAGTACACCCTTTATAATGTTCATGCTCACGCTGCTTATATTGTCCATTGTGGGATACGAAACCGTTTTATGCACGCTAGTTGTGTTTCCGGTTATGGAAGGACTACAGTTGTCGGCACTATGTCATAACATCCACTCTTCGATTTCTTACACTCCTTACGATTCCGCAACTGTGCAGAAAATGCTGGATAGACATTTAACTATTGTACTGCGTTTGTCGGCATATAACTCGCATATGTCATGGTTGAATTTCTTGACCTTTACGGAGACGCTGTTCAGTGCGTTATCGTACCTTCAAGCCGTTCTCGACGACGCCATACTGGCACAACGTTCCACACCAAAGTCAATGTGGTTGTTTTTTGTAATGGACTGCCTTATGATAACGACACAGGTGTTGGCACTTGTATATGTTAATGAAAAGGTAACCAAAGTTGACCCAGTGAATTTATACAGAAGGATCACTTTTGCGGTGGCAGTAATGCTGCGTTTTTACGATTTTTCTTCGCTCATTATTCTTTAGGCAGAAAACGTTATCGATACTCTGCGCAAAATATTAGCATTCCAGCAGCCATGTTCGGAGATTGTGACAGTGGTAAAGCAACATATATTGCGTGTCGCTGCTGTGGAACCACAAATAACGTTTGCTGGAATTCGAGTGGATCGCGAACATGCCACCGCGGTAAACTTTACGAAATGACGTAGACTGTTTTGTTACTTTAACGTGAACGCTTAGACCACATAACTGCAAGAAGTGCATATTGGATAACGATCTCGGTGGTTTCCAAAACTTATGCGTTCTATATCATTATTATGAGCATGGATTGTAACACCACCTGACACTTCGGAACTGGCCATTTTTGCGCGATAGTTTAACCGTTAACATAAAAAGGCTTGGTGTGACACTAACATCGTCCTTGCAGATTGCATGCAGTGTCTGTGGATACGCTTTGCTAATAGCGGAATTGAGCGATAAAAACCGGTAGTCCTGGCGCAGATTGGCGAAAACGAAAGGACAGCAACACTTCTTCCTGCTGCTGCTCGCAGTTTCTCCATTTACTCTTCACCTACTTGAAAGAAAGATATCAGATTGATGTGGCTCCACCCCGCTCCCCTTTGAGGAGAGTCCACCTACCTAGTCCCACCGAGGAGATGATCTCATGCAAATGAAGTGTTGCATTGCTACGTTAACACTAAAGGCGTAATGCACCAGCCTGGTACAATATGTCACAGAATGACGCACAACGAAATTAATGTTTGTAGTGCAACCTACAAATACAGTGAATGAAGCAAGTGTCTAGTTTCGTCCACCATCCGATTCTTTTATTTTGTATCGTTATTGATAATAAAATGCATTTACGTACGGGCTTCTATGCTAATAGACATGGCATAAGAAATATGAGTTCACCGTATTATAACAGCAACCCAATCTTCACAATCCAATTCGTACCACTGCACCACCATACTTCATAGAAATGCTTTGCTGATTCCCAATAAAACCATTCTGCTAAACTGTTTCACATTTACATCCCGTAAATCCACCTGGTCCCACTGTCTCGGCGTGCCGTCCATGTCGAACCCGCTGAACCTGCAATAACCCATCCACATAACTGACTTATGATACTGCGGTTCGTTGACGTATAAAGTGAAAGGGCTGGCAATAGTGCATCGAAACAATTTTTTTGACGGCATTACCGCTTGCTGCTTCGGCTGGGGTGGACGTTACGGCTGTAATGGTGGTAGGGCTATTGTAATCCGCACTTGCCCTGCTGCTGCGTTCGATAACGCATATCGCCGGAAACGTATCGGCAGCAGGTACGAACACGGCTTACAGAAATACAGCACACCCGGGTTCTACTGCCGGCCCAGTTTGACTGCATTTGTACAACAATGTAATATACATACATACATATTTGTTGGCCGACACAGAAAGACTTACATGCACAGGAAGCTGCGAACAGTCTCCCACTGCTCCGGATAGGCGAGCGTGTCGACCCAGCGAGTATGTACCGCCGCAACCTTGGCGTACACATCATCCGTTATCGGGGGATTATTGTTATCCAATGCCCACATAAAGCGGCTGGCCATGTGCTCCCAGCCTTTATCGCAGCTAAAATGCAGTCGGGGAATGGTGATCTGTAGTCCGTCAATATCCAACATGTAGTCATATGTCTGCGCCACGAAGCGCATTGCCTCCCGTTCGTGTGCCGGCAGAGGCACAAAGCCCATTCCGTTCGATACGAAAACGTCATACATGGGTGGGCCGAAAACTTTAGCCACTGTACAGTTGTACAGCAGGATGCGTTCACAAATGTTTCTCAGTAGACCTATCTGGAATGTTGCACCGTGCTTTCTGCGCAATTTGTCTGGCAAGTAGGGAACACTTGCGCATTGGGTAATGACGCTGTTTTTCAACACAAGTAAAGGTAATTTGATTCCCATGACGGTTAGCAAGTCAGTTAAAAATAAGTCATGATATCCCGGGATGCAGTTCAGTATAACGACGCTTTGGGTTCTTGAGTCGAATGTACGGCTGAGAAGTAATGCGATTTTGTACCAGTTGCACTTGTCGAACAGGGTTTCTATGCAGCTTTCCAGGGATACACTGAAGTGACTAATTTTGCGGGTCAGCAGGATCCGCCACAGTGCACATACTCTGTGCGAACAGTAAATCCGTCAGATAGTAACAAAATATTGTAAAATTGAGACAAACGACAGCATAGCTTTATCATATTTTACCAAAAAACTTATTTTGCCAAAAAAAGTGCTCGTGTGTAAAAACGTCCGGACGACCATGGCTTCCGTCAACTGACCCATCAAAACGTCTGGCAGCCATTAAATTGACGCACAACGCAAGCTATGCCCGCCCAGTTTTCTGCGTTTTCGATCGGTAAACGTGTGTGTCTGTTTCGAGCCGGACACTTAGGCTGTCCAGACGATTTGGTCGGATTTGGTCGGTAACATGTGCAAATAAAATCTTTGCTATTACTAGCATAATAATCAAAAAATTCTATGGAGCTGCACCGGAGAACTCGGCATTTCATGCACACCAGCAATATACAATGCCCGCTTACCGCTGGATCCTCATGCGTGCATGCAGATCTAAGTGAGAAAAGATCTCATTCAATAGTGGATGCGGCAGATAACAAACATGTGCATCCGAGTTCCACGAGTCAAATTCCACATCTACGGGAAATTTAAAGAAGACATTGATTCGCGCTGATGTCCATTATACACGTAAGTACCAAAACTTGACACCTATAGCTCACATTTTTCATGCAGACCACCTTCACTATTTGAGAAAGCGGCCACTGGTAGATCCGCACGGTTTGCTAGATGTGTCTCAAGTAATCGCGACAGTGTTACAGCCGTTGTGGCCGTCGCCGCCGTCTCCGGGTCATTGGCGAAAGCGTTTATGGTAATGAACGTGCAACCATCCTCTTCGATTCGTAAATGAAATCGGCATGGCTCCGAGTGCTTTCCTGGCGCCGAATGGCAATCAAAGGCGTTGCGAAAATATCCGATAATCCGATATTTATTAGAGGTGTCACTCAGAACTTCTTGGGCCCTGACACAGGGAATGAAGTGCTTGCTGTAGGCTAAACCGTCGTTTCGGTACTGCAATGGTGGTTCGTCGACCGGCATCTTCCGGATGACTTGACACTCGTCTACCAGTTCCGTGCGAGTCGATCTGTGCGCAGAGTCGCTGTTTGTTTCAGGAGTTGCCGTTGTGACGAAGAACATCAGCCAGTCTCCGCCCCATACAGAGCCCAACAGAGTTGCGGGTCGAAACCTGAACGGGCCGTCGTCTTCGTCACGCAGTGCGACATACACTGGCATGTTTTTCCACTGATTATCTGCCCAGTGGTGACTATCGATAAGGAATGGCACCGGCCATACGTGTCTCGCATGGATCCAGCCGGCCGCAGCCTTTTTCGAACTAAAACTGATAAACACGAGGTCTCCTTCCAGGTCTTGAATGTTACCCAACCACCATGCTCCGTCATCGCGGTAGACAGCGACGGTGTTCTGATAACTCATTTGGTTGGCATCAGCTAAGAGCCGCTCATACGGAGGCATCGCGCTGGACTCCATACTTGTGTTAGTCATCATATTACTATTAATACTGGACTGGCCCATACGCAACGGGAGAAAAGTAAAAAAATCTGTGCATATATCTTTGATCTGTTTGGAAGTCGAACGGTACTGCAGCTTGGTACTCGTATTTTGTGTATACTGTTGTGAGGAGCGAACAAGAAAGAATACAGCAAAGTACCGACAAACATGTTTTTTTTCAATGCTGCCGAAGGCGCCCATTGCGAGTTTTTATGGTACTGCATCGCTCGAATATGAAGGGACAATCCGCTTGACAAGCTCGCCGCGAGCGCAACTCTCTTGTTTAAATGCATGACTTCAGAATAATCATTTTTTCAATCACATTCTGCACGAGCGCACTGACCAGGGCACATTTTCCGCGTCCAAATTCAGAAAAATTTGATCTTTGGCATAAACATAGTATACCATCGTAGTATATTTAAAAAAATAATTTCAGCTGCTGACACTCAAAGGGCGTGGCCAAAACAAAATTAATAAGTAAGTAATACTGCATGTTATTACAATGCACTACCGTTACACCCGCATAGGCTTTTTATAAAATAACAGCATATCAGGAAAGTTTCACCTCTTGCAGAAACGTAGTATTTTGCCACATGAAAATGAAAATTTTATTGTGCAAACGTTAAGACGACACAGTATAAATACCATTTTGTTGCTGCGTTTCTTTGCAGTAGTGCAACAGTACGTACCAGTACCACATACTGCCACTGTATTTGCATTCTGGATTTTGCTTTTCCTCACTGTGTGCAGTGTGCTCCTGAAACTTGTGATAAATATTAAACTTCATTATTTTTTAACCGTGCTATAGTCGTACACTGTCATTCGGCAAAATATGAGTATTTCCTGATTTATTATTATTACGCTGATACAAACAGCTGCTAGAGTACTACACTAGTGCAGTGCAATAGTATGCACTATGACTTAATAATTTTGTTTTGGCCACGCCCTTTAAGTGTCAGCAGCTGAAATTATGTTTTTAAATATACTACGATGGTATACTATGTTTCTGCCAAAGATCAGATTTTTCTGAATTTGGACCCGGAAAATGTGCCCTGGTGAGCAATATGCACAAATCGCTTCGCAATAACAATCGGTAAAATCGAAAATTATTAGTATGTTCAGTCAAACAATTCAGTTAAAGGTACGACATTCATCGCTTCTCTGCCTTCTCAAGCAAAACAGAAGACTTAAACGACGTGTCTGGCAAACTCAGAGTTTCAGTTAATTGCCGTGCTGGATGGATTACAATAATAAGTAGTCCAATCTTTGGCGTAACGCATAAAGTGCATCAAAATTTGCGAGAGATACTCAGAATATGGCCATGATGTAAAATAACTGAAAAAACATAATTAACTGCAACAAAAATTTAACAAAAAGATATTAACAAAAGCATCTATAAGCTCACGCAAGATGTAAAAAAGGAAGACGTCCATTGGTGCGCTGTGGCTACCCTTGAATACGGTTTTTCGACAAAATACGTGCCAACATTCCAAATCAAATAACAACACGTTATCTCCACACAATGACACGGATCGTTTAAGGAAATGCCTCGGAGATCCCCAGCAAAGCCATTCTTCCCAGCTGTTGCACATTCACATTCCGCAAATCCACCAGATCCCACAGTTTCGGTGTGCCGTCCTCGCCAAACCCATTAAACCTCCAACAATTCAGATATGTAGGTGGGTCAATGCATTTCGTTAAGCTACTGAAGTTCTCATATATACCATGATAATATGCCATGAAAATTTCCCTACTGTAAGTAAGCCAACAACTAGACTTACAGGCATAAGAACGCGCGAATTGTCTCCCATTCAGCCGGATAAGCGAGAGTGCGCATCCAGCGAGACCACACTGCCGTGACTTTAGCGTACACGTCATCGGTGATCGGCGGACAGTTGATGTCCAGCGCCCACATGAAACGGCTGGCCATGTGCTCCCATCCATGGTTGCAGAACAGCGTCACCCGGGGAATATTAACGTGCAGGTCGTCAATGGCCATTTGGTGGTCGTACGATCGCCGTGCGAAACGCATAGTTTTCACTTCATGTAACGGCAGAGATACAAAGCCCATTCCGTTCGATACGAAGACGTCGTGCATTTGTTGACCGAAAATCTTACTTACTGTGCAGTTGTACAACACAATGCGTTCACACCTATACTGCAACATATCCATTTCCCATGTGGCACCGTGCTTTCGCCGCAGTCCGTCCGATGTGCACGGCACACTTGAGCAGCGGTTAATATCAGTTCTTAAGACGATTAAAGGCACTTTGATATTGATGATCCGTAGTATCTCAGCCAAAAACGGTTGATGATCTCTTGGCACTGAGTGTAGTACAACGAGGCTTTTTGTCGTCGAACGAAGGGTGCGGCTGAGCAAAAACGCCATTCGGTGCCAGTTGTAAGTGTCATAGTGCCGTTCACAGTATTCATCTGAACGATGCAGAGCACAGCTTGCCAACGATATGCGGACGTGATCTTTTGCCCAGCAATTCCTGTTCACAAGGCTCTGCCATAGTGCACAGACTCTGTTCAAACAATAGCATCATCAGATTGTAAGATAAAGATAAGAAGAATCAGAACACAGAGAATTTTTATAATGTGTCTAGGAATTTCCTACTTATTAAGGCAAAATGCGCACACTACCTTGTATCTCAGCAACGCAAAGCAGCGCAAAACACCTCATGTCAGCTTACCGTTGAATCCGCATCAGTCCTTGCAGATCCAGATGAGAAAACATCTCAATCATGAGTTCATGCGGCAGATCACAAAGCCTAATATATATGAGTACATCCGGCGACAACAGGTGAACCGCCATATCTAAACAGCAACAACGATTTTAGGAGGCTGCAGTAAACGTTACAGCTCTCATTGAGACTTCTCAACTTCATTTAGACATAAGCACAACTACCGCTTTCTACATTTATACCTTCATAAAAATTGAGGCTTCGCAAAACGGCCGTTTTCGACGCTGTCCGGCTCGCTACATGTTTCTTTAGCATCTCCAGCAATCTGGGCGTCAACGGCGACTCCCCGACAAGACCAATAATGACAAACGTGCATCGGTTTTCGGAGATACGCAAATGAAATCTGCACCACTCCGGCCGCCTTCCCTGCTCCGCATAACGATTAAAAAAGCCGCGGATGTGCTTAATAATCCGAAATGCATCCGAACTGTCTTTGAACACTGCATTTGCTCTGTTAAAGGGAATCACATGCTTCCGGTACACCAAACCAGTTCTTCGGTAGAGCAATGGTGGTTCATCAATCGGCCCCGGCAGAAGCCGCAAGATCTGTCCCTGGTCCACCAGTTCAGTACGGCTTGCACTGTCCAGCTCGTTGTTTCTTGAGGTAGGTTTTGTTGCAATGTAGTAAATCCACCCCGCACCACATTCGCTCGCATAATAGTCCAGTACCATCGCGGGTCGAAACCGGAACGGACCATCGTCTTCATCCCGTAGCGCCACGTACACCTCCGTGTTTTTCAATTGATAACCTATACCGGGGTGATTGTCGGCAATAAAGGGCAGCGGCCATACGCGTCCCGCGTGGGTCCAGCTGACGTTGACCTTTTTCGAGCCAAAGTGAATAAGAACAAAGTCGCAGTCAATATCCTGAATGTACCCCAGCCACCACGAACCATCATCCCGGCAGACAGCGACGGTGTTCTGGTAATTCATCTGGTTGGCATCAGCTAAGAGCCGTTCAAATGGGGGCATCACGCTTGTGTCCATCGTTATCTGTACGAGTATACGCAAAAAAACAGTCCCACAAAGTACGAACAACTAACACCATAATGCCTACAAAATCGATATACGAGTATGGTCCTCATAGAATGCTCACCTGCAAATGAGTTGTTGCAGACTATTTACAGTGCAGCTCACCGGTCAGTGCCGCGCAAATACCACTGTAATACAGTACCACTGTAATATTCCAGTCGTCTTTTGACTCCTTTGCAATTCGGCTTATAGTGTGGAAAATGGCTCGGTTGCATATCTAGGAGTTCATACTTATAGAAATAATTACTTAGGTAGCGGAAGGGCGGGAAGAGTACAAGTATTTTATAACAATGTTGCAGAAAAGTTGTGTCCGGGTAGCTTAGCCAACTGCCCATGAAATGGGGTTTTTTTAGCATGAAGGATGACGACAAGCACCGTTACATAAGAACACCCTGAAAGAAAAATCCTCCCAGATTAGATGAGACTGGCATTTACTAGTGCTATTGGACGACTTTCGACTGATTTGCCCCATTTTGCTAGCCTATTTTTGCTTGTCTATCTTCCTCACCTGTATGGGGTTTGTAACCCGTTTGTTAGTTTTGGCTGTTCGAGAACACTAGAATGCAGTAGAAAAAGAACACTGGATAGGTGTCGTGTCTAATGCTCTTAAATAGATTTCTAATGCTCTTAAATAGATGATAGTATCTAATGCTGTTAAATAGTACAGTACAGCTTGATTTCTCTTTAGTGTAGCGTGCAAAGCGTTACGCGTATGATCTGAACTCTGATTAAAGCAGCATGATCCTATCAAAGGGAGATACAGACAGGGTGTTACGCGTTACTGTCTTAGTCCTAACATCCAGTACTCATCTATCTTGCTTCTACCATTTGATGCGCTTAATAATAACCAAAAAGTAGGCACATTTTATTAAAAGTTCATAGTTTACAGGCATTGGTGTGTAGTATTACCATTTGCGCTTATTAAATGGGAGAGGTCACAAAGTAATAATTATTTTGTGACCTTTATTTGTTAAGGAACAATTAAAGTACGGATTACGGTTGCACGTTATTCGCCGACATCTTTGCCCCGTATTGATTGCCAGTAGCAGATCCAGTTGTCATCCGGTAGCAGATTGCCGAATTCGTCACATTTCCGTTTAACACCTTCAGCTTCTCATATTAGTAGGTCGTGAGAAAGACAACCCGTGCAGAGAAGAAACCAATCAGAATCAACCAAATGAGGCCGGAAGATGAAAAGGCGTTAAACAGTGCCTGCGATCGCGCCAACTTTGTATTAAAATCGCCCAACCCCGTGGCTTACCGACGCGGACGGAACCTGAGATCCCGATTCCCCTGCGACCGGAAGGGCAAGTGCACACCCCGATTGTGGCGTACGCAGCAATAGATTTGGATTCTGTATCGTAGTGTGATGTCACGAGATATAGTGTCTATAGTGCCTTGGTGTCCTGTATGTCCAGCCTGGCAACTGCGGTAGCAGTATTCCAGTTTTGTCACGCTTGTTGATATTTACGATTGTTAGTTGGTTTTGTGCGCCCTCATTGGTGGGTAATACAAGATATTACGATATTACTGCGACCCTCAGGTTTTGGCAGCTTCATTGCGGACACAGGACTTAAAAACAGCTTTCACTACAGATAATTCTAATAGGTCGCAAAAAAATCTAGAAAGCGCATATTAAAACCATCCATAAGTTTACGCAGAATGTATATGACGAGAACATTCTTTGGCGACTTCTCTGTTGTATGCAGCTTTCGAAAATTAATACTTTTGCATCTCCTTCGAATCAAATGACAAGTCATCTTCATATAATGTCACGGCGTTTTATGGAAATGCCTCGCTGATTCCTAATACAGCCATTTTGCTTTGTTGCCCTCATTCACAACTTTCGAATTCACTTCATGATCTTACATATTCATCCTTGTCAACCCAGGAAGCCTAAGCCAAAACCAACCGACTTGCATGCGTAAGAAGCTGTGAATCGTGATGCGGATAAGTCAGAGTACTAACCCAGCGAGTCCCCACCGCGCTGACTTTTGCGTACACAGCGTCCGTAATCGGCGTTTCCGTTGCTTTCGTACATTTTGGGTGGCCTGCATAAAAAGTACTGTGCCTAAATTTTAGGACTATATGTTTGTGTTCCGTCAGTGTTTGCGTTCCTGACGGACGGAACACAAACATGCAGTCCTAAAAGCATGGTAGACTGCTTGGTTTATGTTTGCACTTCCCAACCTTTAACGACTTGCACAGGAGAATTCACAACACCGCAACCGACGCAGTGTATTATAAATTCAATACAGCGGATCGTTGGAGACGGTTGTGTTATGAACTCGCGGGAGTTACCGCGTACCATTAGAGAAACCGTATCAGTATCACTTTGACAGCCGACAGGTGTCGTACTCAAATGCGAACACGATTCCTGTCTGTGTCTCTGTTGCACAATAAAATTAACTGTTTTCGATAACGATAACCGCAACTACAGCTGAGCAAGGCAAAAGTTGGCAGAAGAGTGGCATATGCGACAATATAAATGGATCTGCTATGTAGAACGCTGGGTTACCAGATCAGACAAGCTCTGCTTCGGTGCATTTATGCACAAACAGGAACATACTGAAAACAGCAGCCGGAAAATGAAAAACACTGTCTTGCTATGGCGAATTCTCCTATTGTAGGCGTACTTAGGTTAAAGATTATTTTACATTCAGTGTTAGAAAACTGCATGTACACTACAGCAAAATGCCTGCTAGATCTGATGTGCTGCAGAAAGTCCTCAGAATCCATAACGCCTGTTGGTTGGGCCTTCTGCATTTATGCGGATACTTCTGCTATCCCAGCAACGCCATCGCTACAAGACGCTGGATACGCTATGCCATTCATTGTACCATGGTTCTTTCTCTGATCCTGCAATTCTCCGCCAACGTACTCTATGTCGCTTACTTGATCAAGGAGACGGATCTGATCCGTAAGACATTATCACGGACCATCCTGGCTCTACCGGGTCCGCTGCTTTTCCCGCTAACCCGCTTATTCTACGCAATACACATTTGGCGAATTGCCGGTTTTCTACCGGGCACTGCTCATGCTATTGTGGATTCATTGTCGGTTTTCATTGAGCCGCTCCACGTGATGAAAATAGTGTCACTGTCCGCCTGTCTTTTTCTCGTATCTCCCATTCTGTTTTTGCTAACCAATACAGTCTTAACCGTGCCGTATATAGCGGCATCTCTACCTATCAAATATTACTACATTTTTGGTGGTTACGGTAAACCTATGGTCGCTTGTATCTGTTTTATCCTGCTTTTGTCGTTGGTCGGATACACTATTGTTCTGTGCTTACTGATCGTGTTTCCCGTCATGGAAGGTTTGACTTTCGATGCATTACGGCAGCATATCCAGTCCCTGTCACTGGCCACGCCCACCAGTGAGCGCCTGGTTCAGCGTGTACTGGATCTGCATTTAAGAGTGGCGCAGCGCTTGGATTCTTACAACCGACGCCTGGCGCTGGTACATCTGTTGACCTTTACGGAAACCATGCTCGGCACCATGGTATACGTGCAGATTATCCTGGATGATATAATGCAGCGGCGCAATACAACGACATACCGTTGGGTGTGTTTTTCGTCCTACTGCGTTATGACCCCGGCACATTTGTTGGCGCTGGTGTATGTAAACGAGAAGGTAAGGTCGATCTGTTAGTAAATTAATTTACTTTAATTTAGTCTAGTTTATTCGTTGCGCAGGTAAGACCTCGAGGCACTCTCAAGTTTGAACATTATGATATGAACGTTTTAACAGACAAGATTAAAGAATATCTTGTATTCTTTAGCAGTGCCACAACCTAGCAATTCAATGCCATAATTTTTTTCCGCCAACAGTTATTTTGTCCAAAAGAATCTGCTGCGTCGTCCCTAGAACAGTCTTTCCAAAATATACTGACCTTGACAATTTGTTTAAAATTTGCTAAATTTTCAGCCAGTACAGTCTGTATTCACATTTTAGGCTACTCCAGTTTTGTGAGTATTATTTTTTTATACTTTTTAAGGCAGGGAGCGTTGTCAGTGCACTCCGCCAGATTGCAACCTTTAAAAGATCGTCGTCCGGTATTACGGAAATGGTACAGCGGCACTTACAACAAATCACTGCTCTGCAACCACAAATAACCTTTGGTGGAGTGCTAGTGGATCGTGAGAAAGCTGTCGCGGTAATGCGTGTTCCTATCCTAAATGAACGTCAAGTGATTTTTTTGAGTACATGTTTAAATTATAACCTGTAAGCGTAATACGTAGAACCGCACAATTTAAAAGGAACCTCGTTTGTTTGGAATAAGTATGTTTTGCAGATTGCATGCGGCGTCTTCGGGTACGCATTGCTGATTGCGGAGCTAAGCGACAAGAGTCACTAACAACACCTCGAAAATCCAGCCAAACTATTAAAACAATATCAGGGTGGCGGATATTCAACGAATCCAACAGTCGTAAGCCACAAGAGTGGCCTGTACAGTTCGAAGACGTGTAACGGATGAATGCTTTTGAGCCAACTGCTTTGCGATTTATGTCATCCCTAAAGGTTTTTCCATACAGCAGTTTGAAACCGTAAGCGGTTTATTTCAAAGCAAAAACAATAAAAACCAGATTATGAAGGGTAAATAATTTACGAGTGTTATAGCAATGGTACAGATAAAATAGCGAGGGCCATTTTATCTGTACAGGAAGTATAAATACAGTATGGTCAGACGTTATCTTGCCATTTAACCGAATGCTATGTCGACGCGGAATGACCGGTATGCCGGCTATTTCCCGTTTTGCCGAAACCGCTTGCAGGCAGCGCCGGCTCCGCCCACATTCCCCGCCATAATCTCCGACATCCCTGTCGTGTAATCTGCAGCGTATCCGTCATCCAGAAATAGATTGCCGAATTCGTCGCACTACTTCCGTGCGACAACACCAGCGCCACAAAATTGTACGTCTTGGGAAAAGCAATCCAGGCGCGCCCGACGAAGAAGAATCCAATCAGAATCCACGAGACCAGAAAGATGAGAAAAACGTTGAACAACGCCTTCAGCAGCGCCATCTCCGTACGGAAACTCCCTGCTGGATCGGGAACGGATCCAGGATGCGAATTTCCCGATGACCGGGAGGGCGCCACGGCCCGCCGACGGACCGCCCGACTGTTCCGGACGCGCAGATAAATCTGGACATAAGCGTAGAAACTGATCAGAATGGGGATGAGGATGGCCCAAGAGCCGAAGAAGATGGAGTAGGACCAAACGTGCAGTTCGGTGGTGCAGAGATAAAGGTCATCGGAGTAGGCAGTCACGCCCCAGCCGATGAGATTGGGTAGATGGATTAGATGGGCGATCATCCAGAGGAGAAGGATAATGAAGATGGTGCGGGGTACCGTAAAGAGCTTGATATGCAATGAATAATGGCAGATACAGATGTACCTAAGAATGGGAATTTTTTTGTAAATCAGTATGGCCTATTATTCTTCAGCGTTTTTCGGCTATTATCGTATTTACAACCTGAAACGAGACCGATTCATATTAACATGTACAAATGTGCCGCTTATAATGCATTTATGACAAAAAAAGTGAAGATCGGCCGATATTTATGCGCGTTGGATGTACAGTACTTCTGCTTCTCACTTTTCCAACTGAAGTAGTCATCAGTAGACGCGAACAGAGAAGCGCTAAATTGGAGCTGTATGTAGTAAAACAAAGCTCTTACGCTACATCCTACATCGTAGGCTAAAAATTAATGCTGAGCAGTAAAAAAAATGAGCATATGTTAATAAGCTACCGCACGCTGGTTTCCTTTATGATGATTCTTTCTTGTTGAATGTATTAATTTGGTATACAGGTTCGAAATAGTTTACTAATAAAAATTGCCGAAACTGACCTTTCTACACTGATTGCCATGATGCACCACACGGAGCCGGCACAAGCCGTAGCGCAGATTGTCCCGTCCATTTCGCAGAACCAGGGATTGTCACGGAAGAAACGCGGTCCTGCCATGGTCCCTTTTAATTAGAAGAACCACTCAGTCATGTTTCTGGCCTGGAGGCTCTCCCGTACGTCCCACCGCTCACTTACCGACAATGTTGGCGGGAATAATGAAAGCTGTGATGATGAGGTCAGCAGCGGCCAAATTGCCGACGAACGCATACTGGATCTGGTGGAGTTCTTTGAGAATGACAAAGGACAGCAATACCTGATAAATAAAATGTCATACGCTTTACGAATACGCTAGAGTACAAAATGTCATGCGCTTTTTCATGCAATACAGTAATAACCATACGGGATTGTTCTGCGTTACTAAATACAGATTTGCATCCTTGACTCTAAGCCACCGTGAAAACAGTGCCCTCGGACTATTTATCTTTCAAAATTGTGCAGTATTTGACTTTATCAACTTCGTGGCACATAATATATTTTTTCCTTACGCCGTTCGCAGTTGTTCAATCTCACATGCTCATATTGGTTGTTACATACTGCATATTCCGAACATCATAAGCCAAAGGCGGTTAACGAAAATTGAAACGCCACAGCATAAGTAGCTTCTTACTAGCAAATTCATATTTCTTAACAATATTTTGCCAACTTTCTTACCACAATGTTAGCCAATGTGCCAAACACAGCCAGAACGGTCATAACGGCACAAAACACGTAGTTGAGTGTGCGCTCGGCCGCCCACTGCTGGTTGAATTCGTGGATGAGAATGTCCCATTCCGTCGTATTATGAAACTGCGATACATTATAACTCATAACTGCGGGCTAATAATAGTTGTGCACGTTTTTAACATCGACAATAACAGCGCAGATATCTGCTCCAGATATCTCTTTAAAGGTCAATGTTGATGGCGATTGGATGAAGAGGAAAAGGTGACATTCAAAACGCGCTGTCAGCGCTTTACATGTCCAGAATGTCGAATAACCATAAAGTTACTGTAATCTGAGAAAAACAATAATGATTAGACAGTGATAGGTGTCGGAAGTTCAGGCAGCTTGTTTTTCCTTTACACCGACAAATACAGCGTGCTTTCGTCTTACTCTGAGCCTAGTTATCCGGTTAAAATTAAAACTAAATCCTCTCCGTTCCCGGAACGCTGCTGTTTTTCATCAGTATTACGTACGGTTTTCTGCTCTACTAAACTTCAATTTTGTGAGTTGCCGGCTTGCTGTTTTCTTCTAACGCTTCATCTGGCGGTAATAAGGTTGAAGTCTGTGTTTGCAGAATAACATCTGACTTTCAGTAATTAAACACGCCTTGTTGACGGCTCATGTCGTCGGAGTCACTTTTCCAATCAGACCTTCGCAGCCAAACAGAGAGGATGTTATGCCACTAAATCTTCCTTGATCTTTAGAGCACTGAAGGGCGGATACGTATGCGAAACCTCTTTTATCAGGATGTTATGAGTTCCTGGGAGCGCCGCGGAAACACGAGAGGATTAGCTATCAATTTTTACTCGTATATGTTACTTTCTTATGCACTGAAGTACCTCTGATGCTCTTGTACGTTACTTTCTTATGACAAATATATTGCACGGAATCTACAGATCTATTTCAATTTGTGCAATGCTAGGGTTGGGCATCTACAGACTGTACTCTATCTTTTATAATGGGATGCTTCTGTATGCACTTGTACTTCTACTAATGAAAATTTAACACCGCAGGTAACCCAATTGTAGGCACTTATTATTTTCTTCAAGCAGTCGAAAACCACATTTTTAGAGATAAGATGCCGTTTATATTCGTGGCTGTGACTATTTTCACTCCCCTTACACCCAGCTGTGATTATTGCCACCACCCTTTCAATTTATTGCTTATAATTTAGTCTTGCCACCAGCGGCTCTTTTTCTGTCATGTCCCAGCCAACATTGGCAGAGAAAGGTGCTAAACGCTGCTGATTTACAATGGACTTCAAAACTGGCTTAACGCTGTTCGATAAAGCCAGTAAAACCGATCGGTCCAGTCCAACCTCAAGTGGTAATATTCACAAAATACTGCAGCATAAAAAACGAAAACGTCAAGTTCTTGGTATTTCTTTCTACTGTACATACTCGTGCGTTTCTTTTTTCTAAGACATTGTTGGATGAGAGATCAGTGTAGCGACGAAGTCTGATAGAAACTGGCTGAGGGGTGACGACACTTAAAAAGGCTGTGAAAGGTGGTGGCAAAATATACAGTACTCTAACTTTTTAAATTAAGGGAGTGGCAGCAGCCGAAGGGGGCGTAGGGAAGTGACAACAGCCACTTTTTTTATATTCTTTGGTCCAAGTAGTCATAGTTTCTGTTACTGTTTAAACGGGTTTTAAATGAGCACTATTTATGAGCCGGAAATCAAAATTGACTGGAGCAAGACTTTCTACGGATTCGTTAAAGCAGCGCACCAGTTTTGCTGTTGATAAAGGCACTCTGCTCGAGAGCCGGACTGCTCTACCGGGAACAAATTTTATTTTGTTACTGTTTAAACTTGAGACTGCATAGTAAGTACAGCGGGGCTAACTAAAGGGGGCGGGGCTAAAGGTACCAGTATTGCTTAAAAATCTCTGCCGAACAATATATACCGTCTGCGTGCTTATTGATCAATTTTTTATTAGAGTTACAATAGGACGTTACTATACCAGTACAGAGTACATAGATAGTGACACCTTTGACAGTTTTTGTCTACCGGAAGAAAAGTTATTTTTGCTGTATGTTACCGTAAATGCGCACTTAAACTTGCTTACCTACCATCACAAGAAGATTCTATTGATTTGTCATATTATCAACAGCATTTCCCAGCAGCGTGGCTAGGTTTAATATATTTAGAAGATACATTTAACTGGGTGAGAAAGGAATTTCTGTGCAATATTGCTGTGGGAGATTCTTGAGCGGAAGTACAGAATTCCAACACACTCATAATCAGAATCACCAGCAAATTGGCCGAATACTGTACCGATTACATGACCACCCTACCGAACAGACTCTAGAGTCTACGGTAGATACACCGCTGGCAGAACACACAGCCTTTACGACACCGATGCTGCCGGTTGTTTTGCTTGTTTTCCGGTACATTGCCGTCCCGTCTTCACTGTCTCGCTGGTCGCTACATGGTTACATCAGCTGCGGCAGCAGCATCCAACCGGTCCTCTTCACTGTTTTAATCATATACAAACATCCGCCACATATGATGTGATGTAATCAATGAATCATCGTCTGAACGGCCAACTGCACAGCGTTTTACAAAAAACAAAACAAAACGCGCAGGTATATATAATTCGGAACCGACTGCACTTATTCTCACCACATACTTCCGGAACACTGGAGAAATCAGTACCGAAATTCTCTTTACTACACAATGCAGTCGATCCTCGCTCTGATCGTGCTCCTGGTCGCCCTCTGCGGTGTGGTTACCGGTAAGTGTTAAAAAGGTCACCGGCATTTTTTCTAAGTCGCTTTTTAACCGGTGCGTTTTTTTCTCAGCAAAGGATGAAACATGCATTTTAGCCAAAGATTGTCGCGATGCCGGCACGACGTGTATCGGGGGAAAGTGTACATGTTGGACTGATCTGGGCGCAGCGGCAGCCGATGCATGGGTAAAAACATGTTCCAAAATCGCGAACAATTAACTGAAAAGGTTACCGCATTTTTGGTTTATAGTCGTGTGACAGTGATTCAAAATGCCAAGTCAGCTTTCCCGGACACGTTTGCCGCGTGTCGTCGGATTGTGCGATAACACTGGGACGGAAAGGTTACTGTCAACCCGTGTAGTTCCGACTGCCGTCAAAAGATACAAATTTTAACTTTTATCTCAGATTTTTTCTTACAATTTTCTGCTTGAACGGATAAAGATTTTTTAGAATCCAAAGCCAAACCAAAGACAAAAATAAATCGAACAAATTACAAATTATGTCGTCGTACGCATATATAGAGTACAATACGTTTACCGGTACATTTTGTACGTCGTATTGTTCTTACGATTAAATTGTTGTACAGCCAATTATCATGAGCACGTAAAAGTATGTAAATAACCAAAATTTTATTTTATTGCCACTTCGTCGCTGTTTCCTTTCGCCATAATATAATTACAGTATTTCAACTTGTTTTTATTGCAAATAAGCTTTTACCGGCACGTTATTGACTAATTATTTCACGACAATATGATAATTACAACACAGCATATCATCGTATTTTTCAGTTTTGGTTAACGTGCTTCGTTCCGACGGAAAACATCGAACAAAACGTTTTAGAAATATATATCGATCACTGAACAAAATACGCATCAACCGGAAAAATCTTCTTAACAAGAAACCAAATTCCAATCAAAAACAATCTCACGCGCGTGCAATCACAGACAAAACCCCGACCCCCCCGGGAGGCGGCCGGTATCAACTAAGCTTCAGCTTCCGAAAGAGCAGCTTCTCCAGCTGCATCATGGGCACCTCGAAGGCCAGCGAGACCACCGCGGCCAATCCCATGGTGATGCAGACATGCCCGAAGAAATAGTAGGTCATGGTGTACTTGTCGTAGCGCAGCGGTGACGTCATGATGTAGTACTGGTGGAAGATGACCATGGGGTGGATCAGATAGGCGCAGTACGTCAGCCGGGACAGCGGGATGAAGCCGCGGAATGACAGGAAGACGTTGACGGGGCCGCCGTAGCCGTAGATGCAGGCGGCGATCAGCCAGGACAGGCCGACCGCCCAGGCGGTGCGGTGCAGGGCGTTGTAGGCGCTGGCCAGGTTGTTGGAGAAAGGCGCGCCGTTGTCGTTGGGATACGTGCCGTACACGATGCTGACAACTATTAACAGAAGTTTTTTATCAAAATAAAACTCAACGAAAATAATTTAACATAAACCGAAGCGCGAATCAGCTGAAATAGCTTTCCCGGTAATAAAAAATAATTCAGGCTGAATGAAGCACGTATCTGTGTCCAAAAACAGCTCTTATGTTTTTTTAATATTTCCTCGGTAAATGTTTATTTATTTTTAATCAGTAAATTAACCAATTTCATTCCAATTTCCATCAATATATTATAAAAAAAATTGTTATCAAATTTTATTGTAATTTTCGTTAATAAATTAACCGCAAGATATATTACTTCCATTGTTTTAGTCACTCTATGATAACTTTCTTCATTTAAATGCTGCTAATATTTTTCGCTTACATATTCCAATGGAGAAAATCCACAGCAGCGTCGTGTATACGGATTTCAGTTTGAGCTCCGGTTTGGATACAATCAAAAATCCCAGGAGAATTCCAATCAGATACGGTCTGCAGAAGCACAATACGGAGAGATTAAATAAACAGCCGTTGCCTGATACAAACGGAATGAATTTCCGGGAGTCACCACTCACCCGATGCGGGTCCAGGGCTTGAAATAATAATACACACTGTAGTTAAGGGCATTTTGTTGGCTCATCCTGCAACACCATAAACAATAACATAAACACGATGCCATGAAAACTCGTAATCGTTAGTTATCAACACGGTAAAAACATTAAATACACACAGACATTCAGCGAAACAAAATATTAATCAGCCACGAAACAAGGAGACAAAAAACTCACGGATCACTGAGGTTGCTGCCGAACTGGCTAATGGGCAGGGCGTAGTGGTGGGAAATGACGGCAGTGACGGCAATGTGCGCCCCCAGGGCGGCCAGCACGGCGACAATGCCCAGTTTCTTGTTCTTGGAAAAGAGATACAGGAAAATGGGACTGATGATGTAGAACTGCATGTCGTTGGCCATGTACCAAGTCCAATTCATACACTGTAACACAACACCAAACTTACATTTCCTACTGAACTCTATAAAATCGTATATACAACTCTATAAAACTCTGAACTCTATAAAATCGAACTCTATCGTATCGTATCGTATCGTATCGTATCGTATCGTATCGTATCGTATCGTATCGTATCGTATCGTATCGATGACCAAAATACGAGGACAATAATTATCAAGGACTGCTAAAAAAAGGTAAGACCACGGATTAATAATTAGAACACTACTTGCATAAGGATTAATAAAAAAATAATACCACGGACTAATAATTAGAACACTACTTGCATAATGATTAATAAAATAATTAATACCACGGATTAAAAATTACATAGATATTAAACGGTTAAGCACTTCACTGTAATATGAATCTGTGTTGGGTAAAGAATTAATGTTCTCGCAAAAGCCAATAAATTAAGCATAAACACATTAAATAAAGAATTAAACAGGACCGGAAGTGGACGCCTGCCGCAACACTTGGTACGCCAACTTCTTCTACCATTAGATTGAGAAATTCTTTACCGAAAAATTTCGTTAATTTGACTACTTTTTCTAAAATCATGCTTAACTCTTAATCTAATCGCGTTACTTATTTTCTTTGATTTCATACGCCGATTTTGCATATAATGAGGGGAAGAGGATGTCAACCAACAGTACAAACAAGTACAATACACCACGCCCACCATTTCCTGGTCTTTGTAGACGTTGTTGATGTAGAAGAAGTTGGCGTACCACGTGTTACGGCAGGCGTCCACTTCCGGTCCGGAGAAGGGCCACCACGGCCCGGCGCCGGTGTAGGCGTACAGCGAGACGTACAGGCCCAGCAGCAGCATGTAGGGCGGGGTCAGACGCCAGAAACGGTGCACGTAGAACACCGGCCAAAACGACCAGTGGGTACGCGGACGCGCCATCAGTTTCTTTAGGGTAATGTACGTCACCAGAAACCCACTACCGACACCAAGAAAATCCAATTAACCTTTACACTCACGCATAATGCACACCTCTTCAAACAGCAATTTACTGAATAACTAAAAGGCTTATTGACTGGTTTCTTATGTTTTTCCTATGCCTCTCTTGACTGATCCTATTCTATTGACTGATCTATAATTTATTGATTTATTTATGAATTTTTTAGCATGCTTCACACCTTCACCGTTCATGGCTCTTAAATTTTCAATATTCAAAATTTTCATTTTTTAGGTTTAGCGACAAAGTGAACCTACTGGGTAATATGTACCGAGTCCCGACTTTACCGACTTACGATTTTTGCTGCGTAATACTACGAATACGATTAAGTAACACAAGATGAATGGCAGTCAAGCAATGATACAAGAAAAAAAGTACAGCAAATAAACAAACTATGTATCTGTAAAGTACAAAATGAAGAGACCTGGGCGTAGGGAGGAAATAATGATTTACCTGATGGTGAAGAACGTGTCAACGGCGACGAAGGCATTGGAGACGGTGTGATCCCAAAAGTCCGACAGAACCGTTAATCCATCCAGAATGTTCGCTGCAGCAAAAATAATATGACGGTCACCCGCGATAATGATAACCGAATCTGTAATCTTTTAAATCCAGTAAATATTTCAGGAGATTTTACAGCGGTCTGAAAGCCGCTGATGCGCTGCAATTACGTTATCGGCATATCAAAAAGTTACAGCCGAGTAGATATTATGTACTTAACCATTAAATTGAATTTAACCGTTGTATTTACATGATAACTACAAATAAATACAGTGACATTACAGTAGACGGGTATGGCGAAGACGTGTGTATGGGCCAGAATGACCCAGCCCATGGTCAGGAAGCGGATCCCGTGCAGACACGCCAGATCCTGGATGCCCGGCGCCCGGACACTCTTGGTGCTCAGCAGGTTCATGCCGTTGGTGTACAGGGAGAATGCCAACAGAATACGCACCACCTGCAATATTAAATTATGTACCTGTATCTATTACATAGGTAACATTCCAAATACTCCAAAGTAAAATTACATTAAAAAAAGTAAGAGCGAAATTGAAAATACAACCAATTAAAAACTGCATGTTACACATTACACATGCAATGTTTTTGCAAAAAACTTTGTTAAACTCATATCGTACGGCAGTATAAAAATCATACACAAAATAATAGCGACAATCAGACATAAAACCGCATAAATCCCACAGAATACATCACATAAAGACACATTACTTCTACAGTTCTACTTAAAGTACTTTATATCTGTATAGCCGTATTATGTATAAATCCTGTTTGAAACATATGTCAAAACTATGCGGTTATCCGAAATAAAAACCGTGCCGTTTATAAGATAAACAATAAATTAATTAATTACGTAAATAACAAAACAATACTAACACGATTACATACAGGTGAACGTTAAATAGATTACACAGAAAGAAAATTTAGAACGGAACATTTCATGCCGATCCGCGAAAGACGGTGTTATTCCCAGTAGAAACAGACAACGTACAATGTGGGCCTCATCGACACGGAAGGTGCTCCTCTGTACCGCCGCGTCCTTCTCCATACCGGTGTCGACCAGCAGCTCATCGTCGTCGGTGCGCGGGGCGGGTGGGACGTAGCGGACTACGGCCACATCGAGGACGGTGCCGGTTATCATAGCGAACAGGAAGCAGCAGCAGACGGCGATCCAGGCGATGGCCTTGGTGTCGTACACGTACTCATTGGCTAACGGTTGGCAAGTAGTTTCCGGCTCCCCAAGCTGACGTTCAACTGGTTCAGTGCTGTTAATCATACCAAAATTATACAAAACGCCCAGACAAACAAACTAATTAAATTATAAAAATGACAATAAAAAATACAGCGTTCCTAAATTAAAAAAAAGAACATAATTAACCAAACAAATTTTTAGAAAATGACAATCCATCAAAAAACCAGAATTAAAATTTCGTTAAGAAAACAAAACCAAATTATTAATAAATAATTTGTTTTAAAAAACTTACCCATGATAAAAAGGATATCCGTATCGCGATCGCTACAGGAATGCGGCATGCAGAGACCGATATGCGGACTGGCCGAAATCATCACAAAACCACTCTATAAATTGACAGGAAACATCAACATTTTACAGAACATAACCGGTTGCAAATATCTGCGCTACCGGCTACCAGACATCCTCGTACCACAATGTCCATAATATTTGATACATACAGCGACACCGCGATTGCTGTTGCTAGTATTCATGACTGACCGGAAGTGGTTGAATGGTCTGGCCCACCGCCACCAGGCAGTAGTGTGTCTGGAATAAACGCTTGGTTTCCGGTAGGGAATTCAGCGCGATGCACTCACTGAAGCTGCCCGGCCAGGTCAGGGCGCCGTGGAGAATGTCGCTGGCCGGTTTAGCTGCGGCGTCCGCCACTGAAAATCAGACAAGTTCCGTCGGCAGCAGTTCACATAAGAATCCGTCCATAACAACTTCGCAACGGTTTAACATACCAATTTTACGCTAAACCAGGGTACTATTAGCCCAAAACTGTATTTAATATATTCATTAATATGAAAGTAAGTAATTACAATTCCAGCTTGAACTACCAAAAAACGAACGAAAAAAAGCTGCGCCAGTAAAATTATAATTCTAATCTTTTCATTTATTGTGGTAATGCTGCTGATAACATTTCCTTCCTTAAATCATTACCAAAAAATTGTTCACTTCCGGTTAGCACTTGATTCGTAGACCCCAAAATGGTTTTTCTTAGATATTTCATTTAGAAATATACAAACAGAATTTCCGTTTGAAAATTTGTTTTTAATGCTAAAATCTCTAAAAAAAACACAAGCAATAATTGTGCAGATAACTGCGGTTACCTTGTAAAGCAAACGTGGAGTTCTGTCGCAATCCCAACAACAAACTGGCCATATCCAGCGCACAGGCACTGCTGACTTGCGGCGCTGGAGTGGACGCCGGGGTGGTGGCCTGCGTGGCGCCGTTCTCCCCCGGAAACGGCCAGCGCCCCTCCACCAGCAGTCGCTGGAGACTGGCCAGGGGGTGGAACATCCCCTCCGCGCCCGGCTGCCCCGTTAGATACTGCTCCTCAAACAGATAACCGATCTCATCGGCGAAATACTCCACATTCGACATCCCGAAGGCGCCGCCGCGGATCATCTGCTCCACGGACAACCCCCCGGAGAGACGGCGGGGGGCTGATGGGGACTGGCCGTAAATGGGGCATAATACCGAGAGAATTAACGTCGTGACCAGGATGATCGCCCGCAGATACTCCATGACAATCCTGATCAACAGAATTTTTTTTACAATTTTATCCCACAATTTTCATAACAACTATCACATGAAAACTGGCGAATTATGCCCCATCAGAGAGTTTTCAGTAGAAGTGATCTTCTTTCTATGTAGCTGTCATCAGGTCGTGCAAGTAGCGAATCGCACGGATAAACGACATTTTGTTCGTATCAGTGGGGCAAGATATGATAAGGTCATTCTACTTTACGGAGGCCGTTCACAAACGCAACGCTAATCACCGGGTAGAGGTCGGTACTTATCGAAAATGGCAACCAGGTTTAATGTAGGTTATTCGTACAATAGTAGTACTCGATCATTTACTCGCAAAATTTTGTTAAGCCGTTTACTCAACCGTCAACAAAACATGAGAAAGTAATCATTGGTAAGCAATTTACGCATTCTGATTTTTGTAGGCTTATCCATCTGCACTTGTACCCAAAACCATGACAAAATAAACGAAATAATTTTTGTGAAATTAGCAATACAGTACGTTTTAAGTAGCGTTATAGCGTGCGCTATAACCGGAAACGGACCAGAAAAAAAACGTTGTTAATTCACATAACTTACTGCAGCTTTAAATTTAATTAACATTAAATTCACCAGTGCTGTACATCAAATTTCGTAATACAGTAAAAGCAATCTAAAATGACAAGTATTCAAAACTAATAGCATCACGTATCCAGAAAAGCTAGAATGTAATCATTCAACCATTCTGGATTTTGTTAGCGGAATAAAATTAACCATTACAAATCCAGGAAGAAGCTTTTTAAAAAACGTTTTACGTGCCATTAACATGGTAAAAATTCAACACAAATTGTGGAACGGTTTGAAAGCACTGAGAGAAAGTCCAGAACTCTTGGTACCTGCTGCCGGCGCAAATGCAGAACAACGGCGTCCATTCTAATCAGGCGCGACGGTGCCGGTATTGAAGAGACTGGGGAACCAGTAGACGGGTTCACTGCGCTGCGCCAGATCCACCCAGGCCATCCCGCCGGTGACCATGTCCTCCAGGACTTTGGCGGCGCGCTCCTCCTGCCAGCGCAGCGACGTCTGCAGTTGGCGCACGCTGGTGTGCGCCGTCTCCTGGGCGGCCAACATCACCTGGTTCTGGTCGAGGCTCAGCTCACCGGGGACGGACTGTACCAGCATTCGGCCGCGCTGCAGCTTGATCAGACTGAATCCGTTGCCCAGGATCTTCAGTTTGTCCATGGCGCGCAGGACGTCGTCGGTGGACAGCTGCTCGCCGCCGGTCTGGCCGCGGCTCTTCACCAGGCGCTGGAAAAGCTCATCCAAAGCCATTATGCCTGTAAACCAAATTCACGTAAATCTTACGACAAGTAAACCTGTTTTCATGGACAGTACAGAAATTTGCCCAGTTACTTCGTTGAAAATAATCGTGAGTAATTTACCATTACTGATTTACCAGCAGTACAAGTAAAGCAAGCATAAACCTACTCCACATTGAGTCCACAACTCAAAATTACTTGGATAACGTTAAGAACTACGATCGTAGTGCATGGGAACACATGTCGAATCTCATTTGCCAAATCAAAAGTTCCGAATCCGTACGCTAACGTGCAAACGTAAATAAATATAAATAAACTGCTTTAATAGTTTTTGAAATTTTTAGCGCATTAAATATATTAGTTTTTACTCACTTTTTAGAACTTAAAATTTCTCGCTGCAATCGCATCGCATAATGAATTTTTCAACAGCTTTTATGCCTCCGTACAGATTATATAGTTGTTATACAACACTGCAGTTTCAATTTTCACACAAGATACTACAAGCAAACATCCCAGAGTGTTGAAAGATTGTACGTCCTGTGAAAACTCAAATCCATCAAGTAAAAATGTAAAATTTAAAAAATAAGCCAAACCACCGAATTGATAACTACTATTGAACCATAAATTCACAATCACCAATAAATTCGTAAACACAAAATAAGGCAGTGTTATAACCGGCCAAGATCATGATTAAGAGTACTAGAAAGGTTTCAAACTTTGTAAACAAGATAAAATATTATTTGTTTACCCATAAAAGTTATGCTAGCCTACGTTTTCACTCACCGCCGTTTTTGTGGTTGTTGGCCATGCAGATCTCCACAATCTGCACTCCCAGCTCGTAGTAAAAATCCCCCACCCCCAGCATCTCACTCCAGAAGCCCTTACTGGACGCCAGGGGGTCCACGCCGATGGTGGCGCACATCTCCTGGAACTGGCGCCGGAATTCGGGATCCTTGCGGATTTCGTTCTTGTGGCGCGTGGCGAACTCCTTCAGTTTGTCGCGCAGCGTGCCCAACTGGCCGGACAACTGGCGCAGCTGGTCGGCCGCCAACTCCTCGCCCCGATCCTTGAAGCGGGCCTCCTGCATCTTCTTCTTGTCGATCGCCCCGATTCCCGCGCGACGATGCATGGTGGTGAGGGTTGGGAGTTTTGGGGACGGATCACAACTCGGCGAAATATTCACGATCAGCACGAATCACAACGACAAATGCAATCAACTAATCACAGCTGCAATTTCCTAGCCAGTGCAACCAAACAGCAGATCTCATGATACATAACCCGCAAAAAACCAATACATAAAAGATTTGGTAGTAATGACTAGTCCAATTGTAGCAAAACAATCAAATGAATTACAAAAACGGAGATCTTTAAAAACTTGAAAAGGAACAGAAGTGAGAAGTAAAATTTCGACTTCACATTTTTTACTTGTTATCGATTGGGTATCGGTAGCGTGCAGAGAGGCAAGGGCAACTTTCAGTCAAAACTGTAGTAACGTTACGGACTACTCGGGGGCTGACAACAAGTGTTACATGATTTGTGACACCATGTGCACATTTCTGCTGTTCGGTCGGGCTCGTAACATTTGGGGCTCTGCCGTATTTCGAGCCAAATTTAATCGTATGTTGTTGCTCCTTTAAATCTGAAGAACTAGAACTCTGGATGACTGTTTTGTGAAGAGATTATATTTTTTGGATGATCCGATGAGGTATTAGCTGTGTATAAAGGTAAGGAAGCCATTCCAGCAGCTCGTGTGCGCGGAAACTCTGTGTGGGTCGCTTGGATCAGATTCGTTGTCAGGGTGCTATTGTTAATCGTGCGCTGTCGTTTCAGTTCTCTGTATCGACTACGTTAATCTGCGTTATAATAACATGGCGCGACAATCTTGAGCATTAATATTCTTTGGCAAATTAGCTCACTTTGGATAGAAGTGCTTGGTTGATTCACGAACACTTGCGTTTTGTGTTTCTGGAATTCCCTTTGATTGCACATCGACTAAGTTAAAGTGGGATTTTTTTGCAGGATTTTATTGTGATCGTGGCATAAAGAGACGTACCGTTCCGCGATGACGTCGTTGCATTTCTTGCGCGCTGTACCGCAGCAGGTGCAGCGCTTTTCCAGTGTGGTCTTTCTGCGTCACACGCGTCTGGCCTCGCACGCGGCCACCCTCCAGCATCCATCGGGGGAGGTCTGCGTGGAGGACCAGCACGCGCATCATCCGTTTGTGCCGCCGTACCGGGAGTTTATCGGGAATCGCGAGATTGTCGGCTACGGATGGGCGGGCGTTCCTACCTACGGGGACAGCTACATCTGGCCCTACCCCGCTGTCAGGTACTTACTGCTAGAAAGGCATTAGGTATCCCTCATAGGCAGATCCGGCGCTATTTCAACTATTTTCAGAATATAAGTATTTTCAACATTCTGTAGTTCGGTAAAAAGATGATCATCCGTAAAAATTTATGGTTTGATAATAAAATAGGCTGCACTGTATTTGGTGTTCACGTTACAATTGAGATCGTCAGGTTCATCAGAATTGCGCCTTATCTGCTCATTGCTGCACTTTATTTGACACACCATATTACCTGAATTTGACACTAAGTATCTATAAAAAGGTATATTATCCGAGAATTATACGCGAAGCTTGCGTTCTTGTATTGAATTTGCTTCTGAGTAAAGTGAACTGTTAAGTGTTACATTGCTTATTTCTTGAAAGTTATCTGGGTGCTCTGAACTGTCTCGGTAGCCTGGTGTCTCAGATCTACAGAGTATATGAAATAAGAAATTCAAAAATTGATTAAATATTGGCTTTTTATCTCGCTTTTACGCTCGTTGTTACAATCTGTACAGTACCAGGTTTTGTAATGTTGTTGTCAGGTTGCTCTTTGATGAATCTGGCGTATGTTTTGCGATGCTTGCAGCTTATTGCTGCAGTCTCGCTGGCACATATTGAAATTAAGATGGTTTCTGTTGGAAAGGCTTTAATTGATTGGTTGTACTCTTACAGATTCCGTGAGCCGGATGGCCGCTACCGCGAACTGGTTAACAAGGAGAAGGGCGACTGGCATAAGCTGACCAAGGAGGAGAAGAAGGAGCTGTACCGCTACAACTACTGCGAAACCTTTGCGGAATTCAGCGCTCCTCTCGGCTACTGGCGCAGCATGGTCGGCATCTTCTTCTTCTGGATATCGCTGGCGTTGTGGCTCTTTATTCTCCAGAAGAAGAGTAAGTCAAATCAAACATTTGCTATTTTTCAGATCAGTTTATCTTGACTTGGCGAAATTAGCCATGCTTGCTGTGCGCCTTACGATTGCGAAAGTGTTTCCGATATACTACTGATACATAGTAATACTGTAATACGTACTGCTTTATTTATTAAAATATTAGGTTAGTGTTTTTATTTGCCTCTTTTGAAAGGAGTGTAATGGTCAATATGTGGCTTGGATGTTCAGGTTCACATTAACGGTTTAATTTTTCGTTTTTACTTTCCTTTCTTGATACCATACCGGAAATACCAAGGCTAATGATATTCGATTAATACCCAAAGTTTTTCTTTTGTAATTTATTATGCATCTTGTGGATACATGGTTTCTAGGTTGTGATTATGCATTTCGCTAAAATTTATTAATCGTTTTTTGTTCTAATGGTAACTGATTGCTTCGACTTGATAATATATCAGTGTTCTGTTCGTTGTCCATTTTATTTCCTCAAAAACGATGTGTTTTGTGTTGCAGTTTATCCTCCGCTGCCGGATTCGTTCAGCGACGAGAACCGTCTGAAGATGCTGAAATACATGATCGATATGCGTGTGGGCGCCATCGACGGCATCGGCAGCAAATGGGACTACGAGAAGGGACGCTGGAAGGAGTAGAGCGCGAAAGAGACGAGTACAGTGGAATGGTGTCCTGTGTAAAGTGTGTACTGCGCCACCCGAAACTATTGCTCTGCTCGTAGTGATTGAGACTGTTCTTGGCATCCTTGCATCGCTCGCGCCTGTTTAAACGATCACCGCCGAAATGTTCGTGTTTTGTTTTGTGGCTAGCGAAAGAATTAGTGCCGTTTTTCTGTCGTGGCTGTAGCGGGCAATAATGTAATAAAATCGTTACGTATACTTCTGTTATTAATTTTAAGTATGGGTATTCCTTGATTTATTCGCGACATTGGGCAGCCACCGTTGTTCAGGAATACTGGATGTTTGCTTGTACTACTCTGCACTCTGCACGATGTTTGCTTGTAGTACTCTGCACGAGAGTTATAAAAATTTTATGGTGGACAATTTTTAATCTGATGGTGAAAAAAGTTAATTTTTGACGACAGCATAATCATAAAATGTTCTACATCTAGCTCAATTTAAACTAAATTTAAGTACAAACATAAGTTTGTTGTAACGTCAGCTGGCCGCACTTGTCCACAGTTTCAAGTGTCCCATAAGGCTCTTCCAGGGCACAAAGACATTTTATTTAAATACGTGTACCACGCATTGCCGCATGTACGAGTACTTTGTTTTGTCAGTAAAAGTAGAGATCGCAAAAACAACAATATTGCAGGCGAAACAAAAAAGCGACCACACTTAAACCAAAATAGCCTCTCTTACGCACACCGTTCTGCCTGCTGATAGTGTGTGCGTGGATTTCTCTGCAGTGGGATTAGTATATCTGAATATAGCACTGACACAGTGAGACGTTACGGTCATCAGTGGCTCATCACCATCCACGGTTATCCACCTAGTCGCATATATGCAGGATGGTAAAAGTTTGGGTACAGGTCTGCGAGTTGCGGGCCCGTTGCCGGTTGAGGAGTCCCAGCTTGACCAGTGCTCGGTTGCATTCCTGTCTGTCCACCGCCTGTCTGACCACCTCCAGGCTGACCCGTGCTGGGTTCACTTGGCCGCATACCTGTTTGGCCATTTCCAGGCTGTCCGGGAACTGTCTGAACACCTTCGGGCTGGCCGATAACCGTCTGACCACCTCCGGGTTGAGGGGTAACTGTCTGACCACCTCCGGGCTGGCTGGTAACCGTCTGACTAACTCCAGGCTGTCCTGTGCTCGGTTGCGTAATTCCAGGTGGCATCGTAACGGTCTGACCCCCTCCCGGTTGCCCTGTGTTGGGTGGACTAACTGGGGACCACCTCCGGGCTGACTTGTGCTAGGTTTAGTGCCCCCGAACGGTACAGTGACGGTCTGACCCACTCCAGGCTGCCCTGTGCTGGGCTGCGTAATTCCGGGCGGTCCAGTAACCGTCACGCCGCCTCCGGGAGGGCTTGTGCTGGGTTCAGTGCTTCCGGAGGGTCCCGTAACTGTCAGGCCGCTTCCAGGCTGCCCTGTGCTAGGTTGAGTAGCGGAGGGAGGAGCGCTAACTGTCGGACTGCCTCCGGGCTGACCTGTGCTAGCTTGAGTACTTGCTGGTTCACCAGTTTGACCGCTTCCAGGCTGTCCTGTAGTTGGCTCGGTACTTCCGGACGGTCCCGTTGCTGTCGGGCTACCTCCAGGCTGCCCTGTGCTAAGTTGAGCACTTCCGGGAGGAGGGGCAGCTGTCGGACTACTGCTGGGCTGGCCTGTACTGGCTGGAGTGGTTACAGACGGTCCACCTGTCTGACTGCCTCCAGTCTGCCCTGTGCTGGGCTGAGTGCTTCCGCTTTGACCATTGTCACAGTTGAATCCCGTGTTGATTTGCTGACCGCTGTCGTTGGTACCGCTGCCACAACCTGTGTTAATCTGCTGGCCACTACCGTTAGTACCACCACCAGATCCCCCAGAACCGGTATTGGTCTGCTGGCCACTTCCATTAGTTCCGCTGCCAGATCCAGTATTCGTCTGCTGACCACTGCCATTTGTACCACTACCTGAGCCAGTATTTGTCTGCTGGCCACTTCCATTGGTACCGCTACCAGATCCAGTATTTATCTGCTGACCACTGTCATTAGTACCACTGCCAGATCCAGTATTTGTTTGCTGACCACTTCCATTGGTACCGCTACCTGAGCCAGTATTGGTTTGTTGCCCACTTCCGTTAGTACCGCTGCCAGATCCCGTATTAATCTGCTGACCACTGCCATTTTGTCCCGATACCTGTTGTCCCACTTGATTACTGATTTGTTGCCCGATACCCGAAAGGTCACCCGGAGACTGGCGGTTTTCAGTGTTATCAATACTAGTCGTACCGCGCGGTTGGCTTATTCCCAGAAAGATCGGCAGATCGGTGATGGTATCCGCATCAAAATTCATCCGCGGAGTATTCATTCGATGCACTCGCGTCTGGACGGATGCGGCCAGACATAATACGGCGGCGATTGTAACTGCGTAAAATTTTGCCATATTCGGTGCCTGTGAACCACTCATATGCAATACCAAAAATCTGCTAAAAATATTTTTACATTTTCCGAGTTTTTATGTATGAGTGGAAGCGCAAACATGACGTATGTGTCGTGGGTTAGATCAAGAAAAGGGCAGCGCGATACGCGTGCAATGACCCGTTCGGGTCGTTTCCGACGCGAAACATCCACGGCCATTTGTCGCTGTGTAATGGTAACGTTGTGCTGTGGGAAGAAGCCCCGGCGTATTTCGATATGTTTACTAACTTTACTTTGATATGTTACTTATCTTACCATATAATTGGCACAACGAAATTTATGCTGCCATTTTGATTGTCATTAGTAATAATGAATTACAACAATTAATTGCCGGGAGTGTGACAAACGAGTGGCCATGTCCACCACAATGTACAACACCAACAGCTCATAATTCGTCAAATACAATGTACATGACAGATTGTCTTTGTTATCTGAAAAGATTAAAGGTTGCGACCACTGAACCGACATAGCTAACCACGTAATTAATCGATTTGTACAGCATGATGTATCAAATTCCACTGTCAGCGAAGTACCGGACTATGAATTATCAATTACAATAAACATTACAGCATTAGTTTCGTATATAAATACAAACAGAGGTCAAAATGAACATTATTATGTACAAATTTACCGGTGCCTGCAATTGTCGTGCAAATTAGGTAATTGGCTTTCAACACATTTCCACTTGCTTGCAGAAGTTCGTATGCAACATAATGCAGGAAAAGGTCATGTTATGCGAAAATCAAGATTTTGTTTCCAAAAGTGCTGCTTCTGAACCGAAAAGCAAATATTCAATTAAGCATTTGCATATTACCGACATTTTTTAATAAAGAAATGACGAACAGTATTGTACAATACAAGGACAGATACTCTGATACTGTACGATAGTACCTGACTATGCAGCATTGTAATGAATACTACTCTAAGTATGACTTGTGTCTATATTACGGATCCACAATATTCAATCAAATTTCAATAAGAAACAATATTAAATTTTTTTTAACCAATTGTAGTTGTACAGTACTATACTGTTGATATGCATTTATTTTATATTGTGTTACCTAGTAAGTACATAGAATACTCCGACAGCAAACGGACGATCTGTCAGTTCAAGTCAAGGTGAAACAGCAATTATCACAGTACAGTAACCTTCCACAGTCCGCGACTACTACAGTGCCAGACTATCCGTCAGTATGTACATGTTCCCTGCACGGTGCACCGCATGACCGCGGTGCTGCTTCCCGGCATCGGCAATCCCCTCTGACCACGTCAGGTGCATGACGTTCACCTGAAGATAACGGATGCTGACGATGGTATTGCTGGCTACTTACGCATCAAGGCCAGGTTTCGCACAGAAACAAGCAGGAGGTCGATCGTTTAAGTGAGCGAGGCAAAGGGGACAGAAAACACACCCTGTATCCGTCACACACCGGTTCTAATCGTCATAGCAATACTCGTATGGATTACTACTTGTACATGTCAACGGTTGACCCCAGATACGATACCCCGAGCCAAAGTTATAGAACAACGCCAAGAATGCCTGTACCATTCGTGCCGCAGAAAATGCCACTGGAAATCACTGCGTTGCTGGAAGCCGTTTTGTGGATGCAATTGCAGCAGTTACATGTAATCGTAATGGGGAGCTGAACGATCGAATGCGACACTGCGCATTATCAGTGCGGACCAACCGGAAAGGATGGAAAAGCAAAAATTGGTGCCTTCGCTAGTTTAGTTTACGCTGTGCAGCTTTTCCAGATAAGCAATCCTGGCGTCGAAGCATGTCAAATTATAACAACTGCCGTATTATTATTATGATTCGCTTGCATAATCGTACCGCATTGTAACATTAATTTGCCCAAATAAATTATGCATCACTTACTAAGTCCGACGAGGAAGTGGTAGTGCGCGATTATAAATTACGGCGCAGTTATTCCACTATATAGAATACCCACGGAAGAAGGGCAACCGTAACATTACAGGTCAGTATGCTATAAAAACGTTTGGCTTAATTATAAATCCTGCATAAAAGACATCGCATTTCCGTTTGAAAATGAATTATCCGAGCACAGTAATGCGTCAAATACATAAGAGGGAAAATCTACCGTTGAACTACTGCCACAGACTACCTTAGAGTACAGAGCGTACAGTTACCAAAGTGCAATTTTAATTTTCGTCGTTCAAACCAGGGACAGCGTAGAAACTATTATTATCAATTTTCCCGGGAGAATCGTGACCGTCACCGTTGGTATCATGCAGATAATCTCGCATTTCCTTATCGCAGCGCTAGTGGGCGCAGTCCATTGTGCCATTCCCGCATTTCTTCCACCCCCTCCGTCACCTCCGCCTTCACGTAAGTTTTTTCTTGTACATATTTGCTACAACTCTATTATTACCACAATCAGAAATGTGGTGCAAAATCAAATTCGCACCAGTATGGAATAAAACACTATGGTAGAAATAATTCAAATAAGGAGCGATATATATAAACATTGTGGCTGTTTCCGGTTGCGCAGCTGTATGAGTGGAATCAATACCGCGGTAACCGCTGACATTCAACCGGCTTCTGCTCGCCATATGTGGCGATATTAATCTGATTATTCATCCCCATTGGACATAATTTAATTATATTTTAATATTAATTACCTTTACGTTAGAAGCCGAGCGTCTGTAGTACGTCTTTATATCGTACGTGTGTACGTGTTTGTGTGTACAATACATGCACTGTAAAGTTGACGCGTATGCCTATTAATTCATAACTTTGGTGATTAAATAAAATATAATATATGATATATGCATGGAATGCTTTCGACCATAAACATTGCGTAATTGCGCCCCGCGTACAGGTAGCCCGGACCCCGGAAGCACCGGTAACGTTTACGGCAGCGGTGCCGTCTCGCACGGCCAAATGCAGTTGAACAGCCAAACCCAATCCGGTTTCCCCAACGGCCTCCCCTCCACCTACAGCCAGTCGATGAACAACGGCACCGGCACCTCCCTGTCCATCAGCGGACAGGCCAACAGCGGGGTAACCATCAGTCCCGTTGCCGACACCCGGCCGCCGGTGTTCAGCGGGAACAGCGGCGCCAACTCCAACGGGAATGCCGCCACCGGGGTCCTCACTAATAACGACCAGAGCCACGGGGACAACACCAACGGCATGAGTCTGATGGGCACCTCCCAGATCACCGCCAACGGGACGGGGGTTAGTGTCAGTAACAGCGTTAACTCGGCGGCGGCGCAATACCCGTTGACGACGACTACGCCCTGGACGACGACGCCCTGCCGACCGCTGCCGTGCCCGTCGGGATGTCCGTTTGATTCGTTTTCGTGCTCGTGTATTTGTTATGATCCGATAATTGCGAGTAGCGGAAAAGTGGCGCCGGCTGCGCAAAAGCGACTGCTGCGCAACCGGGACCATAATGTCGGTGCGGGGCAGCGGACCGCGCAAAGGTCAAGAAATGTGCAAAGCATCGCTAATCAGAATCTGAATGCACGACGCCGCTCATAGATTGTTGAATTTCCTCGTAATTCGTTATTCATCAAAGTTCACGTGATAAAAACTGATTTGATAAGTGGTTCGATAATTACAGAAAAAACTTAGAATGTTGTGATCTGACCTGCCGCGTTAGAATCTGGCCTACTGCAGCAAATTAGATACATTTGCATACGAATAAGTACAATATCTATATATTAATTATACGATGTATTGTACAGACCATGTACAGAGCGATTTGCAGAGCTTCTATTGAATATAATATTTACCGAACTTGTAAGTTTTAACGATTCCCGTGCGATTGTCATTCAATCAAACGGTCGTGCGGCCATTCTACGTATATGCTTACTGTACTAAGTACATTATAATTACCGGAATTCAACTGCAATTGTGCAAGCATTAACAGACGTATCTGTATGTATTTACCGCATGTTGTTTTTCGAGCTTTTGCTCCCGTTGGGCAACATGTACCTGTCCTTGTATTCGCCATCGATATTAAATACGGCGAACGTTTGATGTCAGTTTTAGGTTTTCGTGCTCGTGTATTTGTTATGATCCGATAATTGCGAGTAGCGGAAAAGTGGCGCCGGTTTCGGTAAACGGCGGTTTCGGTAAACAATTCAATCTACACCTTCTGTTCGTAAGGTAAAAACGGAATTATTGCGTACACGAGAATCGGCCGGCAGACTGCACGTGTAAAAGCAAATCGTAACGCTTGACAGCAGAAACACGTGCGGACTTACGTATACTTTCTGTTCGTTTTATTAAGGTCGATACGATCAATAAACAAACAACATACTTTACAAAAGAAAATAGGGCAACAATTTGTTTTGTCACAAAATTTATCACAGACTGCGCTCACAAAATTAATCCTGGACACCCATGGCGGCAAACTGCTGCGATGGCATCCCGGGAACGTTGGACTGAATTTGTGATGCCACGGATTTATCGCCGGACTTATCCTGCTGCCCGGCGGGCTGTTGGTTACCGCTGTTTTGCTGACTTCCGGCGGCCGGTTGACTGTTTCCACTCTGCTGCCCGGACGGTTGCGGGGCCGCTGCCGGTTGACTGCTTCCGGTCTGGGCGGGAGCTGGCTGCGGCTCGCTGTGCGGCTGCTCGTTTCCGGTCGGTGCGCCGCCTGTCGCGTTAGCGGGCGGCGGGGCAAGGAGATCGGGAGCGTTTTGTCGATGGACCGGCCCGGCATGAACAACTGCCACAATGCCGGTCAGGACAATTAGTTTGATGATACTGTTCATGATGCCGAAATTAATAATATCGGATTCAACAGTAAGAAGTTTTAGGATCGCAAGAATTTTAATGATTGTTCTGTATGCTTAAGATTGCTTTTATAGTCTTTATAATACGCTCATTACTCTTTGCGTACGCATACTAAATGGTCACGGAAAACAACAAATAACAACAACGTCTGCACGTGCAATGACCCGCTTGGGTATCTACCTATTTTCCGCCATTCGGAGATATTCGTGACCTAGCTGCTTGGACAACATCTGGAAACTTCCACGTGCGGACGCTCGAGACTCGAGCAAAGCTAATTATTTCTGCTTATTTTCAGGCAGTGTCAGCCAATTATGCAATCTACAATATATATAATTCGTTACACAATTGACCTACAATATACTTATACAAACTATTGCTATACTACTACAAAATACTTCTATAGATATTCTGTTCAGCTGTATCTGTAGTACGCATTTAGTAGTATCTATAGTATGTTTCAACAATAATAATTTTTGTGGATAACGCAAATGTTTGAAATGCTGTGTATTTTGTCAGCTGTGAAAATCTGTGATGTGAAATGCACTCACCACCCACTGGTAGTTTTATACACCGTAATTTTACTGTGAGCATACCCGTATTTTCAACTTAACAGTTACGATTCCCGTTTTTTTATGCGCAGGCATAGGCGGCATCATGGGCCATCTGGCAGTGGCAATAAATGCAAAGGAGGGGAGTTTACATATTAAGTTTGCATCTATATTTGGGGGCAAATGATTTACCCGGGATACGGAAGTGTTCTGTTCTAAAGAGCACAAAATGCGCAGTTGCTTTTACGTTTCAGCGTTCTGTCTAGTGTCTTGCATGGTGTTTATGCATTGCTGTGATAATTATTACTTCTCAGCTGATGACGTACGACTGTGGACTGATTCATTTTAATACAAAAATTCGGCAAGAGACATATGGCACAGGATGGAAACAATAAATAATACAAAGGTATACCGGTGTATACACCGCGGCAGCATGACCGGGGAGGAACAAAACCCATTAATAAGCCCCAACGGGAACACCGTAAACCGGCATGTTGTAGCCGAAACCAGCCGGCGGCGCACACTGGAAAGGCGCAGGCTGATAAAAGCCACCATAACTCATGCCGCCGGGAACACCACCGCCACCCTGTAAATTAACAAATTAGTATTAATGTCCACCTAATAATATACTGTCTTTTACAACTTGCGTACACTGTACATGTGCTGCTTTATAAGCTGACTGACATCGTCGTTCAAGGATTATAAGAATTGTTATGAAGTGCAAGAGTTTAATCAACACACCCACTGATTAAATCTTTAACAATTACAGCCACCATTTTTTATCATCATGCATTGGCATGCTACAGGATACCCAGAATTATACATCCGAAACTACAATTATATCAACTCACTTGTTGAACCGGGTTCCACTGGTTTACGTAGTAGGGCTGCACCGGAGCTACTGTGCCGTATCCAGGTTGGGCGTACTGCTCCAAATTTCTTCTATATTCCTGAAAAATTAAATTACACGGTTAAAACACAATGCCAGTGAATGCTATGGTTTGCAGTCAAGTTCCGTATATAGTGCGTGTTATGAAACAGTTAATCCGCATTTCTACAGTAATTCGCCGCTTAAGACGATTCAAACGTAAAAAACAGCCATTGATAGATACCTACATCATATTGGTAGGTGACCGTCAGACCCGGGACCGGAACCCAGCAACCGAAACTGTTCAAAACCAACTGCTGCACATGCACCAGCCCGTTGGCGCCCATCACCGGGAAGGGCATCGTGGTCATGACCAGAGGAGGGGCGGGAGGGGAGTAGCTGCAGTTAGTCGGAATCCCGCTGGATGAACTACCCGGCGATGCGTAATAACCCTGTTAAAAGCACAGCTTTACCTATACTGACTGACAGTCAACAGACGTAACTTGTTTCACATATGATGAGTTGCACAATATAACGTGTCGAAGATGCCGAGCTTATAAAATACAACTACGAATTAGCCGTCCGGGTATCGGGCTCTACGTACAATGTCCGAACTCGACGAACTGGACGGACCCGATTCCCCAGCCAATCCTTGCGCGGTCGACGTCGGCGACTGTGGGGCAGCAGCGTTGCTGCGGCGTCCCGTTGACGATGCTCCCGGCGAATTTCCTTGTCCGGCTACAAGAAAAACACGCAATGAATCTCAAGATCAACGGTAATTAGTAGAAAATGGTACGGAGTTAGCCAACATGGAGCGTGGGAAAACTTCACATACGAGCTACGAGTAGCAAAAATGATAATTTGCTTTAATCTGGACGAAATATTGCCGCCGACAATACCTTACCAGGCGAGACGCTCTTCCGGTAGGCCGGACCAATGTGCAGGTTTCCGGCTCCGTTAATCACCAGCTTACAGCACATCAACTAAAAAGCAATACAATTGTACAATGAATTCCCTAGTATATAAATATAAGCCGCATAAGCACTATATTACTGTACTACCGCTGAGCCAGAAAATCACTTCATTGTAATTCAACTTTGTATTTCGCAAGCACGAAAATGTAGTGCACATTTAACACGGCTGCACAACTTAAAAAGTTATACGATAAGTTTGTTAGGTAGAAATAAGTAATCAATTAGTGGCATCCATATCGGCTGCACAAGTGAGTCGGCGCAGTTCGCCTTTATAAGCGGTTATGCGCGGGAGTTGACTGAAATTTGCAAAACAGAGGGAGTGCAGTCAGTGGACAAAGCAAGCAAGTTTTTCGCAGATTTGACGTTAATGCATTCACTTAATTTCCGCCCTCTAATTTCGTGAATACAATTGGACATTTTGAAGTAGGACAACTGATGCAGTAATGGAAAAATTAATTACAGAACTAATTCTAACCGAAACATGAACGGAAGATCGTCAATTCAAAACCAAATTTTGCACTGCTTCCCTACTGTCGGCATGCGATTATGATAATTAATCTCTGAATTTTCGGCCTCCCAAGTTCCAACCATATTTCAAATATTTTATAATTTCTCTGGCTATGTTTGTGCCAAGTTACAGAGTACGTACATAAAACGTTAAAATTCGAAATCACCGAGGAAAAAAACTGGTCAGAATTCAAAATAACGGGACGACGTAAAAGTTGCAGCGAGAAGCTGGTTTTGTGCGCGGACTCACTACGTTACTTTTCCCTGATATGCAAGAAAAAACTGATTCATAAAATTCATAAACTAATAAATATTACCACGATGATGATTACAATTTTTTTATAACATCATTTAAATTTAATGATAAGTTAAATTAACACTTGCAGTACTTACTTTATTCATCGCATCCTGGGCTTCGGCTGATGACCCGTACTCCAGGAAAGCGTGCCGGCGACGCACCCCGTTCCACCCGCAGTGCTGGTTTGCATAAACATCGACCTTGGCGGGATTGGCGATGTCCCGCACCGCTGACACGATGTGTTCCTTTGTGGTCTGCCAAAAAAAAAACACAAAGCTGCATAAATAAGCTGTTAAGCACCGCATTTCACTGATACCAGTAGCACATGCTCTTCCCTGACAACTAAGTAACTGTGTACTTTCCTCAGTCACCATAATTGTTCGAACATGTAATATTACTTTTCACTACACGTAATTGGTGGCGTATTTTGTTAAAAAATATTAAGATACCAAATGTCTATAAAATGTTTTTACAAAAACCGACACACGCTTAGAGCCTCAAAGAACCAAAAGAACGTAGCGCATGAGCTGACCTTCTGTACTGCTGCGTGAGAATGACATCATTTTGACCAAACGTGAAGTACTGAGCGCGCGACATCATTTTGACCAAACGTGAAGTACTGAGCGCGCCAAATGCTCAGCGATCTCCAATGAATACCGACTTAATAATATTATTCTCATGATTATACCACCTCAACAAACATACGTAACAAAACTGACATAAAAAATGTATCATGTCTCATAAGGCGACGGCCGCGAAACAGAGCAGGAGTACCAAGCTAGGACAAGCGGACGGTATTTCACTTACAGTGGATGGCAGTCTTCCAATGAAGACGCTGTTCCGCTGTAGGAACGGCGACGAGGGCTTCGCCTGACCGCTCGGCGTCATCCGGCGCGCTTCCACCTATCGTAAAAACATTGCTTGAGATTGACTAGGCACAGGAGGATGATGAAACCACCGATTGCGATAGAAGCAACAGGTGGACAAAGTTCACAGAAAATGAGCAAGAAAATAACGACTCAAGTAATTAATTTACAGTAGTCTAAAAGCAAACTGCCTTATGACGAACAGGGATTTCAGCACGATGCGCCTCAATATTCCGCTCACTGAGGTACTCACGTCGGATTTCGGCTGGGTCTGATTCGAAGAACGGCGCCCATTGAACGACCGTCCTCGGTTACCGCGAGGAGAGTTTCGATTCATTTTGAGCTGTGTAAACCGTAAAAAAAAACAGGTAAGATTTAAAACGTTAAGAAACAATTCGATAGGCAACGAAAAAACGGGAAACCAAAATCTGAAAACTGCAAAATGTTAGAAACAGGAAAGCTGAAAACTGCGAATGCTGGGAAACGCTTTGACGGCAGGTCAGAAAGGAAAAAATGGGTGGACTTCTGGCTCAATGATTCATTGCTATCCCGCTTCTCAATGGTTGGTTGAGTTGCTTCGCAATTTTGATTGGTTCGCGCTGCTGGCAAGGCAGTGGCCGTACCGGCCGGTTGTCTTTCTGCATTCCATCGGACCGCCGCTCATTGCAATAACCATGGTACCACGGGTTACAGCAGGCTCAAATTATCCTGGAAACATAGGAAACTATCTGTTCTGGAGTGATAGGTGAAAATAAAATATTATGGAAAGGAGTTAATAAAATGTGCCCATACGTAAGGTATTTCATGAAGTTTCTAAAATTTAAAATTATCGAATTTAGTGTTCCATTATCGAAGCCTTTCCGTTCTATTTTTTTCTCCATTAATTTTCGAAACAAATTAAATGCCACTATTTCTATTCCGAGGAACAGATGTCAAAATTAATGAGGAAATTTTTAAATTAAGCTCATGATTTAGACCTTCAATTTTGAAGGTTTAATCATTTAAAATCAAAAATTTCTGTTTTGAAACCGGTCGCGCCAGAAATATCGTTTGTTGAAGTACTGGTCGTTTGTAAATTATGCAGAATAATTTCTTCCTCTCTGTGAGACAACATCAGTCCAGAAATTATCTATAACGGTTCCGTCTCTACAGACAAAACATTCCTATACGAACTGCGGAACATGTTTAGAAAATTCAACAAGATATCAGAACTGAAAAATAAAATAAAATAGATTAAATTATCATAATTCAGCAATATACTCTGCAGACGACATCACTGATTTTAATGTCGATTCTCGTAATATTTTCTGCTTTCCGCATCATAATATTTCCAGGGCCGTCCCGTAACCAGCCACACACTTGACAAGAGTACAATTCCTTTGAGCATTTCCATAAACAAGAGACAGAGAGAGAGAAAACGGAATAAAAGAGAAAACAAACCGCGCAGAAAACCCGCGAATAAATCTCTGAAAAAATCCACAGACCATTTCTCGGAAAGCATCATTCCACCCGCACCAACTCCACACTATTCTCCGCGTTTTCACAACACACTGGTGTCGTTCAGCGCATCCCCCAACCAGCCGCCGCTCAACCGGAACACCATCCGCCGCAGCGGCCGCCGCAACGATACGAGCCAGCGGCCAATTTCCTGGTTGAAGGGCAGTTCACCGCGCAGCTGCCACAGCACGAGGATCGCGATGATGGCCACGAGGAAGATGACCAGGCGGGTGGAATTCTCGGCGGTCATCTGGAAGAACTGCGTCACGGCCCCGACCACGGCTATCACCAGCTGCCCGAGGAGAAGGAGACAGTCCACCAACTTGAAGGCCATTTCACCCATCACGCTCTTGGCCGCTTCCGTCCGGGCTAATGCCTGCAGCAATTTTTTTTAGATTTTCTTCCAAATATTCTATCAATTGTTACACTATTCTTCATAATTTCGTGCGTATATATTGCGTTTTTTCGATTCAGCCACGTCCGTGACTCTGCATTTATTTACTTAAAAAATACTGCCGAATTTTTCCTTACGATCTTGGCTGCTTCCGTTCGAACCTATATTTTTCTTTAATTTTTCTCAAATGACTGTTTTAACTTCTACGTTTAAGTTTTAACTCAGCGACGGCCGCAGTTATTAATTAAAAAAAAAATAACTTCGACTTGCTGTTAGCGACGTTTCCGGTTATTAAATAAAAAATTGTGTTGCACCTATTAATACGCTGAATTTCGATCATGCAAATCCATCAACAAAAATAACATCAACTTTCTCAAGCGGTGTGACAGTTTCATGGAATATGATGTGAGTAATTTCAAAACTTGTTTTTTTTTAGTTTGAACTATCCAGTATTTGGTTTTGCTGACATATTCATATTTAAATTAAATAATTCGCAATACGAATTCATTTTTGAAACAAGCGTTAACTGATGTTCCGATAGATGACTGAAAGCGCACGTACCTCGTCTTCCTTCTGGCGGTGCTCGATCTTCTGTATGCGGGTATTGAGCAGCGTGATCTCGTCCTTCATATCCCTGATCTTCTCGTGGAAGATGTAATTCATCTTGTCCTGCGTGTCCACCAGGTACGTCTTGGTCTCACTGGTCTCCTTCTGGTGCAGTTCAATCAAATCGTGGATCTGCTCCTCCACGTAGCCGCACCGTCGCGACATGTCGTCCATCTGGTTGCCAGTCGACTTTCGCTCTTCCGCCCATTCACTCTTCTTCTCCTCGATTAGTTTCAGTATCTGCAAACAAGATTATTTAAAAAAAAACATTTCACATTAAATGTTAATTAATTTTCCTTGTTTCAGCACTCTCTGAATTTCTGACACAATGCCAAACTGCCTGGCTGGCACACAGAGGTCAGAGGATAGGGTGGCACTGCACTACGTCATTTCCTTATATTCCGCTGTATCGTTCAGCACTAGCATTCTTTCCAAACTTTCAGCAATGATTTGGGATTGGCAACCCAACATTTGCAAATGCATCTTTACGTAGAAATAAACTCCATAAAATTGGCACACAATTAAATTTCCTGTATATAATACTGAATTTTATTAACATAAATATTTGTTTAAGTACTGTAATGGGTTTTATAAAGTCATAAAGAATAAATGAAAAATTTTTTTCTGGCGGTTTCCACACATTGCAATTTACAGATAATCTTTTTATTCATCCAGACATGCATTGTAACTTCCACCCGCCACACTATCGAGTATCCACACGTCGCGACAGTTCATCTAATTATTTCTTCCATTTGGTGAAGGGCATTTTTCGCATTTTTTTCACCACAAAACACCTCATTAGCGCCAACAGCATGGCCACATTATTCACAAAATTTCCCCCATTTCACAAGAAACGGCGTCATGTCAAGAGATCGTAGTGAGAAAAGAGAGCATCTGGTGTCACACACGGCATGCAATTACCAGACACATATTCACGTCGTCCTGATGGATGCGCCTTGCATAATCAGGCAAAAATGCCATTTTTCCTTGTTAATTCTTAAACGCATTCTTCCATAACCACATTCCTGTCACCGAAATGTCATTTTTCGCGCCGCAGATAGCAAATTAATGCCAGTAACATTAACGCTGGCACGATAATGGGGCGACGAAGCCCTGCAACAATTTTTGTCAAACTACAGTAAAAAAATTCGAAAAAGCTCTCTTCTAGCCGACAAAAATGTTAAAAAATAAATTATTAAATAATTCAGAGAGCGGACCGAATAATTTTTTAAAAACTGGCTAATTTTTGGCTAATTTTAAAAAACTAAAAAAGTAAATGGTAAATAAGTAATTCACACAAATCAACATCGCTAACACACAATAATTCAGGAAATTAATTCTAAATATACTCGTAAATTCGTAATAATTAGAACGGCACGGCACGGATCAATACTTCTACAAATAAAAAAGCAAAAACGCGGTACTAAATCCCATTCCAGCGGAAATCGAGTAGGATTTAGCAGCGGCAATAGCAGAACGGACGTTATACCGCATAAAGCTGTACTCGTACCCTTAAACAATTTCGATTAGCGGTGAGAATCGATGGCCGAGCAATTTCCGCTGGAAATTAAATCACATGTTCCGCCATACAGCGGAGTGCGGACAACACTCAAACAACAGCTGCTCTAACGCGCCAGAGGAAATTGCTGTACAACAACAAACACTTTCATTCTCCGGCCTCGAATGGGTCGAGAGCCTTGTGGTTTTTTCGATAATTGACCAGACGCCAAAGTAAAACAACGTAATGCGAGACATGTTTTACGCAATAAAAACCAATCTGGATGAATTTCTACCAAATATTTGCACTACGCTGCCGCTACTTTATAACTCCAAATTTCTAAAAATTAGTGATTACCAAGTAAAGCAGATCTAATATGTTGTACTACATATGTATAATTTTAATCAAATTTAATTTGAATTAAATGGCCTTTCCGGAAAAGAAACCTATACAATAAAATACCGTAGATCACTTATTCATATGAATCTATGATTACAATTTACATAATCATAAATTCGCTGTCGAGCAAGTATGTTTAAAAGTAACTGCACGAAGCACTAAATCGCAACACCGAATTCATATTTCATTTTCAAATAAATTCTGAATATTATTTAATTTTATGGACGTGTGGTTAGCATTGCAATTAAAAGCATAAATCATTTTGAAACTTTGAGGCAAATAATAACTTGCGTTTTAAAGAACACTTTCACAATATAAAATAAAATTCTTCGTCACCCCTGGAAAAATCAATGAGCGATTAAAGTAACATGATAAAGGCGAACGTTGACATTTGGGAAAAGCGGCTGCCTTTCCCGGTCAAACCTCCAGAGTCCGTTATTCGCGTTCTGCCGAGACAGACGTGTATGACTATGATCGACTACATTAGCCGCGCATAAGGTTGCCATAACTCTCGACGGAGCAAATATTGACTAACCCACAAAAATGCTTTTATCGCCAAATGCAAACCAGACCATCAAAATACATTTCGCATCTGCACCACGTGTTCAGCCCACAAAATATTTACAAAACCTGCATTCCCTAATCGACACCGGTTCCGAGTTGCAGCCAAGCAGATAAACGAAGCAAATATGTCTGCGGTCTGGGCCACTCAATCCTTTTACAAAAATTATAATAAATGCCGACAAGAGCGTAGAAAACAGCAAACAGAAATAACACTAAATAATTAATTACAAATAAGCATCTATAAAAAGTTAAACAACATTAATTACGGCAAAGAAAAACGAAGCGAAAAAAAGAATACGATATCACGAACGCATGCAGATTCACGATCGCTTATTTTCGTAAAACAAACACAAAACAGAATGATAGAATCTTATTTCCGAATTCCGATGAGAGAAATTTATTATTTATTGATTCATCGAACTAAATAAATTAATAAAGCTGGGCGAAAAGTTAAAAGAAACATTAAGAGAGCGACTGAATCCACCGGAAGTGTGCAAAAGTACAATTTACTAAAATTTAATGATGTTATTCATTTTATAACCTCACGTCCAAACGTAACTCTCACCGCAATAATCAACTGCTACCTAGATTTACGAAAAATTCATTAATCTGTAGTTTAACAAAATATTTTGGAAGTATCCATACGATAAACCGACTCACCTGTTCGAGTTTCTCCTTCAACTCGCCGACATCCCCTCGCAGCGGCTCCAGCCGCTGATCGACCACCTCGGCGATCTCTTCCACCCGCTTCATCCGCCGCTGACTCTCCATACTATCCGACTCCACCGAGCTGACACTGACCCCTTCACTTCCGCGTCCACCCACCACCCCGGGGACGCTCAGCGCCTGTCCCTCTCCCACAACCCCGGCACTATCGCCTTGACTCCCGCGGGAATCCTTACTGCGCGCACTCCCGCCCGACTCCCCGTTGTGCCGCTCCCGGCGCATCAGGGCGTCCAGGATCCGCCCGCCACTCCCCGTCTTGACCACCTGCGGGGAGGCGGCGCGGTGGGCGGCCTCCCGCGTCTTCTCCTCGGCCATCCGCAACAGGAGGCTTTCGTATTTGCGCTTCTTCACCTTGTACTGCTCCAGATGCCGGCTGGCTTTGTCGTTGGCCTCTTCGAGGCGGCGCATCTGCGCCCGCAGGCGGTCGTTGTGCGGCGCGATGCCCAGTTTGATCAGGTCGTCCTGGATGGTTTGGAGGCGGTGCTCTTCGTCGGCGATGCACTGCTCGATTTTGGTCAGTTTCTTCTGGACGGTGGCGTAGTCGGTCGGTTTGGAGCTGCTGACCGTGCTGCCACCGCCGTCTAGGAGGTCGTTCACCGACGACACCCTCGAGGCCATGGTTCGACAATGTCTGGCTGTGTCAACGCTTCCTGTCACGCTGCCAAATCCCGATGATCAATCTACAAACTAAATCAGAACATTTTTTTATAACTTCACAACAACAAAACTAATAATTTCTTCAGACTGTTTTAGTAATACTCTCCAAATCCTCAAATCGTTTTCATGTGTAACTGCTACTCTGTAGTATATGTCTTAAAATTTATTAGAAATATGTGGCAGAAATAGCCTTTTTAAAAAAAATAAGCCACTGTATTAAATTAAAAATATCGCTAAATTAATAAGGAACAATTTAATTTCCTCCAGTCAGAAAAAACGGCATATCTGATTAATTAAATTTTCTACAAATTCTTTAAGGAATTCTGAGAATGGATTACAGCCGAGCGCTTAAAAGATTAATCATTACACTTTCCAAAATTGGTAAGAGATTAAAGATTCCAGCCGTGCATGATTCACGCCCCATAAATTTTTCAACCGCTACCAAATACGGAGAAATTTCTTGACGCGCCGGAAGTCAAGAGTTAGTAAAAAGCGTTTCCGTGCCAAAGAATCTTCTTGAGATCTATTCATGCCATCACGGAGAACATCAAATGGCGCATGAAGACATCGCCGACAAACAATAATTAATTGCCGGATGCTGGTACTGCTGATCGCAGAGCCGGCATGGGGAAATTAGAGACAAATGCCGTATCACGCAAATATTTGCTAAATTTAGAATAAGCACTGGGAAAAACGTGATGTACGGCCACAGCGCGGCCATTGAAGGTCAGAGCGTGATACGGTCTTTAGTGGGCCTATAAAAAATGTGGGTAAGGCCGCCGCCGCGGCGCGATCGTTCAAATAATCAAAAAGCCTAATCAATTCCTTGAGCATGTGCAATCACAGCGTCCTCAAGGGACGCTTAATCTTTTGCAGCATAAAAACAGCAAAATACGATGGCTCAATTAGCGTCCAGCACACTACATATTTTGCGCTGCTGGCGATTTCGTGTAATTCTTTTACGCTAGACAATAACACGGATTTACCGCAGGCTAAACATATTATTATGTAATTTAAATGTAATACGTACAGAAGAAGATGAGTGCATAATTATGCAAAAATATACAGTAATATAACCAATCTGTCAATTTAAAAAAAAACAGCAAGAAAACGAATGGCAAAACTGTATGTTATTGAAGCAAAAATATGTTATTGAAGCAAAACTCTCTTCGAGCAGGAGACAAAATTAAAAACCATACTAAAATGCATGAGAACATAAAATGTGATTTAATTCATCAATACGAAATACCTAAAATCATTACGCTTAAAATTCAAAAGATTCAGAATAATTCTATAGATTATTTTTCTGAAAGTAAAAAATTAAGAATTAATGGTTCATGCCCTTCGGCGCGCAAGAGCTCACCGGAAATTCCAGCGATAACGAGGATCTCCGATATAAAATAAATAATTAAGAAACCCCCGAAGGAAACTCTTTGCGTAATTAACACGAACGATGCGCGACGCGCACAACGGAAGCAAAACTATGCAATCTACAATTCCACTGTCGGATATATCTGCGTGCTGCAGCGGGATGTTCCCGGGGCTGTCATGAGAGATACACTGGCAAATGGGCTTGTCAAGTGTCGATGCCGGGTGCAATGCAATACTCCCTGGGAGAGTGAGAGACTGAGAGAGAGCTCTTGATTTTTTTCAAAGAAAAATCAATACACACTCCGACCGGTTGTTGGACCAGCGAGCCTAACAAGTTCACAACCCTTCGTCTGCGTTGTATCCCAGCGTTTTCTTGTCACTTTCCCATGCACCGTGGCCGAACCGGGATGAGTCAGGGTGTGTGAGTGACTTGATGACTATCGGGGAAACGATCGCGCTTACACATCCCAGGGTACGAAACCATGCCAAATGCCAATTTGCGGATATGATCGCCATTCTCACCAGTTGGTGATTTTCGCACAGGGGATGCAGGGAATTTCGTTGCAGCGTCGATGTAACGAAATTTAATCAGACCTTAAAATAAATCTATGATGTTTAGGTTAAAAAAATAGTACTACATCGGCTTTAGATACAGTCATACAAATGTAATCGTTTCAAAACGGTAAGAATTATCTACAGAAAATTGTTAATTTATTTAATTTAATACGGGATACGCACGTGCAATCGGCTAACACTGCACCAATAAACTGCTGAACTCCGAAGATAGAAAAAAAAATATCCATAATTTTTATACGTAATTTTGTTTGAAGATGAATCACTTTCGAGTAAAAAAACTGTCGAAGCAAAACAACAAGTGGTGTTACAGAACCAACCCAAAAAATTAGAACTACTCTAATTTTTACATAAAACACAAACCTCGCGTCACGTAAAACCCAAAAAAAATCCACAAATACAACAAATAATCCATACAGCAGTACGCTTTAGCGTCTGCAAACTGCAATAAAGCACAAACTGCAATAAAGCACGAAGGGAATCGATAAAACCATACAGCTAAAAAAATCAGCAGCGCCAGAAACACCATTACCCACTAATTTCAGATTGTCCGCAACGCAAGAGCTGCATCTGTATTCTGCAACAAACGCACACAAATGCGACAACGAGTCCGAAGAGGCGAAGACATAACCTGACGGCGAAATTTGTGATGACAATTGTTAGTTCAATCCGGAAACACTTAACTCTTCGCGTACGATTTACTGGTACTTACGACGGCGTATTAAATAATTATTGCAATCGGAATCATCAGAGAACGCTGGTACGAGTATTGTAAGTTCACCTCAAGCAAGAAATTCATCATCGACCTCGTTTAAGTTTAACACATTATGACATGCTGTACGGCCTTATTTCAAAGGATGAACTGTTGAACACGAATCGAATGCAGTTAAAATTAGAGCAGAAAATCTGAAAATATCAAAAATGCACAATTACAACTGATAAACCGATGCAACCTAATTTACACAGCAACGTAGACATACAATCTAGGTACGTATTTACTTACTATTAATTTTTGCACAATCGAACAAAATAATAATTTGTTCAGAAATATGTACAGTTCGTTTTCGCTCAAATCTTTTACACCCTCCTCAAATCCTTAAATACAGTAACACGGGCTTAACAACAATCAGTACTTAATAATAATAAAAAGACTGCAAAAAAACCATAAATCATGATAAATCAGAAACCAGTAAAAATTAACGTGGATTCAGGATTATTGTAATAAATGATAAATCGAGTAGTACCATCTTTCCGTGTGTTATATGGATGACTAACCTGTCCTTCGGGCAAATAACGCATATTCCAAGCAATAACAAAACAATGGTTAACAATGGATGCAGGCGACACGATCAGAGCCACTCCGCAATGACACAGACAGCATAAAAAACAGCAACAAAAAGATCCGGAAAAATGGACAAACATGAAACCTCAGAAAACGAAAAACTTCGTCTGCCAGAGTCAAGACTACAACGATTGCAAAATTCAACAATCAGCTGCACCACTGACTTGTCCCGATAGTCTTCTGGCACATATTAACAATTAACTATCTTATCACAAATTCGAAGAAAAATATTGACGAATTTCACACAATTCGTGAAATCACGGTCAGAAAGATAAAATTAGGCAGAAACGATGTCGCTGCCAGCGAGAAACAGCAAACAGCCAAACACACATCCAAAACAACTGCGAGGACAAAGTTCAAGTCCAAGACCAGCCTCGCGGACAGGGAATTCATCTCGTACGGCGTAAATGGCACTGATTGTGGCGTCACTGATTAAATACCCGTACTACAGCGCTTGCGGACACGAAGCACATACAGGGAATTCACCGCATTGAAAGTTCCATCTAACCCTCGTACGGCCGTCTACGTCACCGTCTGGTCCCGCCCCCTTGCGATTTTCAACTTTTGCGTACGAAAAAGCTTCCGGTGAATGAATTTCGAAGTTATGAATATGATTGCGTAACCTCAATAACCGCGGCTGTTTTTCACCATTAAAATGCAGTCAACAGAAGACACATGTGTGGCTAAAGCCGTGCATCCGTGCCAAGTTCATTCTAAACAAGATGCGCGCGTGCGCGTGTATTGCAAAAGTATCACGAAAGTTGCAACTTTGAAAGCGGTATGCTTGGTCGCTCAAGCAGCAAGCGCAGTACTTCGCGGCATGGCAAAAGAAGCGCCATATCTGTTTACGCCTGTATAGATTTGTTTCCAGCTGAAATACAAACGACTGAAACGATGCACTCAAGCGCAAGGAATTGTTTTTTATCGAATTTTTTTATTATCCATTTGCACATAATAATATTCACCACAGTGAAGAGGCGCCGCTTGTCAACAATTGACTACGAACAAAATTCAAGATAAATTAAAAATTCAAATGCAAAAATGGAATATTATATAAAAGTATTATTTTCATTTGGAAAACACCATTCTCCGTGTGACGAAAATTCCCCCGGGGGACACGAAGCGACGACTTCCGGGCATCAGCCAAATTAATCCCATTTTCTCGAGCAGCAGCGGAAGCTTACACTGCCCATATATCCTGCAAATGGATGCGTGTAATGATAATCCGTCTTCCGCGCGCGCGCCGTTGACGTCGGTAATCCATTATCCACTGCGAGACCATCATGCGGTGTGTCGGCGCAGTCACTGCCATAACCCGCACGGACACTTTTTGCTTTCTTCGAATTGCCGCCATAAATAATCCATGCTTGCTGATTTGGCATCCGATGGAAGTCATCAGTCCACAATCAGATGGCAAGGAAAATCAGAAATAAAAATTCACCATCCTTCCGTGCACGCGGCAGCCTTCTTTGCCATCACGCAACCCGAGAAGGTTTCCTGGATGAAATAAACATCTTCCTCATATATAGTTACAGATAGAATACAAAGCAACGGCATAATATGTATTTGAGACAGGCATTGACCAATACAGCTTTTACAATGCATACTAAACGAGTGCAGCACCGGTACATAAATTCTGCAATAATTTAGGTAATCTAGAATTATTACTGAAAACAGTTGCTTCAATAATATGACTGTACGCTGTAGTCTGTACGTACTTCTACCGCTCTACGCATGTTGCAGGGCAAGCAGAAAAGCACGACGAAAAACCACAAAATTTTGAATTGTACGCCTCTAAATAATTACAAAACTTACAATTAAATTTAGTTTCTTTTTATCTCAGTTTCTGAATAATTAAATAAAAATTTCTGAGATTCTGGCAGACTTACTAAGAAATTCGGCATTAACGCTCGGGTGTCTTCTGTACTCGTGCATTAAGCGATGCTCCGGAATCCCGGATGATGCCGATGTCGATCACCGTTGTACGCACCTTCGTCATCACAAATTTGCTGCTGTTGGCTTCCGGTTTCCAGGACGAGTGGCCGCGATGATACTACGAACAGTAAAGTCAGTTACAATGTATTTCTGTTTATCACTAGCAGATATAAACCTTATTATTAAAGACGAAATTGGGGATCGACTCTTCAGAAATGAGCTGATTCAAGGTCTTTCATCAACGCGTGACTTCAGCAGACCGTCGTGTGTTCTCATCATACGTACTGTACCCCACAATCAACAACCACTGACAAATGGAACAAAACTTTTCGTTTACAATAGGCGATGAACAGCCCATTTCCAGCCCTGATGCTACTTACTTAATCGTTAAAACCGGTAAACATTTTGCGCATTTCAGCAGAATTTCTAATTACAGTATACACCAATTTGCGTACCAGTGTGAATGACAGCTGAAAGTAGTAATTCTGAACAGCTTCACTTCGCTAGAAAGCATTAATGAATCAAAACGATGCTAATAATATATCTAATCAGAAATCTGCTTAATCGAGATAAATAGAACTCCTTAAATGCACAAATGTATCACGATTACACATTGTTTTACCATTTAATACGTCCTGGAAATCTACACTTCCGACTGTCACCCAGGCGCCGTATTACTGGTGTTGTCGATTAAGAGGGCCGAGTGACGGTGCGTCCATTGCTGCAACACACAAAAATCATGAATTAAACGTAGTTTCGAAATATTTTATTGTCGCTGAAAATTCAATTGTGCCGATTTTCTGTAATAATGCGTTCATTTACGTGGAAAAGTATGGATAAGCACTATTCAGCAAAAGCAAACCAACATGCGGTTAACTGAGTGCCGAACTTCCGGTACAAGTGACGACTCGCATGCCAACATCACAAAAACGGTGAAAACACTGGAAAATATCAGTCTGCAAAATTTCAGATTGTACAAACTGTAATGAATCAATTGTTGGGGGTTTTCGTCAGATAGTGAGCATAATGTGTTTGTCCTCATGACCAAAATCAGAAGACCGTCGTGGTTATCATCCTAGCACCCCATTCACCGGCTGCATGATTGTCAGCCGCGAAATTAAAAATAAAGAAAATTCAAACGCCAAAATACTGAATAATTCTTAATGTAAATACTGTGATTCAAGCTGGAACCACCCGTACCGGCGCGTTATTAGAAATACGGTAGAAGTATGATGAAGTATCTTATCATTCTTACGTAATAAGCATTCGCGCACACTGGTAAGTAATCCATGCAAAATTCAGAAAATTACAACTAATTTTATGACGTTGTAATAACAGAATCTCCAAATCTCGGATATGTAGCGCTTCCAGAAAGAAAACACAACACAGCCAAATGTATACTGAATGAATTCACCGAATGCAAAAAAGCGTACGAAGACAAGCGAGAGCGAAAAAAGTTCTTGTAAACGATATCAATTTTTGACAAAAATTAAACCGGTACGTACTGCGTCCTGTCTTAATTTTAAATACACGGCATACGATATATAGCTGCATACTCGACATTACTCGTAAATTAGCACAGCCTTTCATAAAGCGGGCAGCGAGCTCGTCAAATGCGCAAAAACAGAAACAAAAAATTTCAAAACATTTAAAAATCAGTTAATTTCCCTAGCTTAAAATCTCACCCCAAAGGCTCTGGAAATAATTAACGGCTCCTGCCGCATCACACTGGCTAGGTCTACATCCGGGCTGCTGCGTCGATGATCGGTGTGTGGGTTTCTCGTCGCTCCGGTGGCACAGTGACGACCGCGGAGATTCTGCGTGGATGGCGATGCTTTCCATGCTAGCCAACTCGCGAGAACGCTGCACAAGATGATTCCTTGCTAATTCTGGAAACAAATCAGCTGAACCACACGATAAGAAACATGCATGTCGCAGCAAACAAAAAACACGAAGAACCCGGCTCAAAAGAAGAGTTCCATGATTTCGTGTTCGCTGGCTCCTCACCGTTTCGGATGTGCAACTTGTGGGCGCACATATTTGGCAGTACGAAGGATCGGAACAGAATCCGAGCAAACGCAGTCAACTAGAACGAGATACTGTTTAACTACAAGTAAAAGAAACAAAACTTTTTTTGAAATTAAAGTAAATTAACCGAAATCACAAAACTGAAACGTGAAAATTCTAAAATCAAAATTCAAATTGCAACCAGCGAATATAAGCTCGCTGCTGCAACCAAAATCGTCTTTGCCGACTTCCGCTGTGGGAAGCTGAACCCGAGCTGAGTCGATGTCGCAGTTACGTCCGCCAAAGATGGCACTAACGGTGACTAACCGATTGAAATTCAAGGCAACGGCTAACCATGGAAATTTCCGCAATATGGTTTTCCGGTGTTCGATGATAGAGATTCTCTAAATTTTCCTTTTAAAAAAGTGTAGCTTCTGTTTTTACAAGAATCTAAATTATTCGATTCTATTTTAAAGACATCAATGCGGTAGTACCCTGCCATCGGTTTCTCTGACGTTTGCTGTTTGCACTTGCAGTTCTGAGTTCTGATCGTGACTTCCGTCGGCACACGAACGTAACGATACGAGCCGATTCGGAGTTGTCTGCTTCGGCCTGTAAGTGAATTGTGATGATACTTCGTTACGCCACGCCGCCTGCGCATTGATTCATGTGTTTTCTCATCCAGACTGATTTCAAACCGCCGAGCATCCTCCTTGTCAGACAAGTTTTTTCTCTTACAGTCTTACGCACAGTTACGTAATCCAGTGATCTTCACAGAGTGGAAACGCACCTTTTCCGCTTCCTCTGCGCCCATAGCATCCGCCATCGCCCTGTTTCCTTATTCCCCTGTGCGTGCGCTGATTAATGTTTCTCGCGTGACACACCGTTGTAATCCCTCCATGATTATCGCCGTCACCGATGTTAGCGGATAATAATTACATCCTGGTGCCTCGTGATCCGTTGAATCTATGGTCGGATTTGATCCCAAACAGAGCGTTGTTCTGCCCCACTATGTCTATGGAATATGCGGAGCATCTGCTGCGTTTCTCAGGTGCTGACAGCAGCGTGCTGATGCAGAATTGTAGAGTGGGGATTTGATTTTGTTGGTGTTTTACAGCCGGTTCTTCACGCAGCCGGTGGATGTGTGCAAGATCCGCTTCCAGCTGCAGATTGAACCGATCAGACGCGGTGAGATTGCGTCCAAATATCAGGGACTGTCGCAGGCGGTGGGTCTGATTGTGCGGGAAGAGGGCGTCCTCGCTTTATGGGTAAGTTCGCTGTTATAGACTAATATAGAAGAATTAAAAACCTAATCGTTACTCACAGGAAATTTTTAGCAAGGGAAAGCTATGGAGATTTTGTGCAATTAAAAATTTTGATTTTTTATATTTCTCACCGCTTGTAATTCTATTATCATGAAATTTCGAAATTTTACATAAAGTTCTAATTTTTGCAAAATCGATTACAGGTTTTCGAAGAACCCTTCGAATTTCGAACCATAAAATTTGATGAAAGAGTAATTCCTGAATTTTATCGCGCGGTTCTAGTAGGTGCTGTGGTTTAATAAATTGATTGGGTTATTTATTTTTATTGAAACGTGAAATAGGGTTCGTCTCGGAGACGGTAAGAGAATCAGAACTGAACGTGGTGATTTCAGCGTAGGTAATGCCGTAAAGGAATAATTATATTATATAAGAATAAGTTAAAGTCAAACTGGAAGCCTTGAATTGAAGACACCTGACTTGTGAATGTATTTAATCATTTGGGAATTTTCGAATTGTAGAAAGGACTTCTGGCTGCTCAACTCCTGTCCACTGTCTACGGTCTGGTACAGGTGAGCACACTGAGCAGGCACTAATTGACTAATAGTTTCGATCGTGGAACATCAGTTTCAACGTGCGGTATAAGCATTGCTTTGTTAGGCTTTTTTTGTGTATACCGCACAATTTTTTGTTCTATTTTTTTGCCGTTGATAACACGAACCGCGGAACGGCTTCATTCATAGAGAATGTGAAGGTACAGGGTTTGTGGTTGTAGTTTGGCACCTTTGAGCTGCTGAACCGCGCCCTGTGGACGCTGCGGTGGACGGATAATCCGCGTGATCCCTTCCTGTATTTCCTCTGTGGCAGTGTGTCGGGCGTGGCGGCCACGGTGGCCGCACAGCCGCTCGATGTGGTCCGTACCCGTTTCGTCTCGCAGGGACGCCAGAAGGTTGGTTAAATATTTTGACATTCACACCGGCATTGCATCAGCCGTTTGTTTAAGTACTGTTCTTATAGAGCAATTTCGGAGGTTTTTCGTTGGACTGCGAAAACGAATATCGCAGATATCTTAATGCAAATTCTTTTAAAAGTTCTGTAAATTTTTAAACTTAATATTAAAGTAGTTTACCTTTCTGCAAAATAAATTATAACAGTATCAGCACGTATCGAAGCCGATGAAATATTGATGAATCTCATCGGTCAAAACAGTGCTAAAAGTAAAGAGCAGCTTTCACTTGGTCACCGGTTTGTGTTATAACCTATCGAATCGGTATTACCCAGTGATAGTACATATTTCATTTCTGGGAATCCCTGGCAATGCTGGATAAAAGCGTTAACTTTGCAAAAATTGAATATTCTTTCTATTTATTTGCCGTGTTTTTTCTGTGCAGGTGTACAACTCTTTGTGGCAGTCACTGACTCTCCTCCGCCGTCAGGAGGGCCTCCGCGGCTTCTACCGCGGTCTCGTCCCGGCTGTGATCCAGATAGTTCCTTACAATGGAGCGTCCTTTGCATTTTACGCCCAGTTTCAGTCTATTTATAGACGCTTCTCTGGCAATACGTCCGCCCACAGCGGTATGTCCTATGTCGCGCAGTGTGGCGGTAAAATTGATGATCGCGCAGCCGGTTTCCTGCTGCGGTCGTTTATCGCAGCGGCTGTTCCGTTTATTTACGAATTACTTTCAGGAAAGATCGTTCTGCCGATTTTCTAAGAATTTTTTCTTATTTGCTCGGTCTGCTGTTGATTAATCGTCTGTCTCTTAAAGCTTCATTTCTTTTATTGGATAAGGGTTAAACTTTAAGCAGGTGCGGATATGAGTTTATAAACTGTTAATTCAGCTAGAGATTCATCAATTTAATTGTATTGAACCCAATTAATTTCGCTGATTTTATGGAGTTTTTTATGATTGACTTTATGGACTTCTGCCTGATTTATAATTTGATCGCATTTTTTTTTATAATTTTGGTGGTTTTTTGTAGATGCGCTGGAAAGTTTGACGTGTGGTATATTTGCGGGTGGTGTGGCCAAAACGTTAATCTATCCGTTGGATGTGTTCAAGAAGCGCCTGCAAGTGCAGGGTTTCGAGGAAGGACGTCGCGGATTCGGCCGGATGATCTGCGTTGACAGTCTTCGTCAGTGCGTTGGTGAGATGTGGCGCATCGAGGGCCTCAGCGGATTTTACAAAGGCTACAGGTGATTTCATATCCAACGCATAGCATTACAACTTGTATTGATGTTAAATTTCAGTTAATTTAAATTTTAAAATGAGTAAAAAACGTCATTGCAGTACATTATTCAAAAAGGGATATTTCTACTAGCAGCGTTAGCGTTTGGCTGTATTCTGTTAGTTGCGCGGCTTGCGCCTAGAAGAAAACACGGATATAAAGTTGTTAACATTTAAAATTGGCTTGCGGAAACGCAGCTTAATCACTGGCATTTTATTTTGTTGAAACTCGTTTCTTAATTTGTGTGTTTTGTTTTATTGCAGTCCGAGCCTGATCAAAGCGGCGCTGGCCACGGGGATCAATTTTTATTGTTATGAACAGTTTCTTAAATTATTTCGCACTTACTACGAGTCGAAATGAACCTGGTTTGCCTTGTTGTTCTAGTTTGAAATCTGCGCTGTGGTGGAATGATGTGTGATACTTTATTGATACACCGAGTGTGTAAATGTGTACGTTTGGCAGCGGTGATGTTTGTTAGCAAGTAGCAGCTCTAGCACTAATAGACAACTTAATAAAGTTGTTGCGAAAAAATTCTGTACAGCAGTACCACCTTGCTGATTGTTCTATTTATTCCAAATTAAATTTAAAGTAATGACATTGTCCTATTAAAAATTTAAATTTTGATTCTTTTGGATTCTGTTTTTTTTTATTGGTGAAAAGGCTATAAATTTTTATTTGTCACCGCTTTTCAAATGCCCGACATGTGGTTAAATGTCTCAAAATTTTGTACTAACATTGAAAGGGAAATACTTAGATAGTATGCTAGTCAAGAAGAAACTGGCAAATTGGAAAAATCACAACAATACTCTCATAAGCCATATTTAAAGTACGAGTAGAGAAGTTGACAGGCAATTTTCTCGATTCTAGTTTTGATGCTTTGCCTGTTTATAAATTTTAACTACGTACACAAATTCTATAATATATTTGTGATATATCTGACCATAAGTATGTTCTTCTTCGTTTGTCCATTGCGTGCGGATTCAGTCTGTTTTCGAATTTAAAGCGACCGATCACGGAGTCGGTAAAGCGGACGCTTCGCAACGCTTTGAGAATTTCTTCCCTTTGACAAGCCGACGGAAGCACAACACCGCACGCGAGTGCGGCGACCGCAATGGTATTCGACCAATTTTGGCGGAAACGATTGCCGCTGCACCAATTCCACTAAAGCTCCAGTGGGATTCCACAGGTGGCGCTACTTACCTTACCGTACTCAAGTCTTGCTTTAAACTGGAAAATCCGAAAATGGAGGTGGTTAGCGTTAGCGACCGAATGTTAGCGAGGTGGTGGAATTGGTATTACAAAGTGGTGGAATTACTAAAAATTACCAGCCCGAAGTTTTCTTCGTTCATCCTTTTCGTAAGGAAGAATTTTGTCGATATCACTTGCGACTTTCGAGAGCTATTTTTATTTTTTTTCCTAGTCAGGTTTGTTCCATTTGCTTGCTTTTCAATTTCGTTAGAAGTTGTTTTCTAATATTCAAAGTTTTCAAGTTTTAAGTCCTTTTTTCGCAAAATGAACGGCGGCGGAAAAAACGTAAGTATCTTTGATTTTGCTTTTCTCTGCTGGCTCCACGGGTTCTGTACCTGATGTAGGCAATAAATGAGGCTTACCTCAGAATAAACCTGTACATACCCAATATTAGCTTTGTATCGAGACAGGGACTGCTTTGCATGTGCTTCAATTAAACTCGTTTTTGTATCCTGGTTCCTTCCACTTGTTGCTCCTGTGAATGTGAGGCTTAGTTTCGGGGTTAACTGTAGATCGTTGATTTTCCCTCCGTCGTGATCCTATGCAGACAGCGCAACGCATCTCCAAGAATGCGTATCGGCGATGCAGCATCGGCGGATGCCTTCGCGGGGTTTCGTAGCGCTGAAGAACTGTTTCTGGTTTCCTCCGTATTTTCTGTTTCGTAGCGACTTCTGGGCTTTTCTGTGTTTGACATTGTACAATTTGTACTTGACATTATCGTCGTAGGGAAACCGTAGCTGGACCGAAAGCGCTCCGCAGCGAAGCCTGAATGGGACTTTGATGCCCAGCAAGATCTTTATTGGCGGACTAGCTCCTCAGGTGCGCATTTAATCCATTTCATCGAATTCTGGCGTCTTGCAAATTTTACCAGTAACGATCCTTGTCTGTATTGTTTACGGAAAGTTGCGTAGGATTTTAATGTGAATTTTGGCATAAGCTGTATGTATGCACGAAAATTCTCGAAAAACGTTAATTTATTGATTTTATCACAAACGAAGATGTCTTCAGCGGCATAGAAACTGATGCAGCTCAGTTATTCTCCACAAGCGCTATTGCCTTTAATTTTTATTATTAATATTTTTTTAAAAATTGCAGACCAATAAGGAGCATGTCCAGCACGCGCTCCGCCAGTACGGTCCGATTGTGGATATCAATGTGATTACGGATAAATCGCTGTTCGCGCGTAACGGTGAACCGCGTCGGTATGCTTTTGTCGAATTCGGTTTCGCTGAGGACGTGGATCGAGTGTTGCGCGTGGTAAGTTTGTAGTGATGGGCCTGTAATCCATGTGAATTCAGCAAGATTCTGAAATCCAGTTTTCTGACTGAATAAAATTATGAATTTTCTTCAAATTTGCATACCGTTGTGCTTATCATATAAATCAGGAAAATTATGTAAATGTGCTGTTTTGTGTTGTAAATCCTTCGAGTAAGTATTGAATTTGTTTTGCGGTAATTTTCAGTGATGGAAGTAATTCATGAATTGCGTAAATAACTGTTTTCTGGTTCTTGTAGTTTCAGCGGACTTTTTTGGAAATTCATGGTCGTCGTTTGAATGTGGCTAAAGCCTACCGTCGTCCATCGACGTTTGGAAAAATCTTCCGTAAGGCATTCTCTTTATTACTACTACACAGTACACTCAGTCAGATTTTGCACATCAGTTTTCTGCGTCTCCCGATTGTTGTAGCGTAAATATCCCCGCGTATATGTTAAATAAATGCGATAATTTGTACGAATTTCTCCGCGTCAGGTCCGGACGATGCGCCCGTGCTGCCCAAGGCGGAACAGCTGCCACCGGGAATTGGTGTGGTGACGGTCCATCCGGAGGCGTACAACAAGGGCTACGTCCCGCCGGGGATCCAGAACGCGCAGTGGGCCATGCTCCCGGGTCAGCAGCCGCTGCAGCCTAACGGAATGCCGCTGTTTCCGGTGCGTACGTTTCTGTTATTAATCATTACTGCATCTCGAGATTTGGATAAATTTACCATTTTAAGTTTTCAAAAGTAATATCACGGTGGGGAAATGCGTTTTGACTTTTTGAGACGCCACATAAAGCGCCTGGCTACTCGACGATGGTGAATTCTTTAAAACTTTGTATTATATTAGTGCCCGATTTATCGAAGGTGTAATTAGTGAAACTGTTATTTAAATACTTACTTAAGCAGTGCCAAAATTAGTTTGCAGTTTCCAGTACAGAATTGGAATCAGTTTACCGCAGTATCATTCTGGCGTTTATTATTCAGTTAATTTATTAATCGTTGTGCTGTATCGTCAGTTTGTCACACCGAAAACTTGTTAGTTTATTCGTAAGTTTTTTTAGAGATTCTTCGTTCAGAGATACGAGAACATGTAGAACATATGTATGTTCTCGTGTGCAGAACATGTGTATGGCTTCGCATCAAATACTGGGTGAAATATTGTGTTTTTATAGAATGTTCACGGCGGGATGTTTGGGGTGCCGTATTACAACAACGCGTTCTATATGACTCCCAATGGACTGCCGTATCAGTATTCTGGATTCGGTTACGGAATGGGGAACCAGGTGCCGCTGCTGAATGGCGCCAACACGGCCACGGCTGGCCCAGGACTGACCCCGTATCCAGCTGCCACACCGTCGCCCAACGGGTCTAGTGGATCCAGCGGCGTCTCCTCGTTGGGGACGCCGACCGGCGTCTTCATGGGCTCACCGCCGCGTCCGGACATGTTTGAGGTATCTTAAATTCGGAAATTGTTAAATAACTAGAATATTTGTATGATGCGAATACTTTTTTACGTACGCACCGGTACGTTGTACTTGAACCGAAACTATTCTCTAAAGTATGTCTGCAACTCTGAAGTTTCGTAATTTTGTTAAGAATACGGCCGAAAATGTCTGAGAGGGTATAATATTCCGCTGTTTCCTTTTTCCTAAACGATAGTTTATCATCAACTTTGTAACGGAAGTTACTATTGAAAAAGATGTTAATTTTTTCGGATACTGTTGACTTTTACTTGCGTTCTTTACTTTCTTTGGTCGAGCAAACTCTAGCTGGTACTGAATATTCACTGAGTTTTCTAAAATTTTACGAGGTGCTTTTGAGCTGAAAATTATTAAATTCTTTTTGCGTAACAATTTAGCTCGTATTAGATGAATTTTATACTTGCATATTTTAATTTTTCCAATGATATTTTACAGCGCACCATGGGAATGCATAACGGATATTACTACGGTGCTCCGGGACCGATTCCCATGGACGGCGGCCAGATGTACGGCGGGATGCCGAATTTCTTCCCGCCGATGCCGGCTTTCGTGCCGCAGCCTCAGTTTGCTTAGAAACGGATCTCCGACGTGCCAGACCAAAAACTGTATGCAGTTTAGTTATTCCTTTGTTGTTGCATTTTTTCTCTTTAGTTGTAATCTCCGTTAAAAATCGGATCTTCGTTTGAGTATAGGGACTAGGGCGTTGTTTCGTTTTGGCGTTGCTTATGTGCGGAAAGTGTTGTCATTTATTGTCAACGGTGCGCCAAAACGGTGACAAGAGATTAGTATTTTTGGGATTATTCGAAGAATTTTGTACAATTGATCTACACGATATGTATTTGTCCGGCATTCTGATGCGGAGTATTTTTGCGAGATTTATACGCTTGGTCAATTAAAAAGTTTCTACGTTTGCCGATTGTTCGATACAGCACTCAGTTCATGTACACAGTTCAATACATACTGTACATGAAAATTTAGGAATTGTCAAATCCTGATTTAGTTTTTGATTTGGTGAATATCTATATAGTCTATAGATATAAAGATTTACAGTACGACTACGAGTATATAAATACTATATGTCGACGTGAAAAGTTATTTGCATTGCACGTATAGCCCATTTCTTCATAAAGTAAAACGGAAATGATCGTATTTCGTTGCGAACACTAAGTAGTTGGTAAATACAGATAGTAATGAATCAATGATAGTCAACAGGCGAAACTTATTTCTGTTATTAATTTGTTATCACTTTCATTTATTAAGGTTTGTTGTGACTGTCAAATATGTACTATCATCACTTTCGTACGGTGAGAGATGATTCAGGTAGAAAGGAAGTGCACATTACACAATAAATACGGCGTGGTACACAATAATTTTTACACGTTAGTGATTTCGGTATTACCGAAATCACTAACGTGTAAAAATTATTGCAATCTCAATCACAGTACGTAATTAATAACAGTACAAAAATAAAATACAAATGAACAGTAATAAACAAATTGCACGAATTGTTACCGCATTTTGTGAAATAAAAATTCATTGCACGAAATAAGTTATTATATAGATATTTTTAGATAAAATTACAGTATATCGTTATATATATATTATACGACATGACGGATACGTAAAAAAGTCTTGTCATATCGTTCTCGTTATTTTTTCGTTATACCGCTACAAAAAAAAACATAAATAATATTATAAATTTACTATTCGTACCGTACTCGAGTATTTATGCGCCGAAGAACAGTGCATTACTGTACCTAACCTCACAAAAGTACCGAATTTATCGATTGCGATTTTCTGTACATACAGTACGATACAGTACTTACTTGTACTATTGTACGATTAATTTTACGATTAATACATTGCGAAATTTTCCTTCAGTTCTTCTGGCCCGAAACATTGGCCTTAATTTTTTTTATCCGTATAACGTATTAGAATAAGTACTGACTAGTTATCACCACTCAGAAAATCATATAAATCAAGAAAAAATGAAAACCATATGCGCACTGAAAATTGCTTTGATATGACCGGCGTGCCGCCATTGGCCAGGCCGCCTAGACACCACGTGACGCGCCGCTGTTACATGAAAGGGGCGGGGCGGATGGCCTGCAAAACTGGCAAAGAAAGAAAAGCGGAGCTTTATCGACGGGGCCTGCACTGCATACGAAGCAATTTCCAGACAGACGTCGTGCTGTATGTTATGGCATTGGCGTGCGACTGCACAAGCCGAGTTGATTTCTGTCAAACCTAGTCAACAAGCCTTACGAGTTCCTTCATCATTGATTTCCCATGTTGGGAAGATAATTTCCAATAATTATTACCCGTATATTGTCGGCTGGTCCAATTGCGTCGACGGCTTGTAATCCTGGAAGAAACGGAAAATGTAATCAGTAAATCGGAGACGGTGTTGGATTTTTTCCATCCCGGTGTGGAGTCCCGCAGGTGACCCGTGATATTCCAGGAACGGATGGACTGCCTGCATCCTGTTTGGGTGCATTGTGAAGATGAAGAGTTCTATTATATTTGGATGCATTTTGAGCGGATTCGGTGCACTCTGGAGTGTGGGAGACGCTATTAAGCCAGCGCCACTCGGTGGTAAGAATATTTATTTTGTGTCTTGCTTAAATGGGAAATAATTAATAAGTAATTTCCTAGCTTCATTATGACATTCTCGCTCACATATTTAAATAAATAAATATAAGTAGCATCATAAAAAATTGCGTTTCTGTGGTTTGTTATGGTTTATTGACTTGGTATCAATTTATTTGTAAAATGTCCTCCGGAATGATTTGAGGCGCATTTCTGTTTCAAGACTCGGTTTTACCCGCATTTCCGTTTCGAATTCAAGCACAACAGCGAAACGGTCTTTTGCGCACAGTTTGTTCTCTGTATGTCCTAGATAGCATTTCTGCCGCAGACACAACAAGGAGCTGCAATGAAAGCGGCGTGTTTTCATATTGCACCGTACAGTACAGTCTAGACTGGGAAATCGCCATTTCTAATAAAAATTGATTATTTTTTTGCATTTGATTTTCGTGCTTTGAGAGAATGATATTGATATAGTCTTTAAAGGTATTTCAATAAATTATTTATTACTCTGGTAAATTTGTATTACGCTAATACTGTACTCATCGTTTTCTGCAGTAAACTGAGATTTTCGCATCCGTGTGCAAAATGTGATCACGGCGAATTTTAAGTACACATTTAATTTTTATTCGATTGTGTCTTGGTTTGCCGGAAACCGGTGCTATCCAGCATCACAGTATCATACACAAGCAGGTTGTTTTCCTTAAATTGTCAAGCCAGTGCAGCCGTAGAGTGATGCGGAGGGAGCAGCAGCAAATGAGCACTGTCATTGTCCTCATTTCCGGTTTGGCGTTTTTGGGCGATTCCTTCTCGGCCGAGCGTGCATGCTGTTCTGGCGATGCAGTTTCGGCGCTGTCTGCGGAATTTCACTGCGCGGCTAACCAGACGCGCGGAGTAACCTAACACTGACATTAATGGTTTCCGCGACCAAATTGTCCTACCAGGCGATTTCAATTCAGTCGAGTATTGTCTTGATGGAAAACGATTAAATTATTTAAATAAACGTTGACAAACGATTGAATTATTTAAATGCAGCTAAAACACTACTCTACCAGTAGAGTAAGTAATTTGGCGAAAAATTTTGAACAGCTCTACTTGCGGTCACAATGTCGTGAAATTTGTCTTAAATAAGTCGTAAATTTACAGAAATCTTGAAAACAGAAATATGGCGATTTGATATGCAGTATTATCAGTGAACTGGTTTAATAGTAGTAAGTATTCGTAACGTGAGCAATTTTTTAGGACACTTTAAAACAAAAATTTATGAAAATTGAAAAATATGATGTGTAAATATTGTTGTATTCGCACCATGAATTAAACTTTAATAAATATGTAATGAATGTTTTTCTGGTTTAGAATTACAGTTAAGCTAAAAGAAAGACATCAAAAAAGTGTTGGCTTTTCTAAGAAAATCAATATTCGTACTTAATAATGTCTAAAGTGGGTGAGTTGAATCCTTTAAGATTATTTATTGGGTTTTTATTTATTTAAAATTGCAATTGAGTTAGAATGACTTGGAAAATCGTTTGGCGGTTGGGAGAGTATTAAGAAAAATAAACACGAATACCCGGACAAGCTGTAAATAATGGCGCCAGCTCGTTAAAACGCACCGAATGTCGTCGACTTGACAGAAGCTGACATGTCGATGTGCGATAATCCCTTCGATTTTCCTCGTCCGACTGTCAAAGCGATGACGGTGTGTGCGTTGCGGTTTTTGTGTCGTTTTCCTAATCTCCGCCAGTATTTGGAAAATGGCAGGCAACGTTGTTGAACGCTACTGACGCGGGCCGACAGCTAGCGGAAAACAAGCAGTAATTATTTTAACGCATTTAATTGCACTCGCGGTGGGAAATGACTTCCTTCCGTAACGCGGCTGGTCACTGTAGTGTTTTAGTGTGACTACTTAAAAATACGGCTGCCGGTTCAGGGCGCTAAAGTGTTCTAATTGGTCATAATTGTCTTAACTTTTCCAAGCCTTGGCAGATCAAGATGAACTCTGTTGTTTAGTATGAAATAAATTACGAGACGTCGTGTGATTATTTTTGATTGCAATCATTTCATGCTGCCGGCTGATATCTCGACCGAAATGCTAAAACAGACGACAGCCACCTAATTATTGCGTGATTTAATTTTCCGGTGAATGTTTTTGCTGATAATAGCGTTATTTATTGAAAGGCTGCATTTTACAGGATGAAGAAGTGACTAATTGCAAGAAAAAATAGCAGTGTATGAAAATTTCACGTTTGACCAAATGGTCCTTTTACTTTTTTCGTTTTTAAATAATTATTAATTTTGATATATTTCCGTAACTTGTTTTACTTTGATAACATACTGTAGTTGCCGGCTCAGTCGCGGATTTCTTGAAATTGAGAATTAATTTGCTGCGTATTTGCGTACGAACATTTGGTATAAAATATAAAATATATATTTGAAAACAGAATATGTAAATAGTACTGTGGTTCGCAGAATCACGAAGCAAGTTTTCGAAATTTCTCGACACAAAATAAATCTGTGTAAACAGGAACATGAATACGCTCTCAAAAAAATTTGTCCTTTATTGATGTCAATGCTCAATATTTACCTAAAGCGATGTAGTTTGTATTGAACGGATAAGCGAGACAGCCGGGAATGTTGTTGCAGGTATCACGTGTGTGTGTACGCTGTGCCCCAACAAGACCTGTCACACGGACGGTGTGTGTCTGACGCAGGTGGTCCGGCAGAAGGACGGCGTGGTGGTGCGATGGGACAAGTAGGTTGAACGCCGCATTTTCGCTTTTTGTATCATTGAACGGACAAGGGAATCGGGAATGTTGTGCAGTTGTCTGGCCAAGTACCAGCTCTTCCCACCGGAACATCCCTTCCTATGTCTGGTGTCGGAGGCCCTCCGGGAGACCAACGCGGTGGGCTGCTGCGCGGAAGGGGATTTGTGTAATCGCGACTTGAATGTCACGCTGGCCGAACCGCTGACGCTGGCGCCAGGTGGGTGAAATTGCGATGAAAGTTTGAAAGCATTTCGGCTTCGAATAATATTCGTGTAACTAATAAGGAAACCGGTTTATTGGAATTTTTCTACTCGGAGTAATAATCAACGCAGTAAGAGTGCTTTATTGATTTACGGTTACTTTACTTGTGAGAAAACATTTATCGATACATCTATTAATTATGCTTTTAGGAGTAAGACTAATGATGACCAGTTTCATGACAACTTGTTTAATTAAATTTTGTGATATTTTTATTACTTATTGCATGTTTAGTTTGTAACTGTTTGTGTTTTCCAACGTTTTTTAACATCGCGTGTACGTTGTATTGATGCTGGCGTTGTAATAAAGGTTGGTAATGTTGCAGCGTCAGCCGCCAGCACCGGTGACCCGTGGGAGACATCCGGGAGTCGCCAGCTGATAATCGGCATAGTGGCCGCTGTCATCGTCGTCCTGGTGCTGCTGGCCGCGCTCGGTGTGTTCATGTGGCGCCGTCACACCACCCAGCTGGCGGCCAAGGCGCCGGGCGGGAAGGAAGCCATGCGGCTGCTGGAGGAAGGACAGTCGGGCGCACTCAGCGCCCTCGTGGGGGAGATGACCACGTCCGGCTCGGGATCGGGTGCGTCATGTGCTCGGTCGTATTTCTGGTTGCGCTGATAGCGTTTACTGTTGCTGTTTTCAGTGTTTCTTAACAGTTGACAGTTTTATTGAAATAAGGCTTTTATTTTTCTAAATAAAAGTTTAATTGAATCTGCATTTAATTACACCTAAAAACTGTGATTTGTTTTTTTAATTAGGATTAATTTGTAGTTCGCACTACGGTAGTTGTTCTTCTTTGCGTTTTTGTGGTGCGTGTTGATGAAATCGGCCTTTTTAATACGGTTTTGCAGACAGTATTGGTTTTAAGCAGTGGCAGAAATGTATTACATTATTACAGAGTTTTAAAATTACACGAATTCGTTGAACTATCGTTCGAATTGCAATTAATATTCTAGTATATAGTAATAGTGGAATCGTTTACGTTAGAAAAAGCAGTTCCATCTGTATTTCATTCCATTCTGTTAGTTACACAGCTGCCAGACTAATAATCATGGCGGTAATGTTGTGTAGGTCTGCCGCTGTTGATTCAGCGCACCATCGCCCGCCAGGTGTCCCTGATCAACCCCATCGGGAAGGGCCGCTACGGGGAAGTGTATCTGGGCCGCTGGCAGGGGGAGAACATTGCGGTGAAGATGTTCTCGACGCGCGACGAGGCCAGCTGGAAGCGCGAGGTGGAGATGTACCAGACGGTGATGCTGCGGCATGAGAATCTCCTCGGCTTCATCGCCGCCGACAACAAGGACAACGGCCTGGTGACGCAGTTGTGGCTGCTCACCGAGTACCACGAGCTCGGGTCGTTGTACGATTATCTGACGCGGACACCGGTGGATGTGCCGGGCATGCTGCGGCTGTGCTTCTCCCTGGCCAACGGACTGGCGCATCTCCACATGGAGATTGTCGGTGTGTCCACGCTCGGTAAGGACATCGTGGAAACCAGCCACATTCGTTTAGCAGTTGCTCATGATCGGAATGTACTCACGTGCAATTTATTTATATTTGTTTTTATTTCGTTTATCTGTTGAACCTTGAACCATTATTTTGGAAAATGTACTAGTAATAAATAAATACACGCAATTCGTTCAGCGCTTTTTAATAAAATATTCCTCTTTTTACTGTACCAAATGTATTTTATTCGAAAAATAGTACGAGTACGTGAGGAGCCAGATATTTTCTGTAATTTTGTTAAAATAGTAATGATATTCTGATGCGTAATTCTACATTTGAATACCTGCTTCTTAAAGTACGGGGCAGGTGTTTTGCTTAATTTTTTCGCGCATGTGCTGTAATTGTCTGATCGAGTTAACGTAGGTAACACACTGTCGAAATCGAAGCAACAGCTGCCGGAATTTGTATTGGAATTTCGACCGAAGTATTTAAAGCCGCTTCACTGGTTAATTGTCTATTGATTATTGGAATTTTTTATTGGGCGGATTTTTTGTTGCCTTTTTCTCCGCACTATTTGCGGTATATTGACTCTAATTGAGTATTGATCTGCGACGGTCGTCTGCATTGTTTGTATGAGTTCCGTCTGTCTGTCACAGGGAAGCCGGCGATCGCCCATCGCGACCTAAAGAGCAAGAACATTCTGGTGAAGCGGAATCTGCAGTGCGCCATCGCCGATCTGGGCCTGGCCGTCGCCTACGATCACACCGGCCACATCAATCTGCCGCACAACGATAAGGTGGGCACGGTGCGCTATCTTCCACCGGAAGTGCTGGATAGCAACCTCAATTTAACCAACTTCGAGTCCATCAAGGCCGTGGATGTGTACGCACTGGCGCTGGTCCTTTGGGAGATCTGCCACCGCTGCGCCTTCGCAGGTCAGTATAACAGATTGTAAAATATTGAATCGCTTGTTAATAAAAATATCGGTTCACCTTTATTTATTCATTGTAAATTCAAAATTGCCGAATCTTTACAAATTTAATGATGAGAATTACAATAACACTATACTTCAAGTATATCTACTTATTTTCATAGTTTATTATTGAAATTCCATGCACGCGCTATTCTGATGGATTGAGCTGAAAGCCTGAAATGTATAATTTTCTTTGCAAATAAACAGTTCCATATTTTTATCATGTACCATAACCACTATGAGTTTTTAGTTAGCATTCTCTAGAGTTTATTTACCGACTATGTTAGTGCTGCCTGTGCTGTCATGCAATTTAATAAAATAAGTTATAAAAATGCTGATGGTGCAGGTCCTGCTGCGGAGTATGAGTTGCCGTATGCCAATGATGTCCCGGGTGATCCGGATGTGGGACAGATGCGGGAGGTGGTGGTGGTGAAGAAGACACGGCCCAGCATCCATAATCAGTGGAGCACGCGCGAGGTACGTGTCAGATCAGCGTAGCATTTTGATGTATTCAAATCAGATTGAACGTTGACCACTAAGGCAAGATTGTTACGTATAACGTGATGCATATATATATATATGTATATATGCATCACGTAAAATATATATATGCATATTAAATATATATATGCATATTAATCCAATATTTAATCGAATAATATTCCGTTAAAAAACCAAGAAGGAATATTCCATTAGGAAGGAATAAATAGCATTTTGTTTAACGACTACGACTTGTGCAGTCGATGCTTTCCCTGCTAGTAAAGCTCCTTGAAAACTACTGCTTTGAATATCATGAGCAAAGAAAGAATCAGCATGATTTTTTTAACGGAAAAAGATTGTGCTTTTGGCACTGCGATACAGGCACAGTGTTAATTCAGTACGAGTATTAATTGAGTAAAACTGCGTAAAGCATTAATTTAAATTTTAAATATTACAGTACCGCGGAAAGAATGTTTTCTGTTTAGCGAGAAAATATTACTTTTGTGTCTCTGAACTTTCGATACAGTTTTAATGTTGATTCCGTAAAAAATTCGATTCCGTGGAAAATGTTATAAGAAAAAATACCGGCAAAAGTTGGAGCTTTCTGTTAAATAATTTTGTTTGGTTGTTTTGTTGTAGCCGATGCAGACGATGTGCCGGTTGATGCGCGAATGCTGGTATCCCAATCCGCAGGCCCGGCTGACGGCGTTGCGCGTAAAGAAGACCATCGCCCAGCTGGTGGCCACCGGGGACGTCAAGATATAATGCGGATGTGAAGATATAACACGACACAGTGAACTCGGGAAAACGCTGTTTACGGTGGGGAATCTCCTGGTTTTTTGGCTGAAAACGGAGGCAACACGGGGGCTTTTGTAATTGGCGGGACAGGCGAGTCGGGGCGCGCTGGAAAGCCCGGTCTGTGATAATTTCCGGGGAATTATTATGAAAAACGCCGAGAGCGATGCAGGGTTTTTTTTGTTTTTGATTTTTAATGCGGTATTGTGGCGGACTGTGGTTGCGGGGGTGACTGGAGGATTGGCTTTCATAGGGACGCCCATGGGATTTTCAGCCAGCGATATTGGAATGGTTTTTGTTTTTTTTTTCAAAATACTTTTACAGAGTTGGATCTTTTTGTCAGGCTTCTATTGTTGCGTGCAACGGTCTGTGTGTGTTTACTTGATACCCGTTCAAGAAATTGCGAATATATCTGATTAATTTTATTAGTCATGGACATTTGATTTGGACAGGGAGTGCTTTGAATAAAGCGACAATGATATTACTACAATGTGGAAGAAATTCCTTTTTTTACATACTAGATAGTTATTTAAAAATTTAGTGTAACGTTTAAATGAATCTACACTGTATAATGTACACACTGTATCTGTGTAAAATACATTATCATTATAAAGTTTTGTACCGGTACGTTGGAATTTTAGGAACGGATGTCATTTTACTACTTTGCGAATCTTCGCATACGGAAGAAGAAAATCAAACAAATTCACTTTTTTTACAATGACAGAATTTTGCTGTAAATGCTTTCAGTTTCTGCATTGTGCGAACACAACACTCTTGTGTGCGAATTAAACATTACACAACGCTGCACCGGAAGTGAGGGAAAATCGCTCTCAGCCAAAAAACAGACACCGGTTTTCGCTTGGAAATGGTGTAATAATTCGATATGTAACGCCTTGCGAATTATCATATTCAGGATTATTATGCAAGTAACTGAAGTAAGTATGCCAAATTTAGTTGCGATCTGAAATGAATTACATTAATTAATTGTATTTAGTGTACGAAATACTATTTTAATCCTCTAAATTGTATATAAAATTCCGGGTTATATTGCACTGCTAGATGGTCATTTAGGTATTTTTTTCAATGATTTTTGTTTTTCTAGAAACTAATAAATCCAAAAAATTTCGAATATTGAATGATTATTTGAATCATTGTTGGTAACTTGAGGAAGCCTGCAAGGCAAACTGCAAACTGACCCATACAACCATAAATCACATAAAGCATTTGCCGACGCACGGAAGCCAGACGCGCTTGCGCTCAATCCAACATGCAAACTGTAAACGCCAATACTGCCGAAAACGATCACAAGGAGCGTTCAAGAGGTTACCAGCGGCACAGCAATGTTCGTCGGGATCACGTTTCCGCTGCGTGAATACCGCAATACCACATCCATACAGAATCAACAACACTACCGCCTCGTTACTTTGTTCTTACCCGGGCAACGGAATATCCAAATATGACGCAAGGCTATTTCCCTGTACCGTCTAGCCAGGCGACGAGACAACGTTCTGCCGCCGCAAGATTCTGGCTCGTTCGCGCTCGCACTGCCCAAATTTGAAATCAGTGATCTCGCCAGTCTGCAGTGAAATTCCTGCAGTCCGCCGATCATCTGCATCTTCCATCCAAATCAGGACAATATTCTGCAGTTCTCTTTGTTTTTGTTGTGTGTTCATTGGGAAAAGGCCACGGATTATGCGAATTTAACACGTGATGCACGTTAACTGTTCGCTTTATCGCCGTTGATCGACGGTCGACCTACTTTGTGGTTGCGCAATCTGTACACAACGCGAGGAACCCAGTTGGAACTCATCGCCCCAGTCGATTAATCGTATTTACTGATTGTTGTGCGAGTTGTGGAATTTGCATCCTTTTGCAATATTTTTAACTGTGTTTCTGCTGGATTAATAATGGCACTGATGGGTCGGGTGCTTAATGTTGGACGGTTTGGATGGTTTGCGCTCCGCTCAAATAAGGTACGCCGTAGGTTGTTATCATGATTTTAGTTGGTTTGGAATTTGTGGCTGCTTTTTTTGGGAATCTGCTTGCAGTCTAGTTAAATATTTTTTTATTTTTCGGTACTGATTTTGAAATGCTTAAAAACTTCTTGTGTTTTACTGTTTAAGAGCTTTCACACAATTTACAGTTTACTGAGACTCTTTAGTTTTGCTTGTATTTTTCGCCGGTTGGCCGTATTTGTAAAGATCAACCTGAGTCTTATGATGGTGATTTGCAGCGTGTGTAAAATATTCATTTAATTCATTTTTAATTTAGAAGGGGTTCTGAACTTTTAAGTATTGTAGGTATCGCGTGTGAGACTCATCGTTTCTTTGCCAGATTGTCAGATGGTGTATATATTTCTGGTTATTATCAATATTAATTATTATGTAAGGATGTTTTGATAAAGTGGCGATTGGTAAATAAAGAGTGTTTTTTATTTGGATGAAACCTTCACGAATTTAACATTTAAATGATATTTTGAAATATTTTTCGTACGTATCTGTACAGTGCAGTATAAATTACAACTTTTCTATCAGCTGCGTCTATTATTAGGTTTTTATTGCTTCAGATTTTGCTTGCAGTCAGTAAACAGATTTGCGGAAATGGAGCGTTAATTAACAATTTTTAGGTATCTTGATTTAAAATTTTGTAGTTATGCAACCGCAAAAAAACTAGCCTTTCATGCGGCTGTAAACTGTCACCAGGTTTGTGAACAGAAAAAATTACAACAAAAAATTATTGAATAATTCAGTGATCGTTGAATAATTCAGTGATCGTGAGCGTTGTTATTGTAATCGCCATGAAATCCACCGTAAAAAATACATAGAAAATGGTTCGTATGGCTGAATTTCCTTGCGTTTAATAAAAAAAAATTAATTAGGGCGGTACAGCATCATCAACGCTGAATTGAAATTTGTTTTGAGTTTATTGGTAAAAATCAATATGCGCATTACACAGGGATGCATGGTTAATCGTGGTGTTTTGTGCTGCAGGGAGAGAGTCTAGCCCGCCGGCAGAGTATCGCCGCCGACGGCGACCTGCTGATCCCCTCCGGTCTATTATTGGCGCTGGCCGGTGTCGGTCTGTGTACCTTCTCCTGCCACCAGATGAGCTCTACCAGCACCAGCCGGAGTTTCCCTTACGGGAAATGAACGTTTCTGTGTATTCCCAAAATACACTGGGTCCGCAGTAAACGAGCGGGATTCGCTGTACATTGCGCTGCTTCAGCTGGAACTAGCCAATACCAAAGTGGGCATCTGCTGCTTTTTCTTGTGATATGATGATGCCGTGGCCTTGAGACGAAATGCGTGCGTGTGTATGTCGTGTGATTATTTATTTTAATCCCTCGATTTCTGCTGATTTATTGAATGTTCCTTGATATGTGTCAGATGGATGCGCTGACCGGCGCGGTTTTTGTCGGCCGTCGATGTATCTGAATAAGGGAATGTTCAGAATAAAATCTCTATTGATTTAAATACCGCTGCAAAATAGCGCACTGCAACTTTATTCAGTTTATTGGTTTAAATACCGCTGCAAAATAGCGCACTGAGACTTTATTGATTCAAATCACACGGCGCACTGTGACGCGGCACAAGAGGGAAAAACGGCAAAATTATATTCCGTTGTAGAAAATATTGGTCATGTGTGGAACATGTATCACAAGAAACACTGCTTTAAAACGTAGAAACAGGACAAATACACAGTGCAGAAGTACAAACGAGGAAAAAATCTGCGCACCATTTCCGGTTTACAATTTGGCCCAAACGGCTGCCAGCAGGCCGATGGTGAGCAGAAGCAGGGAAATCGGATGGACGGCGGCGGAGTTGCAAAAGTCCTTGTCGTTGCACAGACAGAGTCGGCCCGTGTAGTACTGGTTCTGGTTGGGATCCTTGGAGGCGTTGACCATCACGCAGTTGTTGCGCTCGAACTTGTAGCCACCGGAAAACTGCTGAATGATGCTGTAGGCCACGCAGGATTTGGTCGTGATGTCTGTGGAAATCAGAAAACAGCTGTGTTAATCAAACCATGCACAGACAGATTATTCCCTGTTCAGCATAACGTATACCGCAACTGCGAGTACAGGGATCTATATTAACACGGTAACCGAACATAGATACGAAATAAATCTGCAGAAATCAGCGGTGTTAATTAAATCATACGCAGGACATTGAATTCCCTGTTCAGCGAAGCGTAAGCCGCAATCGAGAGCACGAGGATTTAACGTAACAGAATCACATTACAAGGAAATGAAAATGCGAATGGAAGCTCATTAATTTTATGCAAGCCGCAGCAAGATTTCATATTTTGATGACTGAAATAACTTTGTCAAAAGAAAAACATTTTCTGCATCCAAAAATTCCGATGACGGTGGTTAAATTAATGCCAAACCGTTCTAATTATTTTTCAAGATAAACGCATGAGAATTCAGTCACATTTTACGGGGAAATTCCCTACTGCGAAGAATTACGAAGAATTACGAAGAACACGGAAGGTCATCGGTCTGATTCACTCACTTTTGAGAAGAGCTCCTTCCCGTATCACATCTCCCTCGAATTTGAAGCATTCATCCTGGGCAATATTGCAGTTCTCCTGGACAACATCCACCAGGCCGGGGCAGGACCCAGGCACTTTGGAGCAGGTATAGCAGCGTAGACCATTGGCTACACAAAAAAAATCACCATAAATTAAAAAAGCCATCAAATCGTGAATGATAGCATATCCGGGATCAAAAATATTTTCCTCCATTTTCCCTGAATAGAAGAGTGATTACCTTGATGGACGGCGATGCACATGAAAACAGCCAAAAACACGGCGATTTTGGAAGCAGTAGCCATTTTTGCTGGTGCAGTAAAAATTCCACTAACTGTGAGCAAGATAAGAAAAGGAAGTTGAAAATAAAAAATATATGACTGTCTACGGCAATGCGGAAATTTTGTCACAGCTCACAAGTGTAAATGAAATCTCAGACACGCCTGAATGATGGCTCCACTTCCAGATTGAAATTTGAAAAAGAGCCTGGTCAAGCGAGATAAGCAAATGAGTTATCCACTTCACCTACGGAACGCACCAGCAAAGCCGGATGAATCATGCGATCGCTCAACAGATTAAAAAATTTTTGTTTGGAGTCAGCGTACAATCATACAATGATGCGCGGCACTCGTATAGCGTTGTACGTACTACGTAATGGTACAAGTACAGGTGTATCTATATTCGTACAGATGAAACAGTATAATAGCAATTTCAGTTTAATAGTTCCAGCAACAAAAATTAATAGTTTATTAATAAGCTGTATCAGTTTTTCAAATAGTTAGTTAATCTATGATTTTTATCAATCGCTTTGATGTTGTGTAATAAGGTTCTTTAACTATGTTAAGGTGAAGGCTGCTTTTAACACCGATTTTTTTTAAAAAAACAAGTACGTAGTGGAGATTATTTATAAAAATAACAATGCAGAGCTGCTGAGAATTGCAGTCGTACACGGTTTGGAACATGTACCAATTACAGTATTATTTTCGGTTTTGGAAAGCTGAAAGTGTAGTTAACAATATTTCTGATTGCTAGCTACAACTTGCACGTGCATAATATTATTATTATAAACAACAAAGAATATTTAATAGATCTGTTAAAGTAGAATTACACTTTTTTGCTAGATCTAATTGAAAAAACATGCTCTTTCAATTACATTGCATGGCGTGTTCATGCCATATGCAATGTACTGTATATCTATATCTATATTATATTGTGGTAAAGTACACTACAAGCACATTTACGATTAATACTATATACAATTGTTAATAATTTCGTTTACAGCACAGAATCTTAATTAAAAGAAGCATGATGAACCTTATGCAACGTTAGAACGATTGAGTTAATTCCAACTTTGCAAATAAAATTTTTCAAATGTATTCAGTATTAAGATTTAGGGTTAGTATAATTTGTTTATTCGCCATATTTCCGGCTTTTTCCTTTGCATAATTGCAAAGTTTGCCTAGCAGACTGCAAAAAAATATGCTTCCGACAGTTGTGCAGGTGTTTACTTATGTAATGTCAACGGGCAACGCAGGACACGAGTAAGTACAGTACCTTCAATACCTAATTGTACTTAATAACAATCATCACATCATTGTTTTCATATTGTACTGAATGTCGAAAAGCAAAGCCGGTATTCCCATGGTCCGTATACTGTCTTGTGGATAACAGTATTATTATTAATTGATTACTGTATGTGCTATAGTGTTATCATCAGACTTCCGGTTGCTCTGTTGAGCACAGGATTACGGTCTTGACATTGACGTAGAGTGGAGCAGATAGGACAAACAGCACCGTGTTGGCCACATCCTCGGTACGTAGCCGCTGATACTCGGAAGCGGTCAAACGGGACGCGGCAGGTCGGCTCTCGGAAGCAGCATCGGCGAAAGCACGCGGCATCAGTTGCGTGTCCGCCACCACCCCGGGACTGATATCCTAACGATGAGAAAATGTTTGAAATGCATGTCCGATGCCGTAAACGTATACATACAGTACCTACGTATTTAATATTTATTGTTAGATGCTCTTTTACCGGCCCAATGGTGCCGTTAAAAAGTTCATAGAATAGTTCTATGATGACAAATATATCGACTATATTCATTTAACGTTCATTTAACTGTCACACGTTCATTTTAACTGTCTTCCGACGTTGTATATACATAATTTATTAAAATACAGTGTTTTATTATCCTGTTTCAGGAAGCATTAATTCAGTTACGTAAACAGACGAGGATCAATTACACTTAATAAAATTAATACAATCAAAAGGTACAAGTATGTACCATTTGCCAACTTATTTGTACATTCTACATTTTCATTATCACCTTCGTTCTTTTCATTGTTTAACTGCTTTATGCAGTACAGATATACGTGCATTGAGAATGTTGTCATTTAATAAATAATCTTGTAGATTAAACCGAATTAGAATCTTTCGATCATGATGGTCATGACTTTGCTATAACACATGGTTAGAAATGCGGAGATTTACCGTTATTCGAATGTTATTCTTCGGTGTCATCGCGCGCACTTGCCGGTACAGTGCTTCCGCCAGTGCCGTCACCATGTGTTTGGTGGCCGAGTAGAAATGCATGGGACCGTAGGTGATGTTCTTATGTCCACCATAACTGCATTAGTAATAACAATTATTGTATCATTAGTATGTACTTTAATTCAGAAGACTTCCTGCATGTACGGGGATATAATTTCCAAACTGTGCGTATCAGTGTATGTACCTGTTAATGAGAATAATATGGCCGTCGGTTATCCCATTTTTCTGCATGAGTTTCAGTGTTTCCCTGGCGCACATGCTCATTCCTAGCACGTTTGTCTGGTTGAAAAAAATATCATTTCAAGTTCGTTTCCAAATGTACATGTATGTGCGGTGCGGTGCGGCAGCGTTTCCGGCTTGGGTGTTATCAGCTGATACTATGCATATTTGGATACGCGTATAGACTGTACCTGGTGTCGTGTCGGCTCATTTAAATATACTCCTACTTTTTTAATTTTTAAATACAGTAATACCGTACGCGCTGGAGTGTACCTGGAACATGTCGAGCCATTTCTCTGACTGTCCGGTAAGAAAATCGCCCAGTTTGGCTATACCAGCGTTATTGATGAGGACGTCCACGTGGGAGTAGCGCTGCTCGATGTGGCTGAACATCCGCTGAATGTCCGCTTCACTAGTAACGTCGCACTGTACCGCTTCGATCCGTCCATTTCCGGCGGTTTCGTGCTTCCTCACAAGCTCCTTCGGACACATGTAGCAACGCGGGTTACTTGCAATTTGCAAAAAAGATTACCGGTTTGGAAAATGCAGTGCAAATTTTACCACTTAAAATATATTTTAATATTAGGTACGTTGATCATGAGCGTAATGCCTCTCCAGAATTCTGCGAAAAATAAATACGAGCGGCCAACGAAAAATCGCACGCAAATATAAAATACAAAAGAAATTTTGACATGAAAACGAAGGAATTACAAGTTATAAAAATAATAAAAGTACCTCAATGGTGCTAATATTCCTGGCGCAGGCGACAACGTTCATACCGTGCTGCGCCAGTGTGTCGGCTATGGTGTATCCAATCCCGGAGGAGGCCCCGGTTACGAGGGCTGTTCGGCCTTTCCAGCGCTCCATCCTTTTACGATCGCGCTCACATCAACGGTGTATTCATAAAAAACTTTTTGCTTTACTCACTGTCAGCATTTACTACATCAAAGCCGTGTACCGGGAGGGTCTTCAGAATTTCACATACGAAGTCATACAATTTTGCCCAAAGCTCGTGAAATAGAACAGATCATTATATGGCCTTGCATATCTGTACCAAGTAGCTACAAACTACCGCTTCCGGCATTATGGTTTTTCAGTTTGCGATATACGTTAATGTGATTATTTTCATCGACGATTAAGGAACGGTATAGAACACTGTATTTAAACCGTACGTTATTAGACATGTACGTACACTGTATAAACCATACGAAAAATTTATTCTACTATTAACCAAGTGTCTTTATACCTGTATACGATATGCGCCGTTAACTAGCTGCATGCAGTAAAGTAATAATTAATCGCAACTTAAGTATTGTAATATTTTTACCGCTAGCCTTAAAGTTTCACTGACATCAGTAACATCATAATAATTTACTTTAGCAGTAGCATGATATAAATATATTAGGTTATTTTGTAATACTGACTTGTAACTACCCATACATTATAATAATTATAATGGAAATGTAAAAACAACTAAAATTATTTTAGTTGTACAAAAGTGTCATTATTATGCGACTGGGTTTACTGTATACATAACCAAATGTTATGCCGTAATCAACACTGCAGCGCTGTGCTGTCCGCGTTGTAAAACGTGATATAAATAGGCAAAGGTAGGTGCGTAAAAATAAAAAAATTATTAACATCAGTCGAGGATTCAGAAATTGCCAGAGTTTTCAAACTGCGCGATACATGCACCGGAACACAGTACTACGGATCACCAAAATATATCCTTACGATTTACTGTATTACAGTTATACAGATACTCGTACCAGTTAACAATAAATCGATCATAATCATATCAATGTGAAGTGGGCGAGTATCAGTCGATGAAGGACAGCTGCGATTCCGGATGGCCATAGCGTGTTTTGTGGCAGTCAAAGAGATTCCGCAGTTCCTGTAAGTAGCGCTGGTGCAATGCGTCAATCTCCGCCTACAAAATTTCCAGATGTGCAACAAAGATTAGTTCAAGTACATAAAGTACAGAAAAACCCTTCGATAGACAATTTCTACAGTAGGCATTTGCACCTGTGATGGATGAGAATTTTCTTCTACGGGAATCGGTGCTCCGACGACCACGGTAATGGGAACACGTTTCGGCAATAGACCGCTACCACCGAAAAATCCCCGGCCTTTTATTAATGCCGGGCAGAATCCGAGCACTTTCTTTTGGACAAAGCGCTGGAAACGGTAGACAACGGAATCACGGTGGAAGGCTAACTCGTACGTATCGTTCTCACCAAAGGCAAATATGGGAACCAGTTGCGCTCTGCAAGGAAAACAGCGTTAACGTGATGGCGGCAGATAAAGGTCAAGATTGTCTCACTTCCCCATGCTGGATTGCAGCCTTGACGAAACCTGTCCCCAAAGAATAAATACTTGAACTTGTTTGTACTCGTATAAGTCTCGACTCGCGACATTTTTAAGACATTATTTAAGCATTAGCAATGCAATTTTTATTAGTAACTGACAATCAAAATTAAGGAGATGGATGACCTTTGCGGTTGCGCAGCACCAGCTTGACATTATGACAATCAATCTCAAAGATCTCCCGCGCTCCGCCAGTGATAATAGCCACCGCGGTCCCCGCCCCTTTCGTCATCCAGTAATCTATACTTTTTCGACTAACATCACACACTCCAAACGCCATCGTGTACTCGCGCATTAGCGGGACTTGCATCATAAACTTCTGCCCCAACCCTATCACATTGATCCCGGGAAACACTTCCCGCACTCCCAGTGCCTCCGTGAATAAGGCTGTCATAAAGCCGAAGGCCATGGTTGGTCCATGCGGGTGTCCGGCAAACAGGTACTTCCGGCGCGGATCCAGTTCCGCTGTCTTAACCAACCGGATAGGGAAGTAGTCGCGTACCCAGTGCCAGAAAATGGAGCTCCGGAAAGCCGCACTGCGACGACCGCCGCGGGAACTCTGGTCCCAGTCATATATATACCATAGCACGTAGAGTAACGGGATCACGTACAGCCTGCTAGGGAAGAAGACGAAAAGAACGGGAAAGAAGAGGAAAAACAGGAAGATCACCGAGCCAAAGATGAACATGATGAAGAGATGCAAGGCCACAGCAAAGGTCTGTAACGCATGCTGCAGGGATTTCTCATCGATCGTTAATGACTGCAACATGCTGATATTGAAACTTGTTACTAGCTCGCCCGGATATTTTCTGCTAGCTCGTAAGTATGCAGATTCTGACGGAGAATTTTTACAGTGGGTATGCGAAGATAAAATTGTTTTAAACTATTTCCCTGAACTGCTGCACTTGTAAAATTGTTGGTACCGTAGTATAGTACGCACCACGCAGTCATGAAATCGTGGCAGTGATAAAATATCTGCACCTCAAGACCGATTTCGTGTCATTTTTGCAATCTCACTCAAAAAGTCTTCTTTTTGCCTGTAGCAAGAACCGGCATGCAATCTCAAATTAGAAGATTAGCAAGAATAGCATGAATACGAGTGCTCAAGTAACTGTAAAATGCTTCCGGCACAGTGTTTAAACACAAGAGTCGATTTGGTTTCTTCTGTTGTACTTCTCGTACTTACAACACAGTTCAACGCATAACATAGCTCTTTAACAGATGATAATTCCTTGAGGTAAGACTAACCATAAGCACAGATCAGTTAGAGTATCAGATTCTGTATTTAACGTATTTGCTAGTCAAACATTTCATGCTTGCACTACGATAAAGCGGTGCGCCGGTAGCCCTTTCTTTACAAATTTACAATTTTGGATAATTGTGCTACAATGTTGTTTGATGTCTTCATAGCATTGTGGTTTACTAATGTGAACTGTTACGGATTGTTAATTTAATGCATAGATAAGCGTAACTTATATTGCACTTATGCATGTACCGATACCAATGCGTAGCCAAAATTATATCTATAGCTGCTATTAAGATCTTGGCTTCTCGCTAATTTGCCGTATCATCGTCCCGTCCCCATGCATGCCGGTTGTTTAAATTTACCACTGCTTACTCATGCATTGGATGATCGGAATAAAGAATCTAGATTTGACTACTGCAGGTTTCTGGTTTCCTTATGCTAAACTTTGCCCGTCTTATGTTAACCATTTCGTTTCTGTAAGGATATTTAACATCCATCCTGTCCAGTATCTGTAAGTACTTTATTGACCTTTACCTTGATGCACTGCATGTTCCACCGCAGATAGATCGGAACAGAAATTCCACTCCAGATCACAATAAAATTAGGAAACTAATTTTGCCGGTCGTTTCGCATCAGAATCGCTGCAAATGTCGATGGATTGGACCGCCCAGGAGAGTGCTTGCATCAGCGTTTGGCAGCGGCTGTCGATTGCGTTACGTGGGCTTAAGGGAAGCGTATATCAATGCAGGAAGTGCCGCTAAAACCGTTGAAAATTAAATTATTTCAGATGATTGGAGAGTTTATGGAGAGAATTGGCAGCCGTTCATGTGTTTTGTTCAGTTCCGAAGGTTCTGTCGTGCAGCGCACCAACCACCAAGTGCACTTTATTGATACGCATTACGGATCTGATTATTTCTGTTCTCATGAAGTATGGAAAAGAGCGTCGCATTTCTCTACCTTTAGATTTGTGGAATGAAAATCCCCTTTGCGGGAACAAGACAGCTACTCTGCCAGTACTTTACCGTTAGACAACTATTACAAATCCGCACCGCCGCTTAAATTCTTGGTTTCGCTGGTTTTACAGTATATTCGCGTAACAACTGTGAATTGGTTACAGACGCTGCTAATCGAAAATGTGAATTAGACGTGTTTTACCTTCAACCAAACTACAATGCCGGCAACTTCCATCATGTCGCGCAAAATTATTATTGCGAACATTCGTGCAGTCATTTATAACACAAGGTTCTTAATAAGTAAATGACGAGGACAAGAACCAGGAAAAAGCGCAGAACGTAGTCTAGATAAAAACTCGAAGTAAAACTCCTTGGAAACGCTCTTTAAGTTTTCTCACCACATGGTTTACGCTAGTGACAACCCGAGCCATCCACTGAAGACAACGCAATGTGAAAATATTATAAAACGAAAATCTACTGGTTTACGATTAAGCGCAATCATTAGCCAATATCGTATACCGTTCATTTCTGTCCCTCTTGGTCCACCAGAGTGAGATCCATCTGACCAGTCCAGTTGGCGCCTGCAATAAATCCAGTTCATTTCTCACTTTCCATATTACGACACGGAAGTATAACAGACCAACAGACCTTACTAAGCGTACAATAACGATTCTTTAAAGAAAGCCGTCTCACGCATGTAGTTACCCTTTTTCATCGTCATCACCGTACAGGCAAGACTGCGGTTCGGTTCGGAGAGCCGGCAGGGATGCGGGCGCCAAATATCGAGACTTTCGTCGTAGAACTCGATATCACAACGAAGATCATCGGCGAAGCCGCCAAGAACATAGATCTTGCCATCCACATACGCACATCCGGCTCCACAGCGATTGCTAATCATATCGCCTGCAAATTCGAGCGGACAGCGATATAGAAGTACTCGTACAAGCATTCATAATAATGGAAATATTATATAGCTGCCTTAAGTCAAACTCAGCAAGTCAAAAGCAGCAGCCTACTTTTCTTCAACCACCGATCGTTACTGGTCTCGTAAGCCTCGACGCAACGCCCATTGTCACCGTCCGAGTATCCACCTACGAAAGAGAAAACTTTACCATATAACAATTGTAAAATCGGAACTTTGGGATGACGACTAGAAACACAATTTCTCCCGTACCGATAACGTAAATAACGCCATTCAAACCCACACAGGCACTGCACCATCGGCGTGCAGTGGGCATGTCGGCCAGCTTATTCCACGCATCCACAGCTGGATCGTAGTAGAAGACGGAGTTAAGCGCTATAAGATTTTCTCCTGATTTTGTCGTTCCACCGAAAACGTACAGCCGGTCATTCGTGGCCACCATGGCAAAATTTGCTAGCGGAAGTGGCAGTCCAGCTACAGAGTGCCAGACATTTTTCTGTGGGTCGTAAAATTCTACGGTGGCCATCAATTCGGCATCATCGTTACAGCCACCAACAGCGTAGACACAACCATTAAGAGTAGCCACACCACCATAGGCGCGGTAGGACAGCATAGGCGCCAGGTTCGTGCATCCACCACGAAAGAGGTCAAGCCGGCGAGCTTGGTACCAACTCTTAGCGGTACATACGACCACTGAATCCTCCAAAACCGTTAAACCATATGCAGTAACGCGCTGCGGAAGCGTTGGTTTATTGATGCGCCAGACAGCCGGCATGGATGGACTGAAGACCTCCACTGAGGCCACACCGGCATCGGTCGCATCGCCCGCAACACAAACAATAACCTTGGGCAAACCTCGTAACAGCAAAAATATACACTAAAAAACTAAAACAATAATAGTGCTATTAATACAAATTTTTGTATGGTTTAAATGTGCCTTTTATAAGTACCATGTTTCGGATACGAACTAAGTACCATATAACAAATTACACATTAGCAACACTTCGGCTTACTGTAAGATTCTCGTGGTCGACATCGGGAAATTATTGATTGGGGATTGCGACCGGTTAGTTGGACCTCAAGACTCGGCGACTGAAGTGAGAAATTAACAGCGCCAGAGTGGATAAGCCCAGTAAAAACAGCCAAAATATAATTTTCAAGACGTGTGGGAGACAGAAATGGCACACGGATATGCTGCAAAACGTCGGATAACTGCGCCTTCCGACCGTCCTGCTCATAATCGGACCAGCGCTTCACAGCCTCAAACACTTCATCCTCGTGTTCAACGCTCAAGTCATCTGATGCTGTCAGCTCAATGACCTACAAATTTCAATATCTTCGAAATGCACAGCGAATGTTTCAAGCTATCTACCTGATGCAATTTGAATTATCACAGAACAATTAAACAAAACCAAGTACCAGTAATTACTAATTACAGTCGCAGCAGTAATGCAGTTATCCCATCTGATTTTCCGTTACAACTTATAGGGCGAGTACTAATGAAGTTTACTTTTAAAACATGCAACAAGTCTAACGACCACAAGCATGAGAAATTTCCGGCTGTACCAAAAATCCACACCAAAAACAACCAAATACCTGTTGTCCGTCCAGCTGCAGGAACTCGATGCTGCTTGCAATTCGGACAAAGTTCTGACATGCCAAGGCTTTGGCCTTGTCGGCCAGATGCGGATTGTTGTGCGTCTGCGCCAGACAGTACACCTGCAGACAACTAAACACATCCAGGCGAGATTCCAGGAAATCCCAGCACAGTTTAGGACGGGAGACAAGTCCAAGAAGAGCGCCGCAACGAGAACTGACTCAACACTGTCGTCATCCAGGCAGATTTGTAAAGTGTACGCGTATGTCACCAACCTGCGAAGGAAGACAAGTGGAGGGCTAATCTCCACTGATTCTCCAGTATAGTTTATACCGCATCGACCACGAAATAACAAGCTAAGCAAAAAGATAAAATTCAGCACAACCGAAACTTGGAAAAAAACTGAAGTAATTTGACGGTTATGAGTTGACATGTACAAAGCGTTTTGTAACTTACTTGCTCAGTACGTTAAAGGAGATATTCTGCAACGGGATCTCCACTTGGGAAGATTCTTTCCAATCAGTTGAAAACATGCTGCGAAAGTAGCCGCTGTGCGCAATGAGCACCACACGATGGCAGGGAATCCCAGTTGATGAATCTTCAGCTCCTTTGAGGATTACGTCGCACAGAACTCCACTGCTCTTCAGCTCCTGCAGCCCCTCCAAGAATCCCTGCACCACGCTGCTGTCCACAGAGGGACGGGCACTGGCGGGATCTGTGCTGGGTTGCGCTTGATCTGCAGACATGATGAGATGGGACAGTGGCGCTCAAAAGTCACAGAAGATACAGGAAACTGTTGTACTCGTTGTCACTGTTCAGGAGTTACTGTCAGCTAGACGATCATCTGAAATGCCAACACCACACGGCATGAATAACAATAGATTAAATCAGAATTCGTAAACTATCAAGTGAAAACCGCGGAAAATCATATTAGCTGACTGAAAATATTAAAGTATAAAAACTGAAAAGTCGATAACGAATGTTTAACTGTCATGACTGCGTTAGTGATATCTGCTTTAGTACCGATAAATGCGTGTATCGTACTTCTGTTGAACTGCGTGGATCTGGCAGTAGGGTGGAGTTACTTACACGTTTTTGCATTTCACTTTTCAAAATCTTACTTCGCATATGTAACTTACCAACCGGATGTAGCGCGCACAAACGGTTTTTACTCAACGTACATACATAATACAAAATCATTTGAGGATACAGCATACCAAAGTGTTTGGGAGTGCGCGAAAGTGGAAGCTTTTGTGTATGTACCAGTATTTCGCTCCATGTACCTTGTCACTTCCCTTAACGATGATTACAAAGAAAGGTTACTATTGGAAGCTCTTCATTGCGTATCGTAAATATGGTCGAAGACGCAGCCATCATGTACAAACAGTATGTACAAGCAGGAGTACAAAACTAACAGCTTCCCACATCAAACATAACCTGATTTGAGTATCATCAACAATTCTTAGATAACGTCAGACTCCAGCGGCGTTTGCGGCCATCGTCTTTTTTAGCAGTAGTCCTTGTGCTTCTTGGAGCATTCGTCGTCTTTGCCATTACGAGTTCCCTTTGAAGCCTTGACCTCGCCGCAGTTTTGGTTTGGCGTTTGCAGTTGGTGCTAGAATCCTGTACTGAGCACTGGAAATCCGGAAAACCTTTTATGGAGGGTCAGCACGGCGAAGGTACTTTCTTACCGGGGATTAACTGCTATTTTCATCTGCGGGAATCGGTGCACGTGCTCCGATGACAGCCGTGGTGGGGACGCGTTTTAGCGCTAAACCGCTACCGAAAGCACTTTTTTGGACAAAACGCTGAGAGGCGGTAGACGATGCAATCGCCGTGGAAGGCATATTTGTACGTGCCGCTCCCACCGAAGGTAAACACGGAAACGAGGTGCGCTCTGCAATCAAGCAGCATTAACCCAATGACGGCACGACCAAGGTCGAAATCGTCTCATTTCCCCATGTTGGATGGCACCCAAATTTAATGCTGTCTTGACTTGTAAGAAACGTAAATGTATTTCTCTTTTCATGTATGTATTAGAAGCTGAAGTAATTATATCTTCGAAAATCATCGGTTAAAGGTGACAATTCTAGGCTAAAAGGACCGAAGCGGCATCGGATGACCTTTGCGGATGACGGATGCGCAGAACCAGCTGGACATCATGATAATCGGTTTTAAATCGCACCGGCATTTTCGCCATGAAATACTCAATATGTATTTGGCCGGCTGGCATCGCAGACTCCGGACGCCGTAATGTACTCTCGCAGGACAGGTGCTTGCAGACGCAGTAGAGGGATTGCATAATAAACTTCTGGCCTAACCCGACCACATCGATTTCAGCGAGTACTTTCCGCGCTCCTACTGAGTGCTGCGGTGAGCAATTTGTCCATGAATCCGAATGTCGTGGTGTGTCTGCGGATGCAACGTACCAAGAAGAATTGGTCTGTTTGAATTTGGTTTCCTCTTGTTACAGCATTACATACAAGAAATCACATACAAAAATGATATTATTTCGGAACTGGTAAACCCTGATGTATCTGTACGAGTACATAAGCGCATTAACGTATTGGCTAGCCGATTCTGTTTATGATTACATATAAATAACGAGTAATTCATTCTGTAGTTTATACACTCGTGTTATACTTATTAAAGGTTCCATCAACATTCTGTAGGCACCTACCGACTTTTACGATATACCGATACCGGTCAGAGGATGTTTTTCCGCGTACCGCTGTTGCCTATATCGTCGCTGTTACCTATTTATGCAGTTTTGTAAAGAACGCAATTACTGCAGTTGTTTCCTAATGATAACCTTTCGCATTTTGTTACGACGTTAATTTTACCATCCTTCCCGAGGAGTACTTTTATTGACCTGTACCATGCTGCAGTGCATGTTCTGTTGCCCACAAATCGTAACTGATAATAAACACCGCAGCACTAAATTCCGGAAACGAATTCCTTTGCCGGTTTCCTTTGCCGGAATACGTAAACTATTAAGTGGAAACCGTGGAAAATCATATTATCTGAATGAGTAAATTAATGTATAAAAGCTACAAGTCGATCACAAATGTTTAACTGTCATGACTGTGTTACTTCAGCTGAACTGTGGGGATCTGGCAGTACGATGGAGTTGTACTGCCAGTAGCTGATCATTGCCCAACCTCTGTCACAATGCGCTCTAGCACTGTAAGTGGGCGCTGTGCAAGTAAGTTGCGGCATTTTTTTTCCAGTTTAAAATAAATTTTAAAATTTTGTGGAATTCCTTGTCAAAACGATTTTTTGCTTATGTCCCTTTATTTGCAAAATGTGTATGAGATCGATTCATAATGAGAGTTTTGGTACATGTTCTTGCATTTCAAACTTACCAACCGGATGTAGCGCGCACAAACGATTTTCACCCAATGTATACTCGTACCAATCACTTGAGTACAGAATGCAAAAACGTGTTTTTGAGGGCGCGAAAGTGAAAGCTTTTGTGTATGTACCAGTATTTGGCGCCATGTACCGGGTCACTTCCCTTAACAATTACGCAAAAAAGGTCACAAAAGTTCACTCTTTATTGCGTATCGTAAAATATGGCTGAATACACAGCCATCGTGTACAAACAGTATGTGAAGTTGTGCACGGAGAAGTACAAAACTACCAGATTCCCACATCAAACATGACCTGATTTGAGTATTATTCGCACTTAGATAAGGTAAAACTCCAGCGGCGTTTGCGGCCATCGCCTTTTTTAGCAGCAGCCCTTGTGCTTCTTGGTGCATCCGTCGTCTTTGCCATTACGGGTTACCTTTGAATCCTTGATCTCGCATCAGTTCTGGTTAGGCGTTTTCAGGCGATGACTGAAATCCTGCGTCCAGCACTGGAAATCCGGAAAACCGTTTGTGGAGGCTCAGCACGGCAAAGGTATTTTCTTACCGGGGATAAACTGCTATTTTCGTCTACGGGAGTCGGTGCTCCGATGACAGCGGAACGCGTTTTGGCGCTAAACCGGTATCGAAAGCCCTTTCTTCTGGACAAAACGCTGGAAGCGGTAGACGATGGAATCGCACTGGAAGACATAATCGTACGTGCCGCTCTCACCGAAGGTAAACACGGGAACGAGTTGCGCTTTGCAGTCAAAGTTATCAAGCAGCGTTACCCCAATGACGGCACGACTAAGGGCAAAATCGTCTCATTTCCCCATGTTGGATGGCACCCTTGACGAGACTTCAACCAGAAATTTAACTGTACCAACTTGTGAGAATGTTCATATCTGCTCTTTTCATGTGCGTATTAGAAGCTAAAGTAATGATATATTCGAAAATCATCTGCTCAATTAGACAATTATAGGGTAAATGGACAAGGGTCATACCGTGCTGCACCAGACTGTCGGCAGTCGGCACTGATAAGTATTTATATCCAATCCGGAGGTACAGAGTGGCTCCTGTTTCCGGGCTGTTCGGCCTTTCCAGCGCTCCATCCTTTTACGATCACGCTCGCATCAACAGCATTTTCATCGGAAAAATTTTGAATTTACGCTGAAGACGACGAAATAACGATGTAAGGCCAACTCAGAACTTGTTTAAAGGAACCCCTACCCTAACAGATGGCTTTTCATGCCTGGGCACATTGAACACTTTGTAACGCTTTGCGTGTTCTTTTGGGGAATTCTTTTGCCTTTCCGAATATACTCGTATGCGTATCTACGGTATAGGTGCTCTACCGTAGGTTTTTAGATAGAAATATACTGTACTTCAAGAACTAAGACCGGCTAGAAAGTGTTAGAAATTATATTACCAATATAATATACACTCATGATGTGTCATGTACTTGTGAACTATGACCATTGTCCTACTAACTGATCTATGAGTGTACAAGCTTGTCCGGTAATTTCCTACGTAAAGGTACAGCTAGCGCGAAGTTTGCGCATATAACGATGGCCACTTCACTACGTTTATGAAAATCTCTAAATGCGCTCCGCAGTTAGATTGTCCCTTACCGCACCGATCATTTTCTAGCCACCTTCCGCCAGGCAGTTACTATCATTCTCATAAAATTATATGGCGTGTACGAAGCCACCACCCAGCCAAATGCAAGTTACGTGTTTGAAAAGTGTGGCGTGGGGCGCCGTAGTGTGAAGTTTGGCGTAACACGCAAATTTATTCGTAAGAAATTACCGGACAAGCTTGTACGGTGCACCCAGGTCACCAATCCCCTTGTTTATCAGATGTTTAGGTGCAGTAACTTACTAATATCGTGAATGTACCTAGTGCTATATAAGAAACCTGCTTGTATAACGTTGATGAACAGAACAACACCAGTGTGTGCGATGCTTCCGGTTTCTGTTCCCGTGACTATAATAATCTCATAATATAAATTCTAACAGAAAGCATCCACTGATGTAACCGACTGGCCTTTGCCACATACGCGTATGACAGACAGGCGAATCACTCACATGGCAGGTCGTAAACAAATGCTTGATCACAGCGATTATGACAATCAGTCCCAAAGATTTCCCTCGCTGTTCCTTAATAATGCCCACCGCCATGCAGTAATCAGAATATACTCCGCCGACTGACATCGCACACTCCATACTGTAGGCCATCGTGTACTTCCCCCCAGCAGGGGAACTTGCTCTTAACTTCTGCCTTAACCATGTCCTCCTATCAGATTAATTCCCGGGAACACTTCCCGCAGTCCAGTGCTTTTGTAAACAATGCCGTCATGAATCCAAAGGCCATCGTTGGTCCGTCGGGATTCCCGGCCATTTGATATTTTTACGTAGATCCCGTTCGTTTGATATTATACTCGTACATCTGCATCGTAATTCTACAATACTTTCTGTGAAGGCCGATAGCTCCGCCTTCATGATTGGCCATTCGCCATTGTGTTTTGCTGTTCTGGGGATTTCCATCCCACACATTGCTGCTATTTTGACGGACCTACAGCACAGCTGCGCTGGCTGTAGGATCCGATCTCATTAGTCTGGTGTTGCTGCGCCACGGTGCGCGAGTTAGATTTCGGCATTAAAGCCTCAATCCGGGTTCGCCGCTGTTTCGCCGTCGAAGGTACGTGGGCGCCCATAAGGCCCCACGTAACATTTCCAACTTTCTACTGCGTCGCAAAATAACACAGTACTATAGTAGGACATAATGTTACCCAGGAGAGAAGAGTGGACAGCAACGCTGCTCAACAAACGGGTTCACGATTGAAAATCAAAAGGTTTTGATCTGCTAATCGAAATGCCGATTTTCATTACTTTTTTTTGGTTTCAACCGAAAAGGTCCCGTAATAATTACGAAATCACTGTCGACCTTCAGCAACGTTTGTTACTGCGAATTATCACAGCTGATAAATTGATAAAGAAACATTGAGTTTATCATCAGCATGAGAAGTAAAACGAACCAGTCAATAATGAAACAATTCAGTTTCCCGAATTCTCATGGAATCCGACTAAGCGATACCAACAGCCAACACATTCATTCCTGCCCTCTTCGTTGATCAGAAACGATCTGGCCAGTCCAGTTGGTGCCTGCAGTTTGTCACACAAGTGTTATTCAATTTCCAGACGCAAGCATGAAACAGTTCACACAGCGTACAGAAACCATTCCATAAAAACTGCTGAATCAGCCAAGTAATTACCCTTTTTCATCGTCATCACCGTGCAGCCAAAGCTATGGTTCGGCTTGGACAGTCGGCAGGGATGTATGCGCCAAACATCTAGGCCTTCATCGTAAAACTCGATATCGCGATTATCGTCGTTTCCGCCTCCAAGAACATAGATCTTGCCATCCATGTACGCACATCCCGCTCTGCAGTGACCGCTAATCGTATCGCCTGAAATTGACCAGTTTGAGTTCACAAGGAAATACTATGATATCAAATGGCTGCGTTAACGGGAACCGGATAACATCACAGCACAGACCACGGAGACCTACCTTTTTTCGACCACTGATCATAGTTGATCTCGTACGCCTCTACGCGACGCACACGGCGATCAGAAGAATATCCACCTACGCAAAGGGAAGGCCTTAACGTATCTGTTGGGAATTGCACACTGTAAACATCATTTCACTCCTACTGATAACGTAAATGATGCCATTCGCGCCAACACAGGCAGTGCAGTCTTCCCGGGCAGTTGGCATGTCGGCCAGTTTATTCCACGCATCCGCTGCTGGATCGTAGCAGAAGGCCGAGTGGGTACTCGAATATCCATCTGATTTTGTCATCCCACCAAACACGTACAGCCGGTCATTGGTGGCCACTATGGCAAATCCAGCTAACGGGAGAGGCAGCCCAGCCACGGGTTGCCAAACATTTTTCTCTGGATCGTAGCACTCCGCAGCAGTCAGCACTTCTCCCTTATCGTTACAGCCACCAACAGCGTAGACCCGGCCATTGAGAGCAGCCACACCGCCACAAGCGCGGTTGGCCAGCATAGGCGCCAGATCCGCGCATTCATTACCAAACAGATCAAGCCGGCTGACTTGATTCGTCGGGCTCCCATCAATTTTGACACCACCACATATGATCAACGAGTCCTTCATAACAGCTATGCCGCATCCATAAACGGCACGCGGAAGCTGTGGTCTTTCCATGCGCCATGCAGCCGATATGGATGGACAGAAAACCTCCACTGAACTCACATCGGTATCGAACTCAACGCCTCCAACGCACACGATAACCTTGGGCAGACCTCATAAAAGCAAAAACAAAATAAAGGGTAAACAAAAATAGTAATCGTTCTATTTTAGAAAAAAACATCAACACATTAGTGACACTAATAATAACAACAAAAACGTAAACAATAACAAACGGTTTACTGTACGATTCTCGTGGCCGGCATCGAGATAACAGCGATTCAGGATTGCTACCGGGTAGCTGGTCAAGAGTCCGCGACTGAAGTGGGAAATTGACAGCGCCAGTGCTGACAAGCCCATTAAAAAGAGCCAAAAAATAATTTTCAAGACGCTTGACAGAGAGAAATGGTACACGGATATACTGCAAAACGTTGGGCAACTTCGCCGTCCGGCCAGTCTGGTCATGATCGAACCAACGCTTTACAGCCTCCAGTACTTCATCCTCGTGTTCGACGCATAAATCATCTGATGCTGTCAGTTCAGTCACCTAAAAACGGCAATTTGTAAGTAACCACCCAAAAAGCGGCGGCCTTTTTTTGACATGCTTTTATTTTTGTTATCATATAAAGATATTAAACACAGAATATCAGAGGTAACAGAGGCAAAAGGTTATGCTATCGTTTCATGATACAATAATTAACAATCTGAATGTTACAGATATCAGAAATTTCCAGCTATCACAAATCCTACAAGCAAGAAAAGCACTGTACCTTTTCTGCATCCAGCTGCAAGAAGTCAACGCCGTGTGCAATCTTGACAAAATGCTGGCAAACCAAGACTTCAGCCTTGTTGGCCAGATACGGATTGTTGTGCGTCTGCGCCAGCGAGTACACCAGCAGACAACTGGATGCATCCAGGCGACTTTCCAGGAAATCCCAGCACAGTTTAGCGACGGGAGAGAAGTCCAAGAAGAGCGCCGCAACGAGAACTGACTCAACAGTGTCGTCATCCAGGCAGATTTGTAAAGTGTACGCGTATGTCACCAATCTACAAGAAAGACGAGGAAAGAGCTAATCCCATAATATGATAATCAAGTCGATGTCGAAATAAATTAAATAATACCAACGGAAACAAAAGAAAGATTTTAGTGGCTCACAATTTCAATAAAAAAATAATCAAGCAGTTTTACAGGATTCAGTTTTAATTCACATATGCAGAGTTACCAGAGTACTAGTATTAGCTTTTTGAAGCTTACTTGTTCAGCAGCGTGGCAAAGGAGATATTCTGCAACGGGATCTCCGCTTGGGAAGATTCTTTCCAATCAGTTGAAAACATGCTGCGAAAGTAGCTGCTGTGAGCACTGAGCACAACACGATGGCAAGGAATACCAGCTGCTGAATCTTCGGCTCCTTTGAGGATTACGTCGCACAGAACTCCACTGCTCTTCAGATCCTGCAGTCCGTCCAGAAATCCCTGCACCACGCTGGAGCAAACAGAGGGACGGACAGTGGCCGAATCTGTGCTGGGTTGCATATGATCGGAAGACATGATGCGACAAGACCGTAGGAGGTTGCTAACTGGTAAGATCAGAATAGGAACAACGTGGAAATCTAAAAATGACCAAACTAGACTTAACTAGCTAACGATCTGATTGTAACGGTTACAGGACGAATCTAAAAAGAAATTGTGCAGCAGTGAATTACGTAAACTGATGGCGGCGATTCCACTGTTTCAGTTCTGCTAAATCAGGCTTGTAGGAGGACCGCCGTCCGTTGGCGGTGTGCTGAGCGACAACAATGGCAAGTGGCAACCATGAACCATCCTACCGATCTCATTCTCAAATTAAGTTTTACTGGACAATAAGAGTACAGTACAGTAGTACAGCTCTTTTACCAGTCCCAAAACTCACCGCCGGTATTCCAGTTATATAACCGGAAATATTGCTGACTGTTATCATCAGACTTCCTGTTGCTCTGTTGATTAACGGTGTTGACCAAACCTTCGGTACGTACAAGGCCGCTGACACTCGGAAGCTGGAAGTGGTCAAAAGGGGCACTGCGGGTCAGCTCTCAGCAATAGCGTAGACGACATCATAAAGCATGGGCTGCTTGCTGGTCGGTCACCACGCCGGGACTGATATCTTAACGATAAGAAAGTAACTGAAGTGTGCTTCGCTTCCCGCAACCGCGTCAACGTCTGCGTAATTGTGAAGTATTGTATAAGTAATACTTTAATAGTCAATTAATACTACATAATTAATGATGTGAACAGCAACTGCGCAGCAGGTAGAATGACAGGAATATAACAGGAAGACGTATGAAGTAAAACAGTAGTTGCTAGGACAGCAACGTACACGACAACTCGTCCCCACGTATCGAAAGTGATACGGAATTAAGTATCGGAATTGTAATTGTACGTACAGGATGTAGAAACGAACTTGCATAGAATTTAGCAGTTAGGTAAGCACTTGTAATTAAGTAGCGTATTAGCGAAACCGTATAAGCAAGTATAAGAATTAATCCGTATAAATTAAAGTATTGCACTGCATTGTAAAGTGCATGTAGGAGTACGATCCCGGATCCAGGCAACCGAACTGGAACGGCAACTGGCATGTGAGTTGAAATTCATCGCATCATCCAAGTGCAGGAAATACGGTGTAAACCATACGAACCGTAGTAGCAAGGTTATCCGGATTCTAAGTGTAAGGCGCCATACGAAGGATTTAACCATTGCGTAGTCGGCTCGAATAACGGTGTAACATTGTACGATACTGTGTATTGTACTCCAGGACAGGACGTACTGTACATTCGTACATAACACGTTCAGGTTGCTCTGTGGATTACGGTAGGAGGTAAACAAGGATACGTACGGTACGGAATAACAGGACTGCAGAGCAAACGCTGCATAGAACATTAATGGTGAACGCAGGCCATGACAACAACCAACAGCAACTGAATGGAATGACGCGTAGGGCAAAATAGCGCTCTGCAAGGTCATCAGGGCGTTACGAAGAATTTGCTCCATCCAGATCATCCAGAAGGACGATTGGCATTACGTTGAGCAGTTTGGCGATGCACGTTCAGGCAACTACACGGAACGAAGATCCGTTGGTAGCGCTATGGTACTGGCAGGGCGGTACCAGCAGTAAATAATATCCACCAGCATCGTGGGGAAAAGGGTGGCAGAGCATCCGCTGCCGAACAGGTGTGGGGCGGTGGCAGACTGCCAGGCGAGTGCATGCGGAATCGGCATCGGATCCCTCCCATGGCAGATTATGACCGTATAGTGTAGTCGTAGGAGAAATTAGTAAGCATGAATTCGAATTCTTCACGCCAATGTGAAGTATTGCATAAGTAATACTTTAATAGTCAATTAATACTACATAATTAATGATGTGAACAGCAACTGCGCAGCAGGTAGAATGACAGGAATATAACAGGAAGACGTATGAAGTAAAACAGTAGTTGCTAGGACAGCAACGTACACGACAGTAATTAACGTTTTTGTATTGTACAGTACTGCTTCCATACTACAATGTTGAGCGTTGTGAACGGCTCCAGACTAATGCCTCCAGTGTTGACACACTGTAAAATTAATGTTGGTTATAACTGGTTTAACTGCGGTTTTCCCTGTGTTGTTGTACGCGCGAAAACAGTATTTCGGTTTGGTCGTTTTCGGTTGATTTCAAAGACGTTTCCTTTCAGCGGTGCAAACATCAGACTTGTACAAAAACTTTAATTTGGTTTCTTATAGCTTACGATCTTTTTTATTACATGTTAGAAGTACCGCATTATTAATGAATATCAGCAAAATGCACAAAATATGTAAAGGTATGATGATGGGCACCCATTGACCATCGAAACACGAGGTCCGTAACGAACCCAGTAGTAAAACCGACATGAAATGCTGCTAAAATCCATTTCCACTGATACATAACCAAAGCGATCGTCAAGCCGCAAACACCGTTTATCTTCATTCCTGTCCCGCTTCTTCATCATCCGAAGTGTCATTCACTTCACCAGTCCAGTTGCTACCTGTGGAGCACACATTCATTGTTACAAGTAATTTCCACATGAAAACTTAGCGCACAGTTCGCAAATCGTACAACAACGACGGCTCTCGAATTTCTGCAAAAACCACCGCATCTATCAAATAACTCACCTTTTTTCATCGGCATCACCACACAGCCAAAGCTCTCTTTTGGCTGAGATAGTCGGCAGGGATGAACGCTCCACATGCCGGTATCCTCGTCATAAAACTCGATATCAGAACGAACACCGTCTTCGTCGCCTCCGCCGCCAAGGGCAAAGATCCGGCCGTCCACATAACCACAACCGGCTGCGGAGCGAGCGCTAATCATATCACCTGCAGTGTGATAAGGACGAATTTATGCATAGACAGGAAAAGTTAAACAAGAAAGAAATATCAAATGCCGCGTTCAGCGAAACACATCGTAATTAATGCATTCTGCAAGTGCGTCGCAACCCGCCGGCAAATACCCACTTTTTTTCAACCATCGATCGTTACGGATTTCGTAAGCCTCAACGCAACGCAAATATCTACCATCTTCTGATTTTCCACCTACAAAAATCGAGGATCGTAACGCATCTGTTCGGAATTCCGCATACAAGCATAATTTCACTCCTACCGATTACGTAAATTAGGCCACCGGGACCCACACAGGCACTACAATAACGCCGTGCAGTTGGCATGTCGGCCAGCGTAATCCATGCATCCACTGCTGGATCGTAGCATAACGCCGCGTTAGCCGTTGTAAAAGTGCCTCCCCATGTGGACCTGCCCCCAAACACGTACAGCCGATTATTGGTAGCCACCATGGCGAAATGACCTAATGGAAGTGGTAGTCCGGCGACGGGCTGCCAAGTATTTTTCTCAAGGTCGTAAAATTCAACGGCGGCCATCGGTTCGTCTTCCTCGTTATAGCCACCAACAGCGTAGACGCGGCCGTTAAGAGAAGCGGCACCCCCAAAGGCGCGGCGGGACAGCATAGGTGTCAGATCCGTCGATCGATCACGAAACAGATCCAGCCGACGAACGCGCTTCAGATCAGCGTAAGGCAAGGGACCATCATCTTCCAAGCCGCCGCATACCATCAATGAGTCCTTCAGAACCGCCACGCCGAATCCAAGAACGCCATACGGAAGCCTTGGTTTTTCCATGCGCCACACAACCGACATGGAGGGACTGAAAATCTCCACCACGCACAGAGCAGTCGGCTCACCCCCAACACACACAATAACCTTGGGCAAACCTAAAGAAAAATTTATAACAAGAAAACAAAAACAGAATGAAACCAGTAGTAGTCATGGGATGTGTTGCTTACTAGATTTATAAATTATTTCAGTCGCTCTTCAAGAGATCAACGAACGCAATACATAACAATGGCATTAATACGGCATAAATAGCAAAGTTAACAAAAACCATTTCGCTTACTATACGATTCCCGTGGTCGGCATCGGGATAGTACTGACTCGGGATTCTGACATAGCTCGTCAAGATTCGACGACGGACATGGGAAATTATCAGCGCCAGAGTTGTCAAACCCATTAGAGAAAGCCAATTAATAATTGTGAAGACGCTTGGGAGAAAGAAATGGCACACGGATATACTGTAAAACGTGGGACAACTGCGCCTTCCGCCCAGCCTGGTCGTGGTCAGACCAACGTTTAACAGCCTCAAACACTTCATCCTCGTGTTCAACGTTCAGGTCATCGGATGCTGCCAATTCAACCATCTAAAAGTTGATTGAAATATGTGCTAAATGTGCATCAAATTTCTCCCAGTTGGACCATCTTCAGTCATTAGACTATTTCTAAAGTTACTCGTTCTGAGAAAATACGTAAGAAAAATAAAATTAACAAATACGCAAAGCAGTGCGGTACGATAAAAAAACAACACAACAAGAGAAGGTCGTTGTCATAAAACTGAGTGACAAGGATTATGACATCTTTCTATCTGCGGTAATATGTACATATTTACCATGCTCCCTTTCAAAAACATGATTGCTAGTCGGTACATACGTAAGAAATGTGACTACCAGAAATGTAAAAAATTTCTACCTTTTCGAAATCTTCACAGCCAAAAAGAACCAAATAACTAGCAGATACCTGTTGTCCGTCCAGCTGCAAAAATTCACCACTCTGTGCAATTATGATAAAATGCTGACACGCCAAGGCTTTGGCCTTGTTGGCCAAATGCGGATTGTTGTGAGTGTGCGCCAGACAGTACACCTGCAGACAACTGGATGCATTCAGGCGACTCTCCAAGAAATCCCAGCACAGTTTAGCGACGGGAGAGAAGTCGAAGAAGAGCGCCGCAACGAGAACTGACTCAACGCTGTCGTCATCCAGGCAGATTTGCAGAGTGTACGCATAAGTCACCAACCTACACGGAAAGATAAGGAAAGGCTGAGCTCCAGTTTGGTTATCAAATCGACCACGAAATAACAACGAGCGCATAAGAAAGTACTGTACTCAGTGACTCAAATATTGAAACAACCATTACGAAGTAATTCTGCTGGAATCAGTTAAAATTTCCTTAGCGTTTTGTAGCTTACGTGTTCAGCGTGTTGAAGGAGATATTCTGCAACGGGATCTCCTTCTGAAAAGATTCTTTCCATTCAGCAGAAAACATGCTGCGAAAGTAGCTGCTGTGGGCACTGAGGATAGCACGATGACAGGGAATCCCATTAGATGCATCGTCTGCTCCTTTGAGGATCACGTCACACAGAACTCCGCTGCTCTTCAGATCCTGCAGTCCCTCCAGAAATCCCTGCACTTCGCTGGAGTCCACAGAGAGATGGACGCTGGTGGAGTCTTTACTGCGTTGCGCTTGATCTGACGACATGATGAGATGGGCAGCGGGACTCGAGTCTGAAACTGCAGGGAATGAATGGCTTCGGTTTGATTCCGTCACCACGACGCTCCCCTAAAATTACGCTCCCCTAAAATTCTTTCAGTTACACTGTTACAGAGGTTCAGGAGAATCATACAGTTACGATAGTGCTAATTTGTAAGAAGTAACAAGAGCTGAACAGAAACCCCGAAACAAAATGTCTTACCTTTTCACTGTTCAGCAATTAATTGCAGTCTTCAGTAATGTCAAAACCGTTTAAAAGTGATAAACGCGGAAATGATTAAGTTAAGGAGCTGAGGAAAAATCATCAAATGGCGTGCAAGTACTGACCATGGTGAGTACAGTCTGCTTCAGTGCATTACATAGTACTGTACGTACTGTATTAAGAGGTGTGACTCCGGACAACTGTCCAGCCGCTACCACCGTTCGTGTACGTACAAAACGATGATACTCCGCCGTACTTTTGTACTACTTACTGTTAACAAATATTCTATATTTAATTACTGTAACTAATTTTTATTGTACTGATAAAATTTTTATTGCACTTGCACTGGCGAAGGACAAGTACAATGTATGCTATAACGGGCAACGGAACCGGCTGATACTGCTCGAAATATTGCTAACCCAACGACTGAAGATACCGCAGGAAATACATCGCTATATATACTGAACCGCTCGTACAGGAACAGGAAATACAAGAGGCGGGACAACCAAGCACATACTCGTACATACTAATACATGAGACAGGAATCCCCCGTTACACTCCCCTCTTACCAAACTGAAAACAGAATGTTTTCAGGGAAAAACAAACAAAAAACATATAAAAAAAAGAATTCAAAGCGTGCAAAAACATTAGAGAAATCACGATCAGATTTTTTGGGAGTACAAAACGTAGATTTAGTTCGAAAACATTATTAACAAAATAATAAGTAGACAGAGCAGAAGGATCCGAAGCGTTCCACGTAGGACGATAGTTGTTGTATCCGTCCGGTTCCACGTAGGACGTAAGTTGTTGCATCCGTCCGGTAAAGTCAGTCCGTCCAACGCTGAAGATTGACCACGTTATCCACATAGATTTGCGACATCCGGTTTCGTATTGGTCTTGGGAAAGGAAGTGTAAAATCGATGTCCACGACGTGAGTACACCAGTAGAAAATCATTACAAACTTCTGGTTCTGAAAAACTCGAACACACATTGACGCAACCCTACTTATATTTACAAATGTTTTTGTAATTTTCAATTAACGCGCTAATTTAATTTAACGATTCAGTTGTTGAAAATTGCCGCAAATACAAATCAAAATTATTCCAGAAACGCCACCTTCAAAATAAACCTTGCGAAAATCTTTCGGTCAATGAAGTATATAACATTGTATGGCGTAATATTGCGACAATGACGCATGAAGGGAGAATGAATGGAGCGAGATAAGAAGACAATGCGGATAAGATGGGGAGAGACAAAGGCACTAGAGCAATACTGCGTAAAGCGAGTGCATTACAATGGGGTGAATTTGAGTGATGAGTGGCAAGACAGAGTTATGAGGATCAGCAGTGGAGACAGGATGATAGGGGCAAGAGAGAACCTGTGCTCTCTGTTTGCATGAAATGATGCGACGGGAAGGTATGAATACCTCAGAACTGGTGAGGCGTGAACAAGAGAAAAGATAGAGCGGGGAGAGAATCGGGCCAAAGTTACTTTCCTAATAAAATCGAGAGGTGCTTCATCGGGCCAAATGGAAAATGAATATCCAGCGAATGCAATGATCTTCCCTGTTCTGGCTATACAGAATTGCTGAGAATAGTACGACCGGCTAAAAAAGATAATCGACTGGCAAAACCAAGATTAAAAAAAGGAAAATAGGTGACAAGATGTGACACATGTTTGGCTGCTAATAAAATTATAATAAGAAATAACAAAAGAGTGGCAAGAAATAACAAAAGATGCATACTGTTAATATTACGGAAGTGGCAGTACTATCTGTTAAGATTCTGTTCTTGAATTATTGAAAAGATGTACTTACGCCTTTACACTATGACATATAAATTAACGAAACAAGTACAAAAAGATTAAATCACGTCGAGAAATGTACTGTCGTAATCTGCTGCTTTACAAAAAAATTATTCGCTAACCAGAGTTAAGTCCAAACCAATATCAGCAAAACAACATCTGACAATGCATAACTTCAGAACAAATACTTTTTTATGCCCGAACTATGGAAGGGACGCCCATCTTTCCAATACCGCGATATGCGCACGAAATATACAATTTTTTTTTAAAAACAAATTTCGCGTTTTAATATAAACAAAATACTTACCGTCAGAAGCACTGTGCAGCAGTGATGATGGTAGACTACCAATAGGCGAGCTCGACCGGTGGGACACAAAGTTGCCAGTAATTTTTTAGCTGTTGTGCATATGGCAGTTGTTTTCGAAATTATGACACTTGCTGAGCTTTCGCGCATTAGATCGTCCGATGTTTAGGGCTTGACTAAGAGAATCAAACCAACAGGGACCGTTTATAGGTGCTCCTGGATGACAACACGACACAATAGAAACAGAGGGCACGGACAAGGGCAGGCGTTTATAGCCGTGGCCCGTCTATATGGTCGAAAATTAGGTCACGACGCAACGAAACAAGGATGGGCGTTTATAGCACGCACCCGTATATGAGCGAATATAAATAGATTTGCTCGTGCAAAAGCCCTTTTCCATAAATTTTCAGTGATCTTCTTAATTTCGTAGATCTACTTTAATTTCATTTTGCGTAATTAGCGTAATTCGGTTTAACACAAATACTTACTTGAGCTGCCGTGGTACACAGTGGTGATCAAGCTGCGTCTTCTGTTCGGCGGAATTATTATTCAAATTAATGCGCGCATTACTGTTACCATAAACTTTGCACAACCTTAAAACTGAACCAATCAATTTTTCTCTTTGCAGTCGAAGCAAACATTCATAATTGTCTGTTACCAAAATCAATGCGCATATTGCAGTACTACCACATAACCGCACCAGTTAATGGGAATTTCGAATAATAGTTCATGTTTTTGTGCCAAGCATGCCGTCATGTGTTGTGAACGCTGACATTTAGATTTAGGATCTTATTTTCGTGGAATGCGATAAGTTGGAATTTATTCTTAACTTTAAATGATGGTACATCTGGTTTTAGTGATTTTATTGAAAATTTTATAATTTAAGTTGACATTAACGATCTCTGGCTGCCCAAAAGGAGACGACAACATCTGGCGTTTTAAGTCATTAGCCGAACCAGCGGCGGAAAATTAATGATAGATAAGATTTAAGCGGTGCTGCGCATATGCAATAACAATTTAAATATATCCCAAAATTCATTTCTGCACATTACATTGAGATAAACCATTACCGTTACCATCGCGAGGCTTTTCACATCTGGCCATCATCAAACAAATATTCAGCGAATCAGCGCTGTCAACCTCAAAAATTTTCTCACTTATCTGCCCTTTTCTCAATAACAATAAATACTGCTGCAGCCTTCAAAATCAACGGGCAGGCATCATTAATAACTCAGTACAATAATATAATATTAACAAAATTTTCAAAGAGCACTTTAGTTTACAAAACCGAAACAAATTTTCACGTACGAACGACAATTAGACCAGAAAAGTTAAATCTGCCATCTGGAATACGCCGGTTGTGCACTACCGGTGTCCTGAGATTCTGCAGACCCAAACTGTTGCGCCTGAGATGGTAATTTACCGGATGTGTTAAAAGTCAGTTGCTGCGTTGTTGGTGGATGCTGTGCTGCACCGAATGACATCGGATAACGATCTTCAGAATCTTGTTCTGCCTGTGCATACTGTGCCTGCGTAGAGTGGCCAGCTCCAAACGGGCAAGCATACGAAAGATGATCATAGTTACCGCAATTAAAGCATCCATTGTCTTGGCTTGGCGCATCTGTGAGTCGAAGGGTTGACTGGTTCGCATTACCCGTTAAGTAATTCTGAGAAAGATCGTAACTGCCCTGTGATTCGTTATTCTCCTGTAAACACTTTATTTGTTCAGCAAGATGCTTTAGTCTTTCATCCAAACCTTTCATCAGGTTATGAGCGACAATCTCTATCTGATTAGAGCTAGGCGCTGTCGGTTGGCTGTATAGCGACGAGAGATTTGACTGATCTGTAACATTATTGGACGCCTGGTATGACGAATTTTGATTCTGCATCGCGAGCTTGTATTGTTGCTTAACGGACACATCACGTAAACGATTGAAAAAATCGGCTACGGTTCTGGGGCTGTTAGTCACGAATGCCGGTTTAAATTCAAGGGCCAAGGCTTCAAAGAGACGAACTGTCTTTTCTGCTTCGGTAGCTGCGGGATTACTGGCTTCCACGTAATCAAGGACACGGTAAACAAAAGTACGAGGATCTGTAAATGCTAATGTACGACAACCTTCATGCATAAGATCAAGTTCAAAACGAGTTTTTCCGAAAGCTGTTAAAAAATGAGATCGAAGGTCTGGCCATGTGATACCTGCTGGTACTGCGGTATACCAGCGAAGAGCGTTGTTCCTCAAACAGAGCGCAAAATGTTGGATTCTGTTAGCTGGTGTGAAATTATTAGCAACGGCCATCGTCTCAAACTGTGTTAAAAAGTCCTGAGCGTCTTCGTAAGGAAAACCACCAAACTTCGGCAAATCACCCATTTCGAGAGATGTTATACGGGTAACTGCAGCGGCATTCTGGTTATTCAAAAAATTTAATAAATTCTGATGTGCAGTAGCGTTATTCTGTAGGCTTTGCTGTAAAGCTGCATTCTGCTGAGCGGAAGCGGCATTAACGGTGTTAAGCATATTCTGCAGTGCTTGCGGGTCTATAGCCATGATATTGACTTGCTGGTAATTAGTACTTATTAATTATTGCAAACAGCCTGCCAACTGCGGAAAGTTGACTATACGATCGTTAATTAAATTTTCTTGAAAAATGGCGCGTTAATACCGAATTCGAAAATAGTATTAGGATCGGTAACAGTTAAGATTGTTCTTTTTGGGAAAAAAAATTGGACGTGATACATAAGGACTTACCTGTTGAAACAGGGAGGCGGAGGGGTAGCGGTGGTAAAGGCTAAAGGGCACTGTTCAACAGGGAGGCGGAGGGGTAGCGGTGGTAAAAGTTAAAGGGCACTGAAACTGTCGACTTGAAAAAATTTCGTTCTCGGTATGCGACTCCAAGTATAACGGGCAACGGAACCGGCTGATACTGCTCGAAATATTGCTAACCCAACGACTGAAGATACCGCAGGAAATACGTCGCTATATATACTGAACCGCTCGTACAGGAACAGGAAATACAAGAGGCGGGACAACCAAGCACATACTCGTACATACTAATACATGAGACAGGAATCCCCCGTTACAATGCCAATACGGTATCATTTCTTTTCAGTTCAGAGTTCTTTTGGAAGCCGGGCGGTACCCTTGCAATCCTCCCACACGAGTACGGACTACGGAGTACTGTACTTTGCAGTTAGCTTACCATTTGCAGCGCTGGAAACAGCAAGCAATAATCAGTGAAGAAGGAAAATGGCGCCGTCACGCTTTAAATGGGAGCAGTTTTTTTTTGATTGGTAAACGTATATATGTTTAAGGACGCTTCCTGACGAAAGGTCATCACTGGAAGTACTTTATTGCTTATGCCACAAATAGCCGTACACATTCAATATAGGAGAATATTATAGTTATAAATAAATAATTTGTAACCATCAATCCATCATAAACGAGCACGATATACATAACACAAACACTCTTACGCCTATATACAAACGTTCACACAAAGCTAACGGAATGCAAGCGTAATCCCACACGAAATATGGTCTCCACTAAAAATCATTAATTCTTCTTAGGTAAGGTCAAGCTCCAGTGGCATTTGCCACCATCGCCTTTAGAGCAGCAACCTTTGTGCTGCTTCGTGCATTCATCGTCCTTGCCATTGCGGTTCCCCTTGAAACCCCTGATCTCGCCGCAGTTCTTGTTGGGGTTCTTTTTTCCGAGGAGATGATTGAAATCCTGCGTCCAGCATTGGAAATCCGGAAAACCGTCGTCCCGTTTGTGGCGGCTCAGCACGGCAGAAGCGCCGGACTACCGGATAACAAAAATCATTTATTTAGAGAATAATTTTAATAGTATTTGTTGTGTACGAGTATGTGGTATCAATACCAATTCTTGCTGTCTTGCAATTACATGTAGATTTCTACGTCTGCCTAACAAAATAGCCGATAGCATAAACCTGTTATTGCAAACAACGAAAGAAGTCAAAATCATACTAAATAAAGCAGTAAATAAATTTTACTCTGTAGTACAATACGAAAACAATAAATACTAAAAGACAAACCGAAAGGTATTGCGTTGCTACTTTATACTTTTGTACTATTCATTGGTAGCAAAATAAAAAAAAAACAATAAAAGTCATTAAATTAGTGCTCGTAACTGTATTTTCGAATAGATTTTTTACGGCGATATATAATTGATAGCATTTTGATAGCATTCATAGCATTTTTACCTTTTCGGCGTTGGTTTGTTGGATGAGCACCAGAAGCGCCAGCGAAGAAGCCAGGATAAGTGTAGCAAAACGAGTCATTTTACCGGCAAAAAGTGAATAGCAAGAACGGTAAAACAATCTGCTCAAGATTCACTGAAGATGACAGCAGAAAATGAAAAATGGAAGGGTATCAACGGATGATTATAAAATGGAGAAATCTTGTGCGATAATGTACAGATACTGCTTCGGTTATATACACCTCATCTAAACCGAGTGAAAGGCCGCGAGCGGTTTGTGGTTTACGGACAAATGAACGCTTTTCGGACTTATGTATTATTGTTCACATGTTTTGGAAAGGCAGTCACTGCTTTTTTGAAAGCTGAGTACTTATTATGGTGGAGTTACATAACACGGATAAAATAAGTCCGGCATGGAAAATCCCCTTATCAAACGGTCAACCGAGCCGGACTTTAGTTTGAAAGTGTCTCAAAAGCGGTTCGCCGAAGATAAAACGAATCCATCGGTACGATTACACCTGGTACATCTTATTGCTGCAAAGTTACAAACACGCATTTTCGGTCTAACAAAACGAGACGTAACGCGACAACGTCACATTCGGTCACAGTGGCATCTTACAGTATGATATTAACTGAAGTGACTATATAAGTATGCGATATGCAGCTTGCAGTACGAGAACCTTGTACAATTGTACCAACTGCCTCCACAATAATAACATCTATATTTATATCATCGGTTTTCTGATGTTATATCGAATTACCACCATCAAAAACGTATTTATTCTGTGGTTATGCGCGGAAACTGCGATTCTTTCTCTGGAGGGATACTGCATATTTTGAAGTTGTGCTTTTATGTACTCGTAGCATAGCGTACCACAAGCAAGGGCTACATTATTTTAGTTGTGCATTGGAGTGACTCGATGACTTTCGTGACTGCTTGGTACCTGCGATTTACTTCCATATATTTACAGAGGCTAAAAAAATACAGCATTTAGAGGCGTCACCAAGGTGCGGCTAGGAACTGCATAAAACTCCAGACTGTTTTGGTCGCAATATCATATGAACATTACGATGATGTTAATCATGTTGTTAGTCGATGTAGGATAACTGAGCGTCCCGATATCCACACTGTGCTTTGTATGCGTCAAAAAGATTGTGCAGCTCCTGTAAGTAGCGCTGGTGGAGCGCATCTATCTCTGCCTGCAAGATGGTTAAAGAGATAACGTTACTGAGATATGAAAACGTTCTTTCAGAATTCCCGGGTGGGTCTTACGTGGGATGGGTTAGGATTCTCATCGACGGGTATCGGTGCTCCTACGACCACGGTGATGGGAATGCGTTTAGGCAGCATACCGATACTGCCGAAAAATCCCCGGCCTTTAACCAGTGCCGGGCAGAATCCTAGGATTTTCTTCTGGACAAAACGTTGGAAGCGGTAGACGAGGGAATCACGATGGAAAGCCAGATCGTACGTATCGTTTTCACCGAAGGCGAACACGGGAACGAGTTGCGCTCTGCAATGCACCGTCGTTGATAAATGATTCGATAGCGATAAATGTATTGTCTCTTTACCCGTGCTGGATTGCAGCCTTGACGAAACCTACAAATTACAACACATGTTGCACAAACCAGGGTTGTTTTGTTACGTTACGTACAACTGGTACAAGATGGCAGTGTTACAGCACAATACGGTAGCACTGCGAGCGATCTATGCATAAAATGGTGAAAGTTTGCGTGACCTTTGCGAGTGCGCAGCACCAACTTGACATTATGGCAATCAATCTCAAAGATCTCCCGTGCTCCGCCAATAACAATGGCCACTGCCGTCCCTGGCCCTTTTGACATCCAGTAGTCGATACTCGGCCGACTGACATCACACACCCCGAACGCCATCGTGTACTCGCGCAGTAACGGCACTTGCATCATAATCTTCTGTCCCAGTGGCCGCACCTCGATCCCGGGAAACATCTGCCGGAATCCCAATGCTTCCGTGGACAATGCCGTCATGAATCCGAAGGCCATGGTTGGTCCATGCGGGTGCCCGGCCAGCAGGTATTTGCCGCGCGGATCCAGTTCCGCCGTCTTGATCAAACGGATGGGGAAGTAGTCACGCACCAAATGCCAGAAGACGGAACGCTGAAAGGCCGGCCAGCGACGACCTCCGCGGGAAGTCTGGTCCCAGTCATACACGTACCATGCTGCGTAGAGTAACGGGATCACATACCACCAACTGGGGAAGAAAAAGAAAAGGACCGGAAGGATGAGAAAAAACACGGTAACTAACGGGCTGAAGATGAAGATGATGGACAAATGCAGGGCGACGGCGAAAGCCTGCAGACCGCGCTGCAGGGAGTATTTGCCTATCCCTAGAAAGTGCAGCATCTTTGTTTTAAAGGCACCACCAGGCAATCGCCGCACCGTTGGCAATGACTGTCATAGTAAGATCGCGAAGCTAATGAACAGCACAATCCATGTGCTCTTTATAATTTGATAAATTACAGTTTTATTCCATCAGATCCCCAATTCGCTCATCCAAATGCACAAAGCCACATCGAGCAAATATTAAATTTACCGTAACATAACGTAAGAGTACGGCAGACGCAAAGCAGGCATGCTACGATAAAGCGCAATTTCCAAAATTTAAATTCATTAACTGGTGAGAGCAAAGCTAATATCTATATGACAATCTATACTGTACGAGTGCGTATATTGTATAGGAAAAATGGATTCCACTGAAGGAAAATGGATTATCCTGGCTGATTTCTACAAGTGCTGCTAACATTCCTGATTCTTTTGAAATATCGGGACTCATTAGGCGCTATCAACTCACGGAAAAAACCTAACTTGAGGAAGACTGGTCTAATCAAACTCTTGTGTGGCTGTAGACTCGTGTAGCGTAAACGATGAGTGGAGTCTCTCAGTTCCGCATACATATCCTTCGTAATCATTGATTACCAACGCCGAACACGAGGAATCGATTTATATGCTCGTAAACCGGTTTTGTACATGTGTTTGTGGCCGATTGCGCAACCGAGTGAGAGAGCAGAAAGAGAGCCCGACAGACGTTCAGTACAAAACTGTATTACTGTATCTATATAAAGCAGAGTGAATGAAAGAAATACTGTACATAACTGCCGCTTCAGCAATCAGCTGCAGAAAGACAGAGGAGAAGAAATCCCGATTGCATGTGTTCCTGTTTATTGCTTGGAAGGGCCAGGAAGGCCGATACATTCTTGCACTGGATATACTCGTTTATTTGCTTTCGAACCCTTGTTCGATAGAGACAGTGGGATCCTTCGGCAATCGCCATAATAAAAAGAATATTACGAGTACAGGAAAGCGTACAAGTGCACGCAGGACCAGCGGGCTCGCGTGAATTCCTGCGGCAGCGCCTATATGCATTGGAAATTAAGCGGAAACCGATCTCGGAACAATGGAGTCAGCGGAAAAATTACATGGAGCTGGGTTGTTGCAAAAACTATGTTTTTGTTATGGGGCAAAAGATAGCGATGCTGAACAAACAGTGCGATAAGTGACATGAGCAAGCACTTCCGGTCCGCACTACAAGTTTGAACGAATCTCTACTGTACGCCTTTGGGTTAAGTTCTGCTGCGCTTTGCACCACCAAAATAATAATCAGCTGTGCCGGTTGAGTAGATAGCGGTATTAATTTGCACAGGGACAGTGCAAGCATGACAAGAAAGGACGCATCCTGCTGAAAAGACAGCAACGTAAGAATAATGATGTAGTAAAGATATTGGAGTTCCAGATGCTGACCGTACAGTAAAATATAATAATTGGCATTAATTGCATATCTGTTTACGGCGGTAATGATTGCAAAAAGGATAATTGTACTCTATCCTAAAAGGAGATACACAACGAATCCACGATCTGTGAACTGCGCACTTTTACATGCGGTATTGCAGTGATCATAAACGCTAACAGCCCGGGAATCTGAGAGAGTATCACTGTTTCGCTTAAATCGCATCAGCGGACTGTATCGACGTCGTTTCCGCTGGCCGGGTCAAAGAAATTCGGTGTTCTGTACAAAATCAAAGAAGATAAGAGAGTAATAAGTGATATTTGTTAGCAACAACGACCAAAACATTATCGAGATTTAGAATGAGGATTTGGATACACGTACAACTGTGCTGAAAACTTACCGGTATTGGATGAAAACGGTACTAGCAGCAGATGAACATTAATGCTATCTTATTGACAAAATTATGGTTAATTGGTTATACAGGATGGGAATTTCCTTGACATACCAGTGTGTCAACTTTGTTGTTACCGTGATTATACAGTACATCTGGACTTGAAGACCGTAATACGTAATTTGTTATTGTGGATGCTGCTCGCGTCTCTAGGCTATTATTTTTTGCTGTTTTGCAAATACTTACAATCTTTGTTTTTTCGAAAGCAAATACTGTAATTATTATCACAAGAGCTGCAATGTGCGGATGTGGCATGGGAATGCCCTTTGCCCAAATTCGCGACGGCCCAGCAAGACAATGTGGGTTTCTGTTCAAACATCTTCATTCTGTATTTTATTTTGATCCAAAGAATTTACGGCTAGAACTAGACACAACTGCTTTAAATTCAAATTACAGTATGAGCTGACACAACATTTTTGTCACAGTAGATACCTGTTTATTGACTGCACTATCATAACTCACCGATTTTATTCTTTACATGTACGTAATAAACAGCTACAAGATTCTTAAAGGAACAAATCAGTCTTAAATCCAACAACGCAAAGGATTCCCGAAGCGGAAAAGACTTTTCTGCCAACCGTCATGCAAAGAGCCGCTTATTGTACATGCAGTTCTACTCCTATAATAAGGGTTAAATAAATGCAAGAAGCGGCAGAGGTCACCAGGAACCAGTTAGGAACTGTACAAGAGTGACATTATCAGTCGATGTAGGACAACTGCGCGTCGGGATAGCCACAGCTGGCTTTGTGCGTGTCAAAGAGTTTGTGAAGCTCCTGTAAATAGCGTTGGTGCAGCGCGTCAATCTCCGCCTGCAGAATGATTCAAAAGCATTTAAACCTCTGTTGTACGTGTTTCGGAAAATCTCTTACATGGGAAGGATGAGGATTCTCTTCGACGGGTATTGGTGCTCCGATCACCACGGTGATGGGAATGCGCTTCGGCAGTAGACCGCTTCCGCCAAAGAAACCCCGGCCTTTAATTAATGCCGGGCAGAATCCCAGAACTTTTTTCTGGATAAAACGCTGGAAGCGGTAGACAATGGAGTCGCGATGGAAGGCTAGCTCGTACGTGTCGTTCTCACCAAAGGCAAACATGGGAACGAGTTCCGCCCTGCAGTGAAACACGGTCAATTTGATTCCGGTAAATAAAGGTCAAGATGGTCGAACTTACCCGTGCTGAATGGCTGCCTTGACAAAACCTAAAACCCCAAGTGCATCTTCAGTGTTTATTTCATTCAGAAGATAGTTAAAATAGTTGCAGGAACGTAATACGTATTAACTGAGAATGGAAAGTTTTTGTGACCTTTGCGAGTACGCAGCACCAACTTCACATTATGGCAATCAATCTCGAAGATCTCCCGCGCTCCACCAATGACAATAGCCACCGCCGTTCCCGGCCCTTTCGCCATCCAGTAGTCGATACTCGGCCGACTGACATCACAGATTCCAAACGCCATGGTGTACTCGCGCAACACCGGCACCTGCATCATAAACTTCTGACCCAATGCCCGCACATTGATCCCGGGAAACATCTTCCGAAATCCCAAGGCTTCCGTACACATGGCCGTAATGAATCCAAAAGCCATGGTCGGTCCGTGGGGATGCCCGGCCATTAGATATTTTTTTCGGGGATCCAGTTCGGCGGTCTTGATTAATCGGACGGGAAAATAATCGCGCACCCAGTGCCAGAAGATGGAGCGCTGAAATGCCGGCCAGCGATGACCGCCGCGTGAACTCTGGTCCCAGTCGTACACGTACCATACCAGGTACAACAGCGGAAGGATATACCAACGACTGGGGAAAAAATAAAAGATCACCGGCATAAAGACATAGAATAACAAGATTACCGAACCCAGGAAGAAGACGATGAATAAATGTAATGCTACGGCGAATGTCTGCAAACCGCGTTGCAGGGATTTCTCGTCATTGGTCAATAATTCCAACATTTTTACTATTACATCAAGAGCCGAAATCGATCCCAGCGATGCAGTGATCAATTAGAAAAGTAAATTACCGTCAGTACTGACCAAATGCACAGATACTGTTTGCATCCGGTAATGTCGCAATTGAGTCGTTCTTGAATTAGTGCACTTGTGAGAATTAAGTGCAAAATAGCACATTATCGTAATAACGTCAGGGTTTGTTTGTAAAGCGGTGTATACGGGCTGTTTAGGTATGTGAACTACGATAAGAATTTGTTACATTAGTGATTAGCGGCGTTGTGAACAAAACATATACTATCGCCGGATTCGCCGCTTTCAAAGGATGGCTGGCAGTGTATTTGTGTATGTTGTCGATGAGCAACGAACGCCGGTTATTACCCGGCCTAATTCCCCGTAATAATTACACTCAGAAAATTTTGCAGTGCATGTGGTACTACTACTGGTAATGGTATAACAGCTGTGGGGCTGAAAAGATAAGGAAAAGTGCAAAATATCGCAGTAAGAAATCAGTTTTAACACGTGCCCGGGTGAGAATGACGGTGCGTTCAGTGCATTCGGTGCAATGAGTGCCCCGGGTTGATTGATAATACATTGATGCTTAAGGAAAATGCGCTTAATTACTTATAATTTATAACTAATGCACGTAAATCAAATATGTAATCACAATATTCTTGCGGGCATAATTCATGACCATCTGTATAATTGGATTTAGGGCTAAAATTAATGAATTAATTGGACAGCTGCGGGAAAAGACAAGTTGACCTTTGCCCCCTCCTGCATCTCACCAACAATCGCACAATATAAGTACTAGATGTTTTTGCGGCTCTTTGCGTGCACATTTAAAGCTTTTGTGCTTTATATAACGAATGTAAAGCAACGGTTTTATTAACACAATTTTATAACGGCTGTAAGATGGCAACTAAACATTAGCAGGTACATAATAATTAAAATTTCCCATAAACAATTTTCTGAATGCTCGCCAATGATTAAATTTCGTATTCAAAAGCTACCCTAGCCTCCCAATTATGTACATTTGTTTTGATTTAAGGCCGGTGTGTCGAACGAGAAAAATTTACTCGTCCCGACAATTTTTATTGGAACACTAAGTGCATATACCAATAAACATTTAGGCAGAAATTTATTTTTAACTTGTTCGCGGGCAAACCGTGCCCAAGGATCGTCGCACCTCGTCACAAGTTATGTAAGCAGTCTGTGTGTCAGCCGCTTTTTTGCTCCGTGGGTACAAGGATCATCTCTTGCACGGTCACATGCGCCGGCTCACTGAGCACGTAAACAATAGCGTCGGCTATATCGCCGCTCTCCAGAAACGTGAATCCCTCCTTGACGTAGGGCGTATCACGGACGGCTGCTTCACCCAGCCAACGATTGGCAAAATCGGTAAGCGTTGCGCCGGGGCTGAGACTCTAAGATGCAACATTTGAAGTTATCTTATTTACAGACTACAACACTGGTATTACGAGCATAATGACGATTTCTTAAGTTACGTACTCGTACGGTAACGCGGATGCTGGTGCCCAGGGCGGCTACTTCACGGCGCAGGCCCTCGGTTAGCGCCGTCACCATGTGTTTCGTAGCGGCGTAAAAGTGAATGGCATTGTAGTCGTTGATTTTATGCCCGGACACACTGCAATTACGGTCAGGCAGCTGATGATTGTTGTTATTCTCCTAATTTTATCCCACGTTTTATTAATAATTTATCGCTATGCCTACATGTTTACCGGTTTTTATATTTCACAGGTACCCGCACGAAAGTGATGCGGAAAAACTATGCTGATTTGGTCGTGTTTCTGTATATTTCCAATTAAACTTTGCGCAAATTCGAGTGTTGCTATTATGTAGTTAGTTGGTCGTCTCTAAATCGCATCCCAGGTATGCGCTCAGATACGGACGTTTCATCGCTTGCGCACATTTTAACAGCACTTTGCAGAACGTCCAATTTTCCAACGGAGCTGGCGCGAAATCCGATCGACTTCGACCATTGAACTTCTAGCCAACTGGGCTTTTAATTCAAGGAGAAAAATATAATAGCATAGGTTTTTTAAAGTCGTTAGTTTCAGAAATCGTGCAGAATAAACGAATCCAGAATGCGCACGTTCGCATTCTGACCGCATCACTTTCGTGTGGGGTACGTTGATCGATGCAGTACGGTACTTTTACGTATTCTATTGCCTGGACGGTACCTGTTCATGTTGATAATGTGGCCACCGCGAATGCCATGTTTGACCATAAGTCTCACGGCTTCACGCGCACAAGTCGACAAACCCAGAATATTTGTCTAAAATGGGCCAATAAAAACGTTTTGTGTTTTCGAAGACAGGCACTTCACAACGAACGTACGTCAACCATTTGGCGCCACTGCCCCACGCTTCGCGTCAGCAAATCATCGGAGTGCGCCAAGCCGGCATTATTCACCAGGACATCCACACCTCCATGGACACCCTCAATCTCCCTGAACATGGCGACAATCTCCGCCTCCTGCGTGACATCACAGCGGATGGCGTGCACCACGCCGGTGCCGAGTGTACGTTGCTGGAGCTCCTGGTTCGAGGGTCAGTGCACAGTGTCTTGCGGTGCGTGTATGTAAGGTAAGTACAGTAGAAGCGCACGTACGTACCTCGATTGGCGCAATGTTACGGGCACATCCAATCACCGTCATCCCCGAACGAGCCAACCGTTCCGCGGTGGCCAAGCCAATTCCGGAAGATGCGCCGGTAATGAGAGCCGTTTTGCCTCTCCAGCGATCCATAGCGTGGAGAAATCACAAATTATTATGTGTGTGGCATAATAATTACAACTTTGCTCTAAATCTAAGGACCCACTAACAGGACGTTGGCCACATTATTGATGGTATTAAAGCTTCTAATGGCGCCTTGTTTATCTACAGAAGGCTAGAAGACTTCTGCATCAGGTACTCGTACTACCGGTATCTTTCCCACAATGTGCTCGACGGTTTTAAAGCAGTTATCTGGCTGTGTAGAATACTGATATTAAAGACAAAGAAGTATTTTGTTGTAGGCTTGTAGCCACACGAGTACTTACGAATCAAAATAAGTTATTGTGATAGCCTTGTTGCGCCACGGTGTATCGGCGATTCCCGTTGTCACTGAATTTTTACCGGATTCGTTTCTTTGCTTTTATAGAATGAGGATGAGCCGAAGATGCGAAAGGAATGCAAGTAAAAGAAAATAATTAATACATAATAAAGTACTCCATCACCCATGTTTCCGGTTGGGTTTAATTTTAAAGTGGACGTACGCAAGCAGCAAGGCACATACACGGTTTAATACTGTGCGGTATAAACCGCACCAAATAGGTAAATACAGTATGAACTACTACCATACGAAGTACATAATTATCCACTCGTCGCCGCCCGCGATTCTCTGGTGCCGGATACTTTTAGTTCACTTTTGGTTTGCTTTGCGTATAGGCGCGAAAGGATTTCCGTGAGTTGATGTAACAAGTAAATAACAGTTTTTTTTTTGACGAGCGCGAAGAATGGACGGCAAGAGAACGAGGAGGAAATTGAACGTCGATGCGAGTATGGTTGAAATTGACTATGCGTATACGATGAGACATTCGACGAAGATCTCCAGCGACCTGGACGCGCGCAACTCAATTCGATCTGTCTCGGGTTTCAGCGGCGTAACCACCCAACACTCCCCTCGTTTGACTAAACAGCAGCAGCTGGAAGCAGGATTTTTAGAGCTGATTACCCATTTTCAGCTAGCTGAAATGAGCGCGGCATGTGACGATGTGAGCGGTTTCCTGACGTGCGGCGCAATGTACCATTTCCCGATGGATTCACAGGACCTGCATTACGGGAAGTGGAACGATTTCCGTCAGGGGAAACTGCAACAAGGCGAGTACGGGTTTCACGGACTGGCCACGAAATTTCCCCGTTGCCGGCGTGGCTACAGAACGGAGTTGGACTGCAAGTGTTCCGTAAGTGATCACGTTATTTTGATGCCTCATGGTCACTATGGCTAACTACGTCCGATTGTAAGTCGTAATTCGTTTTCGAGTGCCTCCCATCGCTTTTTTCTGTGTTCCGATATCGGCCGTACGTGCGGTGTTTTTCATTGAGCATTCTCAGCATTCTGTATAATGCTATCATTACTGATAAGACAGTAGCTGCAGTACATACACCATAATGTTACAGACTTACAGTATAATTATAACTGAATGCCTCCGAGGAGGATTCTGTGGAATTATTGCCACTAATGCTTTGCAGTGCAGGAGAAGGTTGCGACAGACCGACCGAATGTCAACCGTAGCAAGTCTAACCGTGGTCTGCGGTTTCCGTGGCGGGCCAGCATCCAACTGGAGCGAGTTCCGGTTAAATGCATTCTGACGGAGGCACAGCTGGCATTCATCAATCCGGACGCTCGCGGAAGTCCGACTATCCAGGTGAAAATCGCGCCCACCCGTGCCACCAACATGGACTTCGTCAACAAGAATCTGAGAAACATTAACGGTCAGAGTCAGACTAAGGATGAAATGGAAAAATGCTTTACGTTTTTGAATACACCTAAAAATAATCTGATTTTGAAGAAAATGTAAATCACGAATTTTTTTATTTTTACTACATAAGAAAATGTACTACATTAGAAGTTTATTAACTTCGTTTCATTACACTTTCTTTTAACCCCGTAGTTTCCTTTGCCTAAAATTGTATAAGACAAAATAATTTGTGTAAGCCAGTATAGATGTTAAAAAAATGAATTTTTCCAAAATGGTTTTGATTTAATTCTTACATTACGAAATTTTTATCCTGAACTCACAGGTCAGATCTACAAGGAGTGCTGCCGAGAGCTGGGTATCTTCCGCGAAGTCCATTGTTTCGTCACCATGCGTGTGCCGGTGCCGCGCTTCTTCGGGAAACTGCTGAAAGAATTCCGGCATACTATTCCCAAGAGTCCCCTACATGCACTTGCGGACGGGATGGTCTTGACAGGAACGGATAATGTGGTGCTGAAAACGCGACAGGGTGACGTGGAGATTAATCGGCAGATCCTCTGTAACACCTCTCCAACAGCGCGCGCCATCTTCGCAGTGGGAAAGCAGGGGAAAAGCAGTTCTTACGAACTGAACTATAGTAAGGCGGCCGTTGTAGCAGTGCTGAACGCGGCTGTCAATAAACACGAATCCCTGCCAGTTGATCCACGACGAGCGGCTCCGTTCTTCCTGTACGAAGTTACGAAATTGACGTTAAGTTGGGAGATTCCGCAGTTGAAACTGTGGACGCAGGTGGCGTTTGTGGAGCGTTTGTGCTATCCGGTCGCAAATTTGGATCAGATCCCCGTCCTGGACGCTCTTCAGGTCATTCTCGACCACGCTGATCCCAATGAGGCAGGCAGTCGGATGATTGTTTGTGGACTTATCAGTGTGCTACGCATCCTGCATTCACCGACCGCGCGCTGGACGCTGAATGAGCTGCAGTGCATAATTGCACTGAAGCCGGCATTGTGGAAGAGCGTTATCCTGCCGATGCGGTTGGTGCCCGACACTTGCATTTTCGTTAAAACCTTGACTGGTAAAACTTTCGCAGTCCCGGTTAATCTGGCTTATTGGGTGTATCACCTGAAATGCTGGGTTAAACACAATGCAGTAGGGATTCCGTTGGAGCAGCAGCGATTGATTTTTGAGGGCACACAGCTGAGCGGTAACGTTACCTTATCGGACTGCGGTATTACCACGGAGGCTACACTGGATCTTCTGCTGCGACTGATGAGCGGATGATGGTAAATGTGCAACAGAACTGGGAATGAAGCGTCAGGACCAGGTTGGAACCACCGGCTGCTATTGTGATGTTGTGATTATTTGCTGTCTGTTTTTTGCACAGGTTTGCATAGGATGTTGCTTGTTTGCCCGTTTAAATCTATTTATGTAATTTACTGGATGATTCGCGTTCGTTTCCGGAGTCACGTTTTATGGATTCAAGTTTTTACGTTTATAGCATAATATATTGTAACTTTTCTCTAACCCCGTTAGAACAATTGTCGATGGTATTAAAGGTCTCTGTAACAACGTGTTGGGTTGTAAAGCAGTATAAAACGTTGATAAAATGAAAATTGTATTATGCAATGTATGCATAAAAATTGTGATAGCAGCTCTCTTCTTCTGCATCGACGACTTTGTTCTTTCCCAATCTTCGCTCGTTACTTTTCTGGTCAATGGTGAATCAGGGGCGTGCTTTATTACAATCCTGTATGAGGGACTTATACATTATTCAAAAATTACTTGCTTTCATTAATTTTCTCGTCTTGAATTAGCAAGGTATCGTCACATCGTGACTATGGTCGCAGAACGCCTTTGTGCAATTTGATAGCACTTCCCGCTTCTGTGACTTTGTTGCGCCGCCGTGCGCATGCGGATTCGGTTCTTACTTCTTACCGAATCTTTCTTTACTCTTTGCTTTCTTAAAACGAGGTTGAGCCGACGATGAGAAATGAATGCATTACGTAAGCCTGTACCCCATATTTCCGATTGGGTTTAAAATTACTCACGGCCAGTGGATCAAGGAAGTCTGCGACTCTGCATAGACATATCGCTCGCATGAGAGTACGTACAATATAGTACTTACTGTATACGCAGCGCAAAACCAAGGCCTCGTCCCGAATTCAAAGCGAATCTCGTTGCGATACAGCAACTCCACCTCGCGAGGTGGCTTCGCGTACCGTATCTGTAGGCGTGGCCACTGCATACAGCCACCTCGTGTGGTTGAGCAACCGTACCATAGCGGGATTCGCTTTGAATTCGGGACAAGGCCCAAGAGTGCATTGAGACGTTTGTCTCCATAACATCGCGGGCGGCGGCTAGAGAATACGACCGTGCTTTCATGCACGTACGTGCTTTCAACGAAAACACGGACGTGCATGAAAGCACGGTCACGATTTTCACATCCACAGACTGGCTGCAATTCAACAAGCAACATCAGTTGTTACATCATCCTTAATTTTCGCTGCTGGTTCACGCTGTTTCACGGGGTGGGAATCCGTTGAGGCCTGTTACCATTGTCACAGCGCAATGCGATCAGACGGGGAACTGTAAGCAGGCCTGCATCTGCGTTCTTCCAGTTTTTTGTTTTGTTCGATTAGTTCTGAGGGCTACAACATGGACGGCCAGGGGACGAAGAGAAAATTGGATGTCACTGAGGATGAATACTCCATCACACATTCGACGGAGAACGTCCACGGCCTGGACGAGCACATCGTCAGCCGCCATGTCTCCATTCAATCGTTCTCGGAAGTCGATGATGACAGCGTAACCGCACAGTCCTACCAGTACGCCCGTCAAAATGAACAGCGACAGTTGGAAACGGGATTTCTGGAAGCGCTTACCCAGTGTCTGCTCGCTCAAATGGACGCGAAGGATGACAGTGGGATGAGTTTCTTAACGTGCCGCGCCTTCTATCATTTTCAAATGGATTTAGAAGATCTGCAGTCAGGGAAGTGGAACGATTTTGGTCAGGGGAAATTGCAGCGAGTCCGGGTGTCACAGACTAGCCACGAAATTTCCCCACTGCCAGCGTGGCTGGAGAACGGCGTTGGACTGCAAGTGTTCTGTACGTGATCGTGTTAATTCGTTGACTTTCGCGCTTCGCGTAAAGGTTGCTCTAGTTGAAAACGACGTGGTTAAATTATCAAATTATTTAACAGGCGCTGCGTGCTTGGCACTTACTTCCATGCATTTAATCCGAAAAACTTGAGCATTTTTTAATAAAATTTCCAGTGATTTTTTCGGTAAAATCGTTTGTTGGCTTTGCGCGAGGGTTAACATTTTATAGTTTTTTGAAACACTTGCTATGACCTGAAGCAATCTGTGTACGAGTAGTATGATTCGTAGCATCTGAAACGGTAATAAAACAGTACGACAGTGATCAGTCTTATGTCGTAGTGCGATGCGCCAGTCTTTGCGACCACGTGCGAAGATGATTTAATTGAGTCGAGTCGCATAATAACAGGAGGTACCGGCAGCTAATCTATCTCTTTTAAAACTGCATTGTTGACTGTTTTGAGGAACTATTGTACACTGCTAATTTTGGTTCTGGTAACTACCTATGTATTCAACTGACATGATGCTTTGCAGTCCAGAGCAAGGTGGCGACAAACCGACCGCACACCTCCGATAGCGAGTCCAAGCATGGTTTCGAGATTCCATGGCAGGCCAAGATCCAACTGGAACAAATTCCGGACGAGTGCATCTTGATGGAGGTGCAGTTGGCGTTCATTAACCCGGACGGTCACGGAAGTCCGACCGTCAAGGTGACAATGGCGCCACCCCATGCCACCTACATCAGCTTCGTCAACAACGTACTGAAGGAAATCAACGGTTAGAGTCAAACTGAGGTGGAAATCTGGGATATTTTAGCCTTGTTTTTGAAATGGGTTAAAATTTAGCTATACAAAATGTTTTGTTATAACAATTTACCCATTGGTTTTCATCAGATCTTTCTTTGGCCGCGGGGATTTTTTTTGCTTTGATTTGGGGCAATAAAAATTGATTTGAACATTTTATAAAACTACTCTGTAAATTAAAATCAGTTCAATTAAGCAGCTTGAAGAACGCTTAGGTCAGTGTCGTTTTTAAGTTATTTAAATTCAACGTTAGAGATATTAACAGTGTGATTTGGACCCTACGAGTAGGTCAGACATATTCTGAGTGCTGCCATGAGCTGGGTATCTTCCGCCAAGCATACTGTTTCGTCACCATGCGTGTGCCGCTGCTGCGCTTCATATCGAAACTGCTGAAAAAGTTCCGGCGGACCATCCCGAACTGTCCGCCACTTACGGATGAGATAGCCTTGGCAGGAGCGGATAATGTGGTGCTGAAAACACGACAGGGTAAAGTGGAGACGGATCGGCAGGTCCTGGTTGGTCTATCTCCAGCAGCGCGTGCCCTCTTCGCAGTGGGAAAACTCGGAAAAGTCAGTTCATTCGAAGTGGACTGTAGTAAAGTGGCCCTTATGACCGTGGTCGGCGCGGCTGTGCGTAAACACGAATCTCTGCCAGTTGACCCATGCCAAACGGCTCTGTGTTTTCTGTACGAGGTCATGAAGTTGGCGTTAAGTTGGGAGATTCCGCAGCTGTCACTGTGGACACAGGTGGCGTTTGTGGAGCGCTGGTGCCATCCGGTCGTCAATCTGGAGCAGATCCCCGTCCTGGATGCTATCCGTGCCATCTGTGAATATGCCGATCCCGAGAAAGCGGGCAGTCGGATGATTGTGTGTGGGCTTATCACTGCACTGCGCATTCTGCATTCACCGATCGCGTCCTGGACGCTGGATGAGATGCAGCGGTTAATTGCACCGTACCCGGCATTATGGGAGCACTTTCTCCCGCTGGCCCGGCTGGTTCTGGATACAAGCATTCTCGTTAAAACTGTGACTGGTCGCATCATCACGATCGCGGTTAACCTTGGCTTTTCGGCATATCAGGTGAAATGCTGTATCCAGGAGAAAGAAGGGATCCCCGTGGATCAGCAGCGACTTCTTTATGCCGGCAAACAGCTAAGCGACAACGTCACCTTAGCGGATTACGGTATTAAAGCGGAGGCTATCGTACATCTCGTAGTGAGAAAGCGCGGATGCTGAAATTGTGGACCGCACTTGAGATCGGAAGCATGAAATTGAAACCGCTTGGGTGGCGCTTGTAGTGGATAAAATTCTGTAAACTTCTGTTCTGCAGAACTTTTCTGTTTTATAACTTTTGTCCATATAAATTTGTCTTTAGGAATTTACTTGATCATCTTCGTTTTGTTTCTAAATGGATCTTATTGGGTAATTAATTTTGTTATATAATACTGTATTGTACCTATTAGTTTGTGCGATCGCTTCCATTTCCCTGGCTTGTCTTTTAATATAAAGTGTAAACAGAATTTCTATAGAAGTATCGTTTTCAACTTTACTTGGTGCTTGTGGATTTGGAGGTTAATGGCTAATTAAGTGCAAATTAAAAAGTGTGTTACATGTATGGAATAATGACATTGTAAGTGACTTGGCTTGAAGATAATCGGTCGATGGATGGGATTTAAGGGACACTGGTGGCGGTTTATTTAGGAGCTTGTTCAGAGGCGCAGTACTTAGTGACTATGTACCAGAACAAGTACATTGTACTGTACTATTTATGTAGAAATCGACAGATCGGTCCCCCGCCACGCCTACTCTCCCTATTATTTTTTGTCGTGCACGGTACGTGCATACGCGTACTACCGAACGTATATCCGCTCGCGCGATGCCCTACCGACTTATGGAACTTCCAACTGATTACAGTCTGAATACGGTACTTATTGGTTTTTACCAAAGTCAGTAAATTTAACTCGGTAATAAATCGTTTTGGTTTTGCGCTCGGTAATAAATCACTTTAGCGTTGAGCGATCCGCTGTAGAAGGATACAGTACCTGCTTCGAGTTAATATCAGCATCATCTTCTCTGAATTACTTTCATTGCTGGCTCAGATTAATTAATATTCGTCCTGTCATTTCAGGGGGACCTGATTTTCGGGTAAGTTGTGAGCCGTGATTGTGAGCGTATGGAAATCGCGATGGACTTGTGCAGCTCAAGTACAGCCGTTGGTATGTACGTCTAATTTCTTGTTTTGTTCCGTTAGTTGATGAACGATAAGAGATGGACGGCGACGGCAAGGGAACGAAGAGAAAACTGAATGTCGTGGAGAGCTGGAAAGAGGATTTTTGGAATTGCTGAGCCATTGTCAACTGGCCAACATGAACGCGACGGAGGACAATGAGATGGGTTTCTTGACGTGCCGCGCCATGTATACCTTCCAGATGGATTTGCAGAAGCTGAAGACCGCGGCGTGGAATGACTCTCGTCTGGGGAAACTGCAGCGAGTGCGGTTGAAGTGGACCGGCCACGAAATCACCCCATTGCCAGCGTGGTTGGAGAACGGCGTTGGATTGGAAGGGTTCTGTAAGTGACCTTTGTATATCGTCGTGTGATGCGCCTGTCCGTGAGTTGTGAGTCCGTGAATTTATTTGAGTCGCATCCTAAATTCCTAATTGAGTCTATGACTAGAAATTCCCTCAGCCTATCTCATTGACCTTTTTCAGCAAATTGCGCCGAACAATTTTGACTGATGAAGGATTGTTTTACAATGTTCCTTTTGGGTTCTGCTAAGGCATCCCCATGGATCAGCAGCGACTGATGTTCGGCGGCAGACAGCTGAGCGACAATGCTACCTTATTGGACTGCGGGATTACCAGCGGGGCTGCAGTACATCTTCTCTACCGATTTAGAGGATTCTAAAACCGTTGGTGAAATTGGATTTGGAAGGATCCAGGTGGAACTGTAGGTGGTTTTTAGGGTGGATAAATGGACATACGATTTTTTCTCAGCTATATTACGCCTGAGCGCATTAACGTTTCGGTTTTGTCTTTATAAACTTAGGTAATCTAGTTTCCGTTTTTGAAGCGTTTTTATGGATTACAGATCATTATGTGTTTTTACATTATGCATGTTCACACTGACAGTATTATGCGTTCACATACAGAAGTCATTTTCATCGTTTAAAAGGAATTAAAGGATTATTCAAAGTCATTGGATGATACGATTCCGGTTTTCTAAGCTATATTACGCCTGAGCGCATTAACGTTTCGGTTTTGTCTTTATAAACTTAGGTAATCTAGTTTCCGTTTTTGAAGCGTTTTTATGGATTACAGATCATTATGTGTTTTTACATTATGCATGTTCACACTGACAGTATTATGCGTTCACATACAGAAGTCATTTTCATCGTTTAAAAGGAATTAAAGGATTATTCAAAGTCATTGGATGATACGATTCCGGTTAACTATTACATGCTGATACGTTCATTATACAAAAAGTCGTAAAAACGTTTTATTCACAATTCACATTGTGGATGGATAATGGATTGCATCGTTTATAGTACTGTTCGTGTTGAAGTTTTCCTTGTACACAAAACCCGGAAAACTTGTACCGATCCGGCAATACAGAAAATACAACTATACGTCATACAATATCGTTGATACCATAAAGCAATGTCTACATCGCCGGCTGCTCCGTGGGAGCAATAATGAGCACCTTGATGCACACATACGGCGGCGCGTTGACGACATAGGCAATGACATCGGCAATGTCCTGCGCCTCCAGGAGCTTCATGCCGGAGCCGGCGAGCGCCAGCTTTTTGACATTCTCCTCACAAACCCATCGGTTGCCGAAGTCGGTCTGCACGCCACCCGGGCTAATGCTCTGTTAAAATGTCAGACGCTATAAACGTCGATGGAACAATAATTATTATGTTGGAGAACTCGGGACTGACCGTTACGCGGATCTTTTTGGAAATTTCCTTCACTTCACGGTACAGCGCCTCCGTCAGAGCGATGACCATGTGTTTGGTGGCCGAGTAAAAGTGGGCGGTGGCCCACGGAGGCACCGCGTGTCCAGCCATGCAGCCCCATGCTGTACATACAGAGTTGCATTATTTACCGTATAATTATGATGCGGCATTAGCAGTCTTGCCGATTGCTTATAAGAACGCTTTGTCTGGTCAGTAACAATGATTGAAAACCAAAGCTTTTCGACCGAAGCGTAGCGAAAGTCTTCTATGTTCAAGGATAATGAAAAATGTGGTGTCTGTGCGTCGGTCACCGCCACCAAATGCACATATGCGCGGCGGTATGTGATACCTGACGCACATATGCACGCTGGCCGTATATACTCAAGGCAAATGTAATTCATGGTGTCTGTGCGTCGGTCACCGCCATCAAATGCACATATGCTCGGTGGTATGTGTTACCTGACGGCGTCAGGTAACACTGCTGACGCACATATGCACGATGCTGACGCACATATGCACGCTGGCCGTATATACTCAAGGCAAATGTAATTCATGGTGTCTGTGCGTCGGTCACCGCCATCAAATGCACATATGCGCGGTGGTATGTGTTACCTGATGCACATATGCACGCTGGCCGTATATACTCAAGGCGAATGTAATTCATGGTGTCTGTGCGTCGGTCACCGAAACCAAATGCACATATGCGCGGTGGTATGTGTTACCTGACGCACATATGCACGATGGCCGTATATACTCAAGGCAAATGTAATTCATGGTGTCTGTGCGTCGGTCACCGCCACCAAATGCACATATGCGCGTTGGTATGTGTTACCTGACGCACATATGCACGCTGGCCGTATATACTCAAGACAAATGTAATTCATGGTGTCTGTGCGTCGGTCACCGCCACCAAATGCACATATGCGCGGCGGTATGTGTTACCTGACGCACATATGCACGCTGGCCGAATATACTCAAGGCAAATGTAATTCATGGTGTCTGTGCGTCGGTCACCGCCACCAAATGCACATACGAGCGGTGGTATGTGTTATTTGACGCACATATGCACGCTGGCCGTATATACTGTACTCGCGGCACATGTAACTCGTGGTGTCTGTACGTCGGTCACCACCGCGAAAGGCAAATATGCATGGTGATGTTTGCAGGCCGGATGCGCACATATACACTTTAGCCGTATGCATTGGCCGGTGGTCATCTCCCGATATGATCAAAAGATTACTTATTGCTTTTCCTTTTATGTAAAAATGGCAAAAGAGCGCTACAAAAGCGTCTAAGATTGCGTTTTTGCAATTCACAAGCGACGAGTTTCGTTATCAATAATGGAATCATTAGTCGATGGTGACAGGGACAATATACCGTTTGTCTGCTGAAAATTTTTGAATTAGTCTCCTAGCTGGGTGTTGCAGACGCTGTCCAGTAGACCAGTACCATAATACGGCTGCCTTACACTCCTCTCATGAGTTATGTCACCCACTTCGGCCTCATGACATTTGCGCAACCTAACAAAAACCAAGAAACCGAAGAATACGTCACTCGACCGACCGGCAATCGTGCATTTCCATTTCCTCACAGGCATTTTTGATGTGCCTCAAAATAGCAAACACAATAAACCCGTGCACTTAAAAACCAAAACCAATTAATATTCCGGTATTAAGGAGTTCCACCTAGAAAGTTGTCTAATTAGAATCGTAATAGGTCAGCATTGCTCGGCGCAATTTCGTGGAAATGGTAATCCTCCGGCTAGGTTGGTGTCACCAGTTTTTTGACATGATGGACCTATTCTTGGATTCTGCTTTTCAGTCTTGGCGTTTTATAAACCGCCACGATCGTTAACAAATCCAACACTTTACACCGTATTCAGAAGATAATTCTACCATTGACTACTCTGCATATGTACATATTGTGGCAGCGACCTCCCATAGCTCTGCATGAACCGGCATAAATTATTCCACAAGGGCAGAAGAAATTAAGATTTTTTACAATTCAAAACATGTATTGAAAACATTCACTTACCTGCAAAATTTTACATAAATGCCTACCGGGGCAAAAGGCCGAGATTTCACTTGTCACTCTACTAAAAATTCTACCAAACGGGGTGAGATTATTAAATAATCGAGGAGGATTGCCTACAGAAAAAGGGTTGCCAATCACTCTACGCATAGTCCTGTTACGCTTCGGTCTTGCAGTGCCCGCAAATAGCGAGTGCACTTTCCTAGTATAGACAGTGTTTTCAAGTACCTGTTGATGTTGATAATATGACCGTCGGTGATCTGGTCCTTGGTTATCAATCGCAGCGCTTCACGGGCGCAGATAGGCAATCCCATAACGTTTACCTGAAGGGAAAATTTTGAAATTTCTTTTCGTGCAGTTCTTATTGAAAACACCTATGTAGCCTCGCATACAAGAGTATTTTCTATAATTGTATTTTATCATTTTTATGAACGGATCACACCCTGTACATCTATCATCTCGCGCCACTGGTCCGCGCTGCCGGTTACTAGCGTATCGGGTTTGGCCATGCCGGCATTATTCACAAGGACGTCCACGTGTTTGTGGGTCTTCTAGATCTTCGCAAACATGCGCTTGATGTCCTCCTCTTTGGTGATGTCGCACTTGATGGCGCGGACGGTACCGGAGCCTTTGGGGAGAGTGTTGTTTAACGCCTACAACGTATGCGCTAAATTTAACTATGAGCATGTGTTCCTTCCCTCCCAAAAGAACATGAATCAACGCCGTCACTATACAAATAAGATATTTCGTACTTATACTTGAACGTTTTATCGTTTACCTCGATTTTTTCCAGGTTTCGCGCGCATCCGATGACATTCATTCCCTGGCGTGCCAGCGTTTCCGCCGCGGCCAGTCCGATACCGGAGGATGCTCCCGTCACCAGCGCTGTGCGAATTCGCCAACGATCCATTTTTGTGGAAGAAAATTGCAGAGCCTGCGCAAAGAACTCAGGCGATTAGCACAACGTGGTAACTGGCGTGCAGTTGGAGAATAAAGTTATTCCACTGAATGGAACATTCTTCAGTCAGTCGACCGGATTAATATGATTTTTGACGGCACGCAGCTGAGCGATAACGTTACCTTATCGGACTGCGGTATTACCACGAAGGCTACTCCTATCTTCTCCTGAGACTGAAGAGCGGATGATGGTAAATAAAGAGCACTATGAAGCGTCAGCACGAGGTTGGAACCAGCGGTTACATTTGTGAGGTTGGGATTATTTTCTATCAATTTTTTTGCGCAGGTTTGCACTGATGCTGCTTTTTGCCCGTTTTAAATTTCTCTCTGTAAATTGCTGAAGGATTCGCATTCGTTTCCGGAGGGAAGTTTTATGGATTCCAGTTTTTACGTTTATGGCATAATGCAATTCAGTGGCGTCGTGTATAACCACGAGATTGTTACCGATGTCTTTGTCACAACGTGTTGGGTTGTAAAGCAGTATAAAACGTTGATAAAATGAAAACGCATTATGTAATTATGAAATTGTGATAGCAGCTTTTTTGTTCTGCCTCGACGACTCTGTTCTTAACTTCTTACTGATTCTTGGCTCGTCCTCTTACTTTTGTGGTCAAGGGTGAATCACGGGCATGCTTAATTATAATCCTTTATGAGGAAAATAGAACTTGTACATTATTCAAAAATTACTTACATACTTTCATTCCTTGTCTTGAATTAACAAGGTATGTTGCACTGTTGCAGAGCGCCAGTGTACAATTTGAAGCACTTCCCGCTGCTGTGATAGCCTGGTTGTGCCGCCATGCATGTGGATTCGTTTATACCGAATCTTTGCTTTTTGCTCTCTCAAAACGAGCTTGAGCCGACGATGCGAAATGAAAGGCCAAGCATAAGGTCAAGCAAAAAGAAAGATTACGTAAAACTGTACCCCATATTTCCGGTTGGGTTGGATGGATGAAAATCGTAAGTAATGAAAGCCCGTACGTGATCAGATCCTCTAACCGCCGCCCGATGGAGACAAGCGTCTGATCTCACTCTTGATTTCAAGCGTCTGATCTCACTCTTGATTTTGCGCTGCGTACTCACAAGTCACAATCAGTATAGGCGCTAAATCATTTCACGAGCGATATTTCTAGACTTCTACCCTGATGCCAACAATTCACCAAGCAACACCATCCTTAATTTTTTACTTGCTGGTTCAAGTTTCACGCGCTTTCACGAGAGTGGGAATCCGTTGAGGCCTGTTACCCTTGTCACAGCGCATTGTGACGAAACGGGGGACTGTATCTGTGACTGTAAGCAGGCCTACCTGCATCTGCGGGACTTTTAACCGTAAGTTGTCGACCGAAGCGTAGCGAAGGTCTTCTATGTTCAAGGATAATGAAAAATGTGGTGTCTGTGCGTCGGTCACCGCCACCAAATGCACATATGCGCGGCGGTATGTGATACCTGACGCACATATGCACGCTGGCCGTATATACTCAAGGCAAATGTAATTCATGGTGTCTGTGCGTCGGTCACCGCCATCAAATGCACATATGCTCGGTGGTATGTGTTACCTGACGGCGTCAGGTAACACTGCTGACGCACATATGCACGATGCTGACGCACATATGCACGCTGGCCGTATATACTCAAGGCAAATGTAATTCATGGTGTCTGTGCGTCGGTCACCGCCATCAAATGCACATATGCGCGGTGGTATGTGTTACCTGATGCACATATGCACGCTGGCCGTATATACTCAAGGCGAATGTAATTCATGGTGTCTGTGCGTCGGTCACCGAAACCAAATGCACATATGCGCGGTGGTATGTGTTACCTGACGCACATATGCACGATGGCCGTATATACTCAAGGCAAATGTAATTCATGGTGTCTGTGCGTCGGTCACCGCCACCAAATGCACATATGCGCGTTGGTATGTGTTACCTGACGCACATATGCACGCTGGCCGTATATACTCAAGACAAATGTAATTCATGGTGTCTGTGCGTCGGTCACCGCCACCAAATGCACATATGCGCGGCGGTATGTGTTACCTGACGCACATATGCACGATGGCCGTATATACTCAAGGCAAATGTAATTCATGGTGTCTGTGCGTCGGTCACCGCCACCAAATGCACATATGCGCGTTGGTATGTGTTACCTGACGCACATATGCACGCTGGCCGTATATACTCAAGGCGAATGTAATTCATGGTGTCTGTGCGTCGGTCACCGAAACCAAATGCACATATGCGCGGTGGTATGTGTTACCTGACGCACATATGCACGATGGCCGTATATACTCAAGGCAAATGTAATTCATGGTGTCTGTGCGTCGGTCACCGCCATCAAATGCACATATGCGCGTTGGTATGTGTTACCTGACGCACATATGCACGCTGGCCGTATATACTCAAGACAAATGTAATTCATGGTGTCTGTGCGTCGGTCACCGCCACCAAATGCACATATGCGCGGCGGTATGTGTTACCTGACGCACATATGCACGCTGGCCGAATATACTCAAGGCAAATGTAATTCATGGTGTCTGTGCGTCGGTCACCGCCACCAAATGCACATACGAGCGGTGGTATGTGTTATTTGACGCACATATGCACGCTGGCCGTATATACTGTACTCGCGGCACATGTAACTCGTGGTGTCTGTACGTCGGTCACCACCGCGAAAGGCAAATATGCATGGTGATGTTTGCAGGCCGGATGCGCACATATACACTTTAGCCGTATGCATTGGCCGGTGGTCATCTCCCCGATATGATCAAAAGATTACTTATTGCTTTTCCTTTTATGTAAAAATGGCAAAAGAGCGCTACAAAAGCGTCTAAGATTGCGTTTTGCAATTCACAAGCGACGAGTTTCGTTATCAATAATGGAATCATTAGTCGATGGTGACAGGGACAATATACCGTTTGTCTGCTGAAAATTTTTGAATTAGTCTCCTAGCTGGGTGTTGCAGACGCTGTCCAGTAGACCAGTACCATAATACGGCTGCCTTACACTCCTCTCATGAGTTATGTCACCCACTTCGGCCTCATGACATTTGCGCAACCTAACAAAACCAAGAAACCGGAGAATACGTCACTCGACCGACCGGCAATCGTGCATTTCCATTTCCTCACAGGCATTTTTGATGTGCCTCAAAATAGCAAACACAATAAACCCGTGCACTTAAAACCAAAACCAATTAATATTCCGGTATTAAGGAGTTCCACCTAGAAAGTTGTCTAATTAGAATCGTAATAGGTCAGCATTGCTCGGCGCAATTTCGTGGAAATGGTAATCCTCCGGCTAGGTTGGTGTCACCAGTTTTTTGACATGATGGACCTATTCTTGGATTCTGCTTTTCAGTCTTGGCGTTTTATAAACCGCCACGATCGTTAACAAATCCAACACTTTACACCGTATTCAGAAGATAATTCTACCATTGACTACTCTGCATATGTACATATTGTGGCAGCGACCTCCCATAGCTCTGCATGAACCGGCATAAATTATTCCACAAGGGCAGAAGAAATTAAGATTTTTTACAATTTCAAAACATGTATTGAAAACATTCACTTACCTGCAAAATTTTACATAAATGCCTACCGGGGCAAAAGGCCGAGATTTCACTTGTCACTCTACTAAAAATTCTACCAAACGGGGTGAGATTATTAAATAATCGAGGAGGATTGCCTACAGAAAAAGGGTTGCCAATCACTCTACGCATAGTCCTGTTACGCTTCGGTCTTGCAGTGCCCGCAAATAGCGAGTGCACTTTCCTAGTATTGTAAGTTTGTAACCGGTCCGCAAGCTGTATCGATGGAATCGTGCAGTCTGACTACAGCCGTCTCTAAAATTGTGTCCTTCCAATTTCTTGTTTGTTCGATTAGTTGCTGAGCGCTACAACATGGACGGCAAGGGGACGAAGAGAAAATTGGATGTTTTTGAGGATGATTACTCCATCACGCATTCGACGGAGAACGTCGACGGCCTGGATGAGCGGAGCGTCAGCCGCCATGTCTCCATTCAACCGTTCCCGGAAGTCGACGACGACAGCACAACCGCACCGTCCTCTTCCCTATTGAATGAACAGCTACAGCTGGAAACAGGATTTTTAGAAGCGCTTACCCATTGCCAGCTCGCTCAAATGGACGCGAAGGATGACAGGGTGATGGGTTTCTTGACGTGCCGTGCCATGTACCATTTTCAAATGGATTTAGAAGATCTGCAGTCCGGGAAGTGGAACGATTTTGGCCAGGGGAAACTGCAGCGCGTACGGGTGTCACAGACTGGCCACGAAATTTCTCCATTGCCAGCGTGGCTGGAGAACGGCGTTGGACTGCACGTGTTCTGTAAGTGATCACTTTATGGCTTATGTCGTACGTAGTGTGATGCGCCTGTCTGTTGCGACCACATCCGAATGTGAAACGTCTGAACTAGTTGCGTCTAGTGACGAGTCGCATGATAGTTGAATCTACGGCTGGATTTGGCTGCAGCTAATATCTCTTTAAACAGACTACGATTAGCACTGTTGACTGTTGAGGGACTGGTGTTGTACACTTCTAATTGTGGTTCTGTTAAGTACTAGGTAAGTATTCAACTGACATACTGAGATGCTACTTGTGCTTTGCAGTTCAGACCAAGGTGGCGACAAACCGACCGCACGCCTCCGGCAAAAAGTCTAAGCGTGGTTTTGAGATTCCATGGCACGCCAAGATCCAAATGGAACAAGTTCCGGACGAGTGCATCCTGACGGAGGTGCAGTTGGCGTTCATTAATCCGGACGAGCGTGGAAGCCCTACCGTCCAGGTGACAATGGCGGCCTCCCGTGCCAACGACATGAACTTCGTCAACAACATACTGAAGGAAATCAACGGTTAGAGTCAAACTGAGGTTGAAATCTGAGACATTTTTAGCGTTTTTAAATGCCTTACAATTTACCGGGTGGCTGAGCAAAATGGCGGTCTGATTCAAGATGATGCGCTGGATCCGTCTGTTGCTTGATTGACGTCGTCTTAGGTTCATTCGAAAGAGTAACGCTTTTAACATAAAACAGTTAAGTGCAGCTAAGATTTTCCTAAGTCTGGACGTTTTTTAAGATTTTTTTGAAAAACTGGGTGGGTTTAGAGGCTGTCCTGGAAGGGAAAATTTGAAAATACCCATTTCTCAACCAAAAATTGCTGCTAATCAGCTAAGTAGAAAACTTTTTTTCGGGTTACTGTTTCGGATAGAGGGGTTCTTCCTTGTTTTTTACTGTATGGCACTGCAATATTCTAGCAACGGTGTTCGGCCAGCACACGGAATAACTGAGACTCTGCACGAGTAATTCTCATGAAATCCGCAGGAAGGATTTTTGAAATCGAATTCTTGATCAACGCTTCGAAAAGTTGTCTGGTTCAATCTTGTTTCTGGAAAGGCAATGTGTTAACTACATTTTGAAATAAAACCCGACATTTCTTGTTGCTTCTTTACACGCAGCCAGAAATTTTAACGAAAAATGGTCATAAAAATCAAATTAAAAACCGGCATTTTTTGGGAAAGTCACAAAGTGCGCTGACCGCATAACTCGTCCAGCGCATGCAATATGTCAACAACTGCTTTTTTATTGAAAGAAGGTGTGTTTCTCTAAACAGAGCCGGCAAAGATATTCAAAAAGTCCAAACTGAAAAGAAGTGCCACGAGATTCTAAGTTTGGAGAGCTGGGACACGAAAAATTTGCACACGACCTTGGTTTGCGCCACTGCAAGCGATCACGGCTTACGCTTTCCAAAAACGTTTTGTTGATTCTGATAGCCAATAAAATTCTCTATCAAACGAGTCTTAACAATTTACAGTCTGACCACAGGTTCACGAGAAACAAACTGAATAATTAGACCGCCATTTTTTTCAGCCACCCGGTAGCTATCAAAAAGCCTGGTTTATTATTTTACCCATTGGTTTTCATCAAATCTCTCTTTAATCGCGGGTTTTTTCGCTTAATTTTTGGGGCAGTACATATTGATTTGCGTATTTAAAGAACTGATTTGCAAATGTAAATGACTTCCTTCCACTTGAAGGACGCGTAGGTCTGTTGCATTCTGAAATGACTTTAATGCAATGCTGGAAATGATGACTGTTTAATTTGGACCCTATCCTAGGCCAGACATATTCCGAATGCTGCCAGGAGCTGGGCATCTTCCGCCAAGCCTACTGTTTTGTCACCATGCGTGTGCCGCTGCTGCGCTTCATATCGGAACTGCTGCAAAAATTCCGGCAGACCATTCCGAACTGTCCCCGGGCGGACGAAATTATCTTGGCAGGAATAGATAATGTAGTCCTCAAAACGCGACAGGGTAAAGTGGAGACAAATCGGCAGATCCTGGTTGGCTTCTCTCCAACGACGCGTGCCCTCTTCGCAGCGGGAAAACACGGAAAAGTCAGTTCTTTCGAACTTGACTACAGTAAGGCGGCTGTTGTGACCGTGATCGGCGCGGCTGTGCATAAACACGAATCTCTACTAATTGATCCACGCCGAGCCACTCCGTTCTTTCTGTACGAGGCCATGAAGTTGGCGTTGAGTTGGGAGATTCCGCATCTGACACTGTGGACGCAGGTAGCGTTTGTGGAGCGTTTATGCCATCCGGTTGTCAATCTAGAGCAGGTTCCCGTTCTGGATGCTGTCCAGGTCATTCTCGACCACGCAGATCCCCAGGAGGTTGGCAGTCGGATGATTGTGTGTGCACTGGTTAGTGTGCTGCGCATCTTGCATTCACCGACCGCGTCTTGGACGCTGGACGAGCTGCAACAGTTGATTGCACCGAAGCCGGCATTGTGGGAGTATGTTCTTCAGCCTACGCGGTTGGCGCCGGATAGCAGCATTTTCATTAAGACTTTGACTGGCAAGGTCTTCACGGTCGTGGTTAATCTGGCCTATTGGGTTTACCAGATGAAATGCTGTATCCAGGAGAAAGAAGGGATTCCCATGGATCAGCAGCGGATTATATTTGCCGACAAACAGCTGAGCGACAATGTTACCTTAGCGGATTACGGTATTAAAACGCGGACTACAGTGCATCTTGTCTTGAGAATGCGGGGATGCTGAACATGTGCACCGCTATTCAGGATGGAATCAGACTGGAACTGCGGGTGTCACCTGTAATGGGTAGTAATTCTTTTAACTTCTTTGTGGTTGTGCAGCATTTTCGTGTTTTATCTACAGTATAAAATTTGTCTTTTGAAATTTACTTGATATTACCTTCGTTTTGTTTCTGAAGTGGATTTTAATGGATAATTTGTTTGTGTACTTTTCATATAGTTCTGTACTTAATTTATCTACATAGTTTTGCACGATCGCTTTTAGTTTCCTCTTCTGCCTTTATAAAGCCATGAATTTTTCAAATTTACTTCGGGATTTTGCATTTGATTCCTCAGTAGAGGTTATGGCTGATGAATTACAAATTATTATGTGTGTCAGTTGTCACCAGTTTGACTGAGTCAGACTGACATAATTATGACTTCGCGTTAAAGTAATCGTTTGGTCGGTGGAACCCTGGATGACAAGTACTTGGCCTGGAAGGTTACTATGAGTAGAAGTACTCGTACAATGTAGAAGTGTCTATACCAAACGATTCGTTTGGGATGGTTATAAACTGTAAAGGCAGTATTACTAGCATCTGTTAGCGTCAACATTGAAAAGATGAGGAATGTACCGCGTTATAATAATTATGTCCTTAATAATACCTATATCGATCGCTATATGCACAAAATAATTATTGTGGTAGCTTTGTTGTTGCTGCGTGCATCACCGGTTCACGTTCCTGCAGAATATTAATATCTATATCTACGTATAATTTATTTGGTTCCATAAAACCACACGTATTGTACACACACCACACATGTTGTATAAGCTTGTTTCCCTCACTGCTTCGTTCCAAATTTCCAATCACTTTAGGCCAAGCTGTCGTCGAATTTCAGTGGTTCTATTTTTCCATCTTTGTTTTAATCGAACATGTTGAAGCGGGTTTGTAGAGCGCAGGTGTTTATTTTCAGAGCAGTCTGGGATGTTTAGATACTTACATGCTGCCGTCGTGACTGGTGTCCAGAGCAACAAACATCCGGCCGGCTACCATTATATTATTATTGTACTGCCGCTTGCGCCGACAGCTTTTCCTCGCGCTTGTTCACAAAAATCCCAGAGTTTGTTACCGTACTACATTATTAAATATACCGTAATATGAGTGTATCTGTACGGACTTACTACTACCAATTTGCCGCATGAGGTAAGGTTGTGGAGTATAGATACAATCGGATTTTTTTTCGCAACCTGACTTTGACTGAGCCTAGACTATCTGCTTAAGGGACGCTTTTCCACTTAAAACCTAAAGTTTCTTACCAGGGCACATAGGGGTCCTCCAAATTCAGAAAAATTTCATATTTTGTAAAATGGTAGTACACTATCGTAGTATGCTTAAAAAAATATTTCCATCTGCCATGGTCGTGGCCAGACAGCGTTTAAAAGTTTGCATATTATCACATGCTATGCAATGCAGTGACTCAGTGAGTGGAGTATGGAGTTATTCGTAATTAGTTTTATAGTGAATTTTTACTGTAGCACCGTGAACTTTTGCAGCTGTCCACTGGTGATTTAAACGATGCCCACGTGCGGCGGCTCGTGTCATTGCTGCCTGAGTATACATTTTCGAAAATTTTTTATCAGTTAGTATGTATTGTATGTAGTAAACCGTGCAAAAATCTTCTTTTACTAATAAGCAGATACGTACTGTATTCGCTCGCACATCTTGAACCACAGAGTGTGTGTACGGGAAAAACGCGCATTCAATATACACACTCTAACCGGGCCAATTAAACGCGCGATTCGCGATTTGATAAATTTCTGATGTCTTACAACATCTGGACTGTAGAACTTCTTGAATAATGAAAAAAATTAGAGCTCTAACAATTTTTATCATGTTTATGCTGAAAGCATCCATTAACACACAGCTTTGGCTTAAGCACGAGTTGCAAATTGATTTGTTGTGGTTTTTGGGGTGCCCCTGGAGGGGGAGGGTACGTTCCGCGTCAACATTCTCGATGGTGATGAACCACAGAACAATTCGAGCTTTCAGCTACAGAACCTTTTTTTTCCAGAGTGAATTGCCATTTAAATGAAAAGTCTTGATTTATTAAACCAATTCACAAGAAGAACTGTTCATCGTGAAACCAAATGAGCAATATTTCGTAGTCGTGCATTTTGCCCGGTTAGAGTGTGTATATTGAATGCGTGTTTTTCCCGTACACACACTCTGTGGTTCAAGATGTGCGAGCGAATACAGTACTCGTACTGCACTTCATAAAAGATTTTCGAAATTTTTTTTAGGCAGCAGTGACACGAGCCGCCGCACGTGGTCTTCGTTTACATCACCACTCGACAAATGCAAAAGTTCACGGTGCTACAGTATAAATTCAATATAAAACTAACTACGAATAACTCCACTCACTGCATTGCATAGTATGTATGTGATAATATGTGAACTTTTAAATGCTGTCTGGCCACGCCCCCTTGACCATGGCAGATGAAAATATTTTTTTAAGCATACTACGATAGTATGCTACCATTTCACAAAATATGAAATTTTTCTGAATTTGGAGGACCCCTATGTGCCCTGGTTAGATTCCTTTAATTTCGTAACATCCTTAGGTTTCTTAGAAGTTTAGAACCTAGAATAAGGTGCGGCAAAATAATTCACTGCATATTCGTAAGTAGTACTTAGTAAACAGTAACCACTAAAAACTAAAAACGCACGGCATATCCAGGATCTTGGCTATTATTCGTTAAAACTTACGAGTAGACGCACATTACAGTAACATACGTACGTACATTTCGTTTATATGTTTAATATACTCATACCGTTAAAGTACGGATCTGTGCGCTTTATAACTTTATATCGTATATGGCGGGCTCTTTTTGCGTGCGACTACAATCTATAGAAATATCCGCTCGGGCGATGCGCTGGCCACAGAGTTATGCAACTCCTAACGGGTTTGAGCTTGGATAAATAATTTTAGCTTTCAGCAATCAGGTGACAGAAACATCAATAATTATGACCTGTAGATAGAAATACACTTACTTCGAGCTGATAATACCATCATCATTTCCTAATTATTTTCATTGCTGGCTCAGATTTAACGATCGTCCTTTCATTTCACGGGGATCTGATTTTCGGGTAAGATGTGAGCGTATGAAAAATCGCGACGGAGTTGTGCAGCTCTTTTACAACCGTTTGTGTGTGAGCGTGTTCGTCTAATTTCTTGATTTGTTACGTTAGTCGACGAACGATAAGAATGGACGGCGACGGCAAGGGAACGAAGAGAAAACTGAATGTCGTGGAGAACGATTACTCGATCCGCCATTCGACGGAGAACGCCCGTGACTTGGACCAGCATGGCCGCAGTTACTCCGTTCGATCGTTCTCGGAACTCGGCGGCGTACACGCACAGCCCTCCGCCCGCCTGACTGAATAGCGACAGCTGGAAAGAGGATTTTTGGAACTGCTGACCCATTGTCAACTGGCCAACATAAACGCGACGGATGACAATGAGATGGGTCTCCTGACGTGCCGCGCCATGTATACCTTCCAGATGGATTTGCAGAAGTTGAAGACCGCGGCGTGGAATGACTATCGTCTGGGGAAACTGCAGCGAGTGCGGGTGAAGTGGACCGGCCACGAAATCACCCCATTGCCAGCGTGGTTGGAAAACGGCGTTGGATTGCAAGTGTTCTGTAAGTGACCTTTCGTATATCGTCGTGTGATGCGCCTGTCCGTGATTTAGTTGAGTTGAGTCGCATTCTAATTGAGTCTATGAGTAGAAATTTCCGCAGCCTACCTCCTTGGCCTTTTTCAGCAAATTGCGCCTAGCAATTTTGACTGATGAGGGACTGTTGTTCAATGTTCCTTTTGGGTTCTGCTATACAGTTGAAGTGCTGCAGTCAGCAATGTTACTGATGCTTTGCAAATTGCAGTTCAGAAGAAGGTGGCGACAAAACGACCACACTCTTCCGGTAAAAAGTCTAAGCGAGGTTTTGAGATTCCATGGCAGGCCAAGATCCAGTTGGAGCAAATCCCGGACAAATGCATCTTGACGGAGGTGCAGCTGGCGTTCATTAATCCGGATGGTCACGGCAGCCCGGCTGTTCAGGTGAAATTGGCGGACACCCGTGCCACCAACATGGACTTCATCAATAACATACTGAAGGAAATCAACGGTCAGAATGAAAGCTACGCTTGGAAATCAAACAAGTTTTGGCCGTTTTGAGAATCTTTTAAAATTTGCATTAAAATGTATATGAAGCCTAAGAAATGCTACTATTTGCCAGTTGCCTCTTGTCCAATCTCCCACGAATTTCCTTGCCTAAAACTGGAATAATACAAATTTGTTGAAACTTGAAGTATACTTAAAAAAATCAAATTTGTTTTCATCAAGCGAGCGAGCGAGCGTTTTTAATCTGCGGTGCGACATGCGGAGAGCTGGGTCCCCGGGGTCCAGGGGCGAAGCCCCTGGCCGGGGTTTGGGGCGGAGCCCCAACAAGCAGGGGGTGCGGGGGGCGCAGCCCCCCGCTGAAGCAGTTGAGAAGGTAGTAAAAAAATCGAAAAACTAACCGGGTTAGTTTTGACGGACCTAGTGCAGTAAATGCATATGAGATCGTAAATTTGGACCCGGTACACTCATACAGACCGGCCCGGGTGGAGCGCTTTTGAGGAACCGACATGCGGGGAACCCCCGTGGCATTTTTCTCGAACCCGCCATACATATAGTATGGAGGGTCCGTTTTTTAGATCCCGGTCCAGGAATTTTGCCCGCCCGGTTGGTTCGTTTTTGAGGTACCGACATGCGGGAAACCACCGGGGCATTTTTCTCGAACCCGCCATACATATAGTATGGAGGGTCCGTTTTTTAGATCCCGGTCCGGGAATTTTGCCCGCCCGGTTCCGTTTTTTAGATCCCGGTACGGAAATTTTGCCCGCCCAGTTCCGTTTTTTAGATCCCGGTCCGGAAATTTTGCCCGCCCCGGTTGGTGCGTTTTTGGGGAACCGACATGCAGAGAACCACCATTTTTCACGAACCCGCCATAAATTGTCTATGGAGGGCCCGTTTTTTTGGACCCGGTCCAGGAATTTTCCCCCCCGGTTGGTTCGTTTTTGAGGAACCGACATGCGGGGAACCACCGGGGCATTTTTCACGAACCCGCCATACATATAGTATGGAGGGTCCGTTTTTTAGATCCCGGTCCGGGAATTTTGCCCGCCCGGTTCCGTTTTTTAGATCCCGGTCCGGAAATTTTGCCCGCCCCGGTTGGTGCGTTCTTGGG